GTTTTGTTTTGTTTTGTTTTGTTCTGTTTGTTTCCTACACTAAGATACTCACATCGCGATGGGATGACAGCTTTTCCGGCATGTTTTGGTTCCGTGAGTTTCGTTCTCTCCTCAGCCAACACCCTGTCCTAGCTTGTTTTGAGTCGGCATTGTGGTGATGAACTCTGCTTTGTCTCATGGTTTTTTAACGTGCTCATTTTGCTTGCCCTACGCTTCGGGTCTGCTATATTTCTGGCATGGCATACATGGCCATACAGCGGCATAGCCAGACCACTGATATCCCACTTGCTTCTGTATTTTCATTAGTTTTCAATGTTACGAGTTAAATCCAAAACTTTCCAAAATAAATTCGTAAAATATTTCTGATATAAAAGGAATAGACCATCTGCGCCAACGCCACTTATAAATGATGAAAGCATCATCACCAAATGTCAGGTCCGAACCGTCCGCCCTCAGGGACGGTCTGATATGCACAGGCCTGCCAGTCGCACCCCTGTTTGTACACCTCGGTGCCCCACCAGTGGAAGTTGGTCGCGAGGCCCGAGTAGATGAAGGCGAAGAAGACCACGACGATGCCCGAGGCAAGCGCTGCATCAAGCGCTGCGCTGAGCGTCATCGTATACTTGGCCCACCAGGCAGTGGCACGGCGCTTGACCAAGTAGTTAAACAGATAACAGACGAGCGCCCAAACGGAAAAGTTGAGGCCGGTGGCAGGCGGGATCCAGCCAAGAGAGCCCAGCAGGATGGGCAGGTTGATTTTGCGCACGAGGCTGTCGCGCCGGTGGCGGCTGTAAAGCCATAGGGGGACCGGCGCGATGGCGCCAACGAGGAAAAACCACACGAGCGGGCGATAGATGGCGTTAGGCCCAAAGAACTCCCCGGGTCCCACGACGCCCCAGAGAATGGACCCGTTGAAATGGACACGGGCAATGGGGCAGATGAAGCCGTTGAGCGCCTCTGACGTGCACAGCCCCGGAATGTTGCCAAACATCCAGTTGAGGACAGCGATTTGGGACACCGACGAGACCAGCGTGGCGACCATCTGGACCTTGAACAAAGTGCGGGGCGGAATCTTCATGTAGTGGCCAAGCTTGAGGTCGGCACAAAACTTGATGCCCTGCGCTGACGAGATGTAGCCGTAGGTGACAAAGACCATGTTGGCGACTGGGCGTCCCGGGAACATGGCGCCACACACCAGCTGGCAGATCAGGTAGATGCTGACGTGCTGGTTTGTGACGGCCATGACAATGCCGATAGGGATGAACAGGACGGCGCAAATTCCAAGGGCGAGCAGTAAGCCGTACCATGGTAGGTGAACGGGATAGTACTCGACAATGAACATGCCGACAGCCGTCATGGACACGAATGTCACAAGGTACCACCACATAGGTGCATCACGATATCGCTTCATAAGGCGGTTGTGGACATCTTCGTGGCTCATGAGGTCGTCCATGGTAGAGTCACTCACGCTGCGGCTGGTGGCCGACTGCAGAGGGACGGCGTTGGACGCAAGATTGGCCGAGCGGGGATTATCGACATCCGTTTCGTCGTCTTCAATCATGTTGTCGGCGGCACTCGTGGGCGCGGGCTGGTACGCACCCTCCCGGTCTGCAAACCCGCCGAGGTTCGTCGTCCGTTTGCTTGCTGCTGCTTGCAGTTTAGCCTCGTCCAGCGACTGACACCACTGACGCCAGATGTCTTTGCCGTGCCAGCAGGCGGTGTGCGTCAGCAGCGAGGCAAGCCCTGCAAACTGCACGCCATAGCTCAGAACATACGTTATGGGCAGAAAGACACGACTGTAGTTGCTGTAGGCTCCACGGTCGAACAAAAAGTCGGAGGTTAGAATCCGGCTGACATCGTAGACCTGTCCCTTGTTGTCAAAGACCGAGGCCGAGAGGATGGGCATAAAGGACGAGTACAGCCAGTTTCTGTAGTAGGCTATCGGCGCGATAATCCACATGACAATAACGAGGCCGCCCACGACGTTCATGGCGGCCCAGAATGGCGTGAGGAGGGGTGAGCCAATGTAGGCAATCTGCGCCCAGTCAAAAGTCATTGGAAACAAGCCAAGGCCAGACACAACTCCGAACAAGTTGGAGACAACGACGTTCCTAGGCGCGAACCAAGTGATGACGTTGAAGTAGCTAAGAGCAGGCATCAGTAGACCGGGGATGAAATAGAACGCAAAGGCGCCCAGGAAGACGGCATAAAAGAAGTGCCAGCGGCTGATGCGCCAGCCGTTGGCAGGCTTGTTTTCCTCCTTGTGAAGTGTAGCAAACATGGCGGCCGACATGAGCGTAGACGGCCAAATCATGCCGCTAGGTCGCACGAGAAAGCGGCGCGACAGGCCTGCAAAGGTGTAGCCCAAGATCTGGGTCGACACAATGAGAAGCAGCTGGTAAATGATGCTGACATCTTGCTTATAGAAATGCGTCTGCTCGACAATTACGTCTGTCGCAAAGGCGAATCCAAACGATACATTGCTGCTCACATAAACGCAGGTGTGCTCTTTTTCGTTCCAGCTGCCCTGAGACAGCCAAAGGCGGAAACGCACCATCCGGCTGCAAATATGGCGTGCGTGTTGGCCCGAGTTATGCACAAGTACACCGTCAACAAAGTCCTCGGGCGGGTCTTCGGCACGCTTGAAGACCATATCCCAGGCGAGGCCGAGCGGGTGCACAAGGAGAAGTGCAATGACGGGTGTAATGGCGACACTGGGGTAGCGTAGCGAGAAGAAGAGGTTTGTGGACGAGCCAAGGAAGGAGAAGAGTATCGATAAGAACCACATACGTGGTGTGCTAATCGAAAGCAATGTGTTATCGACGGGGGCCACAGAGGCACGAACTTGTGCGAAGGGTGAGTTATCCGGTGGGTTGGATGAGGTCGCATTGTCGTCGTCTTCGTCTTCGTCATTGCTACCAAGCGGATCGCGCTGGGCTGACGACTTGCCGACTTCTCCAGAGTCGCCAACGCTACCATCCACCGGTTCGCCATAGGTAGAGCCGCAGCCGTTGTTGTGAACGTCGGTGTCTCTGAGGATTGGATATCCTGTATCAGAGACTGTGCCGGTCTCGCTATCGTAATTGCCCCCAGAGAGTCCATCCTGGCCATCGTCGTCGTCGTTGTTGTTGTTGTTGTTGTTGTCATCGTCGTCGTCGTTGTCGTCGTCTAGCCCGCCGCTGTCGAAGCTGGCTTCGCTCGGCGCGGCCGTAACCGCTGCAGCCGTGCCAGCCGCGTCGAAGCGTGTGCCGCCCAGGCCGGCAAGCATCGCTTCCACCTCAAGCTCCGGCGGGGGAACGCGTGTAGAACCGCCCGTCACGGCATCGTACTGTGCAAATAACGATGTGGCTTGAGACCGCTTTCGCCGTAGAGTGGCATGCCGTGTTGAGGCAGCACTGGCACCGGTGGACATGCGGCGTAGAGGAGCTTCGGCTGCCTCTGATTGAGTATGGATCGGTTCGGTGGGCGTCACTGCCGCTGTCGCTACAGCCGTAGGCGTCGAGGTGCCGGATCCGATACCTGACACGGCGCCATAGGACGCCTTCTGGAAGCTCGGCGACGAGCGCAGAGACGGTGGAGGTTGTCTTGTCATCGGATCGCCGTCACTGGGGCGTGTCTTGGAGGTGCTGAGCATGCCGCGATGGTTGACTCTCTCCTCCTAGGCCGAGTCCGGGGCGGGCAGGCCATGTGGTGTATACGGGCCGAGGGGATGAGGTTATAAGCGACGAGACGAAGAATACGGAGAGGAATTGGAAGCAGACTGAGTAGAAATAGCAGCTTCCGACGCAGGTGAGTGTGGTAGGGTTGCCGCGGATAGAGCAGGCGGAGAACGGAGGGGCCAGAAAGCCTCGGCGGTGAGAAATATGCAGCGCCCGTGACTGAGCAGTCAATTATCGATGTCGATGAGGCGCCGTCTTCAATAGAAGTTGGCGGAGGAGGCGGCCGTTGACCAGATCTAAGTCGGTGCAGAAGCCGCGGTGCTGCACCCGTAGTGGGAGACGAGTACGGCTTGCAGCGGCATGGCGGGGCGACCTCAGGGACTAGGGTAGGCTACGGGCAAGCTGGCAAGGTATGGTCAGTCAATTGACGGCCAGGCTGGGGCGTGAAAATCGATAAACCTAGCAGGACATGATGCGAGTGGGGCAAAAGATGGGCAAATGAGTGGCACTACGTTGTATGCCGTGCAGCGTTAGACACCATGTGGACGAAAATAGCGATACTGGTGTGGGCGAGCGGTCCGAGAGACGAGGCTGAGGATGGGACGAAAAGAAACGCGAGGGGAAATGCTATGCGTCAAGAAACAGTTCCTGAAGCAGAAAAGATGGTGCGAGGAGTGTCGAGACAGGCAAGATGCTACCCGAGAGGACCTTGTGGGTCAATTGAGCGGCTTGTGAATGCCAGGTGCCTAGCGAGGCGGGAGTTTTGCTTCTGGCGTGGGGTGGCCCGGCACTTCAATCTGATGGCTAAGATCGTGGTGGGTTGATGGGTTGCAAAAGGTGCGTCACCTGGGACGGGTCTGAATTGGAAGCTTTTGTCGATGCAGGTGGAGATCTGATTTAAGGGCTGACCTTGCAATGGATTCCTGGGCTGCGCCTGCCGTTGTAAAGAGCATAACGCACTCACTATGTTCGTTAGGGGAAGGTACGAGGGGCACCGAAAGGTAAAAACGAAGAATGGAAAGTGCTCACGAGGTCTTCTGGCCGCATGGCAGGGTAGCCGTGCAGAGTTACCAGCGTAGGCAGGTGCAAGCGGCCAGCCGCAGGTGACGTGCAGGCTGGCGCGCTAATTCCGCTTCCACGGCTACCCAACGACAAAGCCATATTTTTGCCAGCAGGCATAAACAGCTACGACGAAACTACCACATACTGTCACACCAACTTAACTGTTTCAACTTGGCTATTCTACCACACGAAACACCAAATTACAAAAGAAACGGTCGTTTCTAGTGGCCACATTTTCTCCATATGCCGCAGCCGCCTAGGAACGAAGCCGACGGCACGATGACGCCAAGTGCCGTCCTGGGCGCGATGCCCGCTCTGGCTGTGGCCAAAAACCAGCTCCGGACTCAGATGAAGCAGCAGCTCAAGTCTCTGCCCGCAGCATCGGTGTCTTTGCAGAGTGCGGCTATCCACGGCGCGCTATTGCGTTTCCCGCCGTTCGCGGATGCACGCCGTGTCGCAGTTTTCTTGTCAATGCCTGCCGCCGAAGTGCAAACGGACGCCATCGTGCGGCACGCTCTCGCCGCCGGCAAGCAAGTGTTTGTGCCGTACCTGCACAAGCCAGCAGCGACAATAGCGGCCGATGACTATATCCCGCCGCGCATCATGGACATGGTCCAGCTGCACGATCTTGCCGACTACGAGGCGCTGGAGCGCGACAGTTGGGGCATCCCGAGCGTGTCGGCCAGCAGCGTGCCTACGCGCACCCGCGTTCTGGGTGACGATCCTCGGGAGGTTGGTGAGACAAATGAAGACGGAGAGGGGAAGCGTTCGCTCTCCGCTCTTGACCTTATTCTCATGCCCGGTGTTGCCTTCGACGTCCACCCAGAAACACGCCGCATCCACCGCTGCGGCCACGGCCGAGGCTTCTACGATTATTTCTTGCATCGCTACGCACTCAAAACGGCAGCTGCTGTCCCGCCGCCGTCCCAGGCCGTCCGTCTTTACGGCCTTGCCCTGAGCGAACAGGTCTTGCCTGCTCATTCCGTGCCAATAGGTCCGCATGACCAACCGCTGGACGGCCTCATCACGGGCGACGGAGCTATAATAACACCGGAGGCCGGGGCAAACACAAAACAATAGACGTTGTTTATATATTCACGAAAGCGAAATGACACAAGTAACGAGCTACAAAGGCCCCAGACTGGAAGCACACTCATGCTATTAAATGACTAAGCAAGGCTGGCAGGTGCATGTGCTGTGAAATTGCTCCAGCACCTCCCAACGCTAACCGGGAAGGCGCCCACCCACCATTGACACCCCTCTTTTTGCCCATTTTGTCGGGCCACTCTGTAATTTTATGCCCCACCTTCCTGGCAACAAAGACGCAGTGAGGCAGTCCCTGTCGACGCTTGGCCGGTTGCTCTTGCCTACTAAAATTTTCTTGTTTTGTTTGCTTTCGGGGTGTGGTGGCATTAGCACTTTCCCGCTTGGGTCGGCAACTGCCAATTTGGAACACAGCCTTCAGACGGAAGGAACACCCAAAGAAGTACCCAAGCAAGCAGGACATCGTGCATCTACATCTCCATTGGCAGCATCTTGCTCTGCAATTAATATCCCCCTTCACCCGTGAGCGAAAACCGCGACCGTGCACGCAACACCCCATCGCTGTCCGCCCCGCCCCGCACAAGGCGCCGTCTACTCCTGTCGCGCCCCTCGGTCCGTTCACCACTTATCGCCCGCGCCTTTCGTTTGCCCATTTTCGCTGCGCCCTCGTTCACTTCCTCCTCACGTTCGTCTCGATCGCCACACTCGTGTTTTCCTTTGACGAGCACCTCCATCTGCACGGATCTGCGGCTGGGCCTTGTACATCTCGCGTGCCGTCCTTTCCATCACGACAAGCAAGCGTCCGTTTGAGTCAGCATCGCACCTCTGTCTTCGGTTCATATTCGATCATCTCCGTTGCCCTCGCGCGCCCTCGTCGGCCTCTCTCTGTCGGTCGAACGTGACGCGGCCATCGTCCGCCAATACGCCCGGCTTCTCTTCCGCACTTCTTTTCACATCTCCCGCGCCGCCCACCATGGCGTCAAACGGCGCCGCCGAGGTCTTCACGCCCGACGATGTCCTGGCTGCAATGGTCACGATGCGCGGCAGCGACGCCAGCAAGAAAACAGCCGCTATGGACTACCTTGCGCGCTTCCAGAAATCGGTTAGTTTGGACGCTGCCTGAGGGCTGCAGTCCACGCGCTTTCTCAGTCTCATGTACTAACACGCAACCCTCAGGAGGGCGCATGGTCTGTCACCGTCACAGTCCTGCAGTCGTCCGTCGAGGCCGAGGCCATGCTGTTTGCTGCAACAACACTGAAGGGCAAGGTACGCCATCTACCCCGGAACTCCGTCACGAAGTCCACACCCTGCGTCCTGCTCTTCTTCGATCTGGAGCCTCATCGCAGCCCTCATCGTCTAACAACCTCACCAGATCACATTTGACCTCGCCACCCAGGTCCAACCTGCCCAGCTGCCGGAGCTGCGCAACCAGATACTGCTGCTGCTGAAGAAGTTCGCGTCCGGCCCGCGGCCCGTCCGTGTCCAGCTATGTGTGTGTCTTGCCATCCTTGCCATCCAGATGACCGACTGGAAGGACGTGTTGCCAACCGTCATACGAGCGCTGGGCGACGACGTCGACAGCCATGCCTGCATCCTCGACTTCTTGCGCGTGCTACCCGAGGAGGTCACCGAGGGCCGCAAAATCACGCTGTCGGAAGAGGAGCTCGCCGACCGGACACGAGAGCTGCTGGGCGACAATGCCGAGGAGGTCATTGGCCTTTTGACGTCCTACTCACAATCTCACCGTACGTACACCCGCCAGATGCAGACTCTTCAACTGATGCACCAAGAACTAACAACTCCCAGTGGCTGCTTCAAACGGCCCCCTTTTACTCGAGTGTATTACTTCGTGGCTACGCGAAGTCCCCGTCAGCAGCATCGTCAACTCGCCCCTCCTGAACGTCGTCATCTCGGCGATCGGGAACGAGGCCACCATCCAGGCTGCGACGGACTGTCTGGGCACCATCTGCCGCGAGACGCGCGACGTTGATGACAACCTCGACACCGTCCAAGCCCTCCTGCCCCGCATCATCGAGCTCAGGCCAAACATTCGCAAGTATGCAGAGGAGGAGGACGCCGAGAGCTTCAAGTCTCTCACACTTCTTTTCGCCGACGCAGGCGACTCGTGGGTCGTCGCCATCGCCCGCGAGCCCGTTCACTTCCGCCCACTCATCGACGCTCTACTCGAGTGCGCCGCCCTCGACAAGGACTGCGACGTCATCAAGTACACGTTTGGTTTCTGGTACGAGCTGAAGCAGTACTTGGTCCTGGAGCGGTACATCGAATCGCGCTTGCAGCTCGTTGATGTCTACGCGAAGCTCGTTGACATCATGCTCGTCCGGCTGCAGTACCCGCGGCCTGACGAGGAGGATGCCGCGGCTGTTGCGGCAGCCGACAGCAGTAGCGCTACCAACGCCACTCTCGACCTGTTCGACGGTGACCGCGAGCAAGAAGAGAAGTTCCGCGAGTTCCGCCACCACATGGGCGACACGCTCAAGGACGCGTGCGAAGTCTTGGGCATCACGGAGTGCCTGACGAAGGTGCTTGATGCGATTAAGTCGTGGATGGCCAAGTACGCCGCGCTCGTCACCCCTACCTCGGTCCCCCATTGGCAAGAGCTGGAGGCCCCTCTGTTTGCTATGCGCGCCATGGGCCGGATGGTGGGCAAGAAGGAGGACACGATCCTGCCTCAGCTGATGCCGCTGCTTGTGCAGATCCCAAACCACGAGAAGTTACGATTTGCCACTATTATGGTCTTTGGCCGGTACACCGAGTGGACCGCCGAGCACCCCGAGGTCCTCGAGCCTCAGTTCAACTACATTGTGTCGTCCTTCCAGACCGAGTCGAAGGAGATCATCCGCGCCGCTGCCCAGGCCATCAAGTTCTTCTGTACCGACTGCCGGGAGCTGTTGAGTGGTCAAGTGATTCAGATGCAGCAGTTCTACGACCAGATCCTCGACAAGCTGCCAGAGATGAGCCAAGAGGAGATTACGGAGGGTGTCGCCAGCGTCGTCGCTGTCCAGAAGCTGGAGGACATCTACAAGCTGCTCAAGCTCTATGTCGACCCTCTGATCGAGCGCCTCATGCGCAAGGCCAATGCGGCCACCACCGAGGAGGGCAAGCTGGCCGTCGCCGACCACCTCCAGCTGATTACGATGTTTGTCCAGATTGTCGTTCCCTACGTTCCCGAGGGGCAGGAAAACCCGGCCGTCAAGTACTGGCAGGAGGTGTTCCACGTGCTGTCGACCGTCCTGGAAAACTTTTTCCACTTCACCCCGATCTGCGAGCGCGTGTGCCGCTGCTGGCGCTTCATGGTTATCTCGTACCGCACGGACATGACGCCGCTGCTGGCGCCCATGGCCAACAAGCTCGCCGAGGGCTTCACCGTCTCCAAGCAGGGCTGCTTCCTCTGGGTGACGGGTGCCATCCTGCGCGAGTTTTCAGAAAACCGCGAGCACGTCGACGCCCAGATCACAGAGAACATTTACGTGTTTTTCGAGTCCCAGGCGACAAGCGTGCTGCGCTTCATGTCGGACCTGCCGGCGGCTGAGCTGCCGGACGTCATTGAGGACTTTTTCCGGCTGCTGGTCGACGCGCTGCTCTTCTACCCGCAGCGCTTGATTCCCTCGCCACTCTTCACGCCCATCTTCGAGGCCGCCATCTCGGCCTTGGCGCTCGAACAGCGCGAGCCCCTGTCGGCCACGCTGCACTACCTGCGCGACCTGCTGACGTACGGCAGCACGAACCCGGCCTCTTCGACGCCCGACCTGCCCGCCGATGGCTCCGCTATGCGGCAACAGCTGCAAGTCATTGTGCAGCAGCTGCTTGCGGTGCGCGGCGAGGTGCTGGTCAAGCAGGTGCTCGCGGGCATGATGATTACGTTCCCACGGGACTGCTTTGCGGACGGCAGCGGCGTGTTGCTGTCCATGTTTGAGCTGCTGCCGACAGAGACGACGGCGTGGGTCGAGCGGACGCTGCTGATGCTGCCGGCGGGGACAGTGTCGCCGGTGGAGGTGCAGCGGCTCGTGAGCAAGATCCAGGACCGGCTGCAGAGCCCAGCACAGGGCGGCCTGCGGCAGGTTAGAGCACTGCTGCAAGATTTTACCAACTCGTACCGGCGGCGGTACGTGGCGCCACGCGATGGTCTTGGCCAGCTGGAGGCAGCACGGTTCCGGTTTACGGGCTAGGTGGGTTTTCGTTGTGTGGTGAAGGTAGTGGAGTAAATAGACAAAAAAAAAGATACACTATGACGGAGATATTTTTGTGTTCGTTTCGTTTGAGTGAGCTGCGAGGGCGGTGGTTTGACTATTTTGGAGACTTTTTTTTTACCTCTTCATGAGCAAGATACCGGCATTTGTATATTTGGCAGCATTGGAGACGCAAGGAGGAGAGGGATGTAGACGGGGTACAAATTACAGGATGTGAAAGGAAAAAGAAATTACAGCATGGACATGTGGTATGTAAAAGAGAGAGGCAACCAAGGGGCAAAGGAATTTAAGTAGAATGACATAAAAGCACAAAAATGTCCAACACCATCGTGGCACATATTGTATGAATAAAATATTTACATTTTGGTATATAACGTTTCATAGCATATTTACGCACGACTTAATCACCGTCCGGTGATTAGCGACACTACCGGTATGGTGTTTTGCGAACTGAGGCGGTGTGGCTTCCAAGGACACTGGGATTAACGAGGAGCTCGCGCTCTCTTGTGGTTTTGCGGATAATTTTCCATCCCACTCTGTACACTGCAGTTACAATTCAATACCAAGTTTGACCTAGCACGTACGGCCATAGATAGTGGAAAGTACGGGATCCTGCTGTACGCTTTTTTTGTCGATTCCCGACTGTTTTGTTTATCCGATGACTATTTTTTACAGCAAGCTTAATATATTTCATGAACTCTGTATTTTTAAAATAAAAGAGGCCGAGGTTTCTTTTCCGGAAGGGGATATATACATATACCAAAGCGTAAACAAATACAAATAGAGCAGATTAGAAGAAAGAAAACAATCACGATACACTGAAAACGCCAAGTAAAATGCACCTCTGAAAGGTAAAAAAGAATAAAATGAACCAAAAGAACCAAAGGAAAAAAAAGTCATAAACACAACAACGCAGAAAGACTCATAAAGCTCGTGTCTCCGCCTACTTCCACTCGGCCAGCCAGGCCTTCATGGTGGCAAAGATCTCCTTGTACAGGTCCGGCGCACCCTCGTAGTACTCGAGCAGCATCTCCGGGCAGTGGTTGCCGGCAGGGACAACCCAGATGGGCGCGTCCGACGTGCCCTGAAGACGGCCGCCGGGGTGGAAGTCGGATGAGACGGTGGCCGAGCGCCACGGGTCGACCTCGCCGTTGACAAACAGGACCTTGTTGAAGGGCGCGTCCCAGCCGCCGGTGTAGAGGTCGAGGTGCTCCGGCGTGTAGCCGTCGGCCCAGCCCGAGGAGTAGCCGTTGGTGGTGGGGAAGAGGAGCGGGCACTGGCGGGCAAAGAAGTTGACGTCGGCGTACTGCGAGACGATGTTGGTGCCGTCCGACTTCGGCGGGCCGACCTGCCACCAGCCAAAGGGGTTGTGGCACAGCAGCCAGTTCCACTGGCGGTTGTCGGTAAAGTCGGACGGGTCGTTGAACTCCTCTGCATTCACGTACGTGTTGCAGGCGGTGCCGCCGTTTTCGGCGCAGACAGTGCCACGGGTCTGGTTGATAAAGGACGCGTACAGAGGCAGGGCCGTAGCGAGGCCGACGCCATTCGGGTTGGAAAGGACAATGTGGGTCTCGCCAGAGGTCTCGATGTAGTCGCAAAACCCCTGAACATACGACTCGTCCTCCTGCCATTGGCGTAGCGGGGTCGAGACCTGGACGGCGAAGTCGTCGTGGTGGTCGAGCATGCCGAGACCGAATCCGTTCTTGAGCTCGAGGATGTCGGCGTCGGAGCCGTAGGTCAAGACGTGGTCGACGTACTGCACGATGGCGCGGACATCGGCAGAGCAGTTGGCGGGCAGAGCCTCGTTGACGGGCGCAAAGTAGGTGTAGAAGTCCGTAATCGTCTCGACGACGGCTGAGCTGGCGTGGTGCGCGAAGAAGACGCCCGGTGCCTTCTGCTGGATCCAGGCCGTCAGCGCGCCGGGGTACGAACCGCCGACCAGGACCCAAGGGGCGTTGTCAGAGTTATCGTTGTTGCCGAGGTTGCCGCCCAGGTCAAAGGATACATTTTTGGCAAAGTATGTAATGTCCATCATGGCCTGCGGCAGGTCGAGATACTGTAGAGTCTCGGCCGTCAGGGTGTCGAAAGGAAGGGACTTGCCCCAGTAGCGGTCTGCCATCGTGTTAGCCGTGCCAATTATCTCAACGACATGATGAGGAGGCCTAGAAACATACGCTCAATAACAATAACAAGGCCACCAAAGAACTCGGCGTACAGGCCTGGGATCGTGCTGTTGTCCAGGTAGCCCAGGTACTGGCTCGCATCCGACTCGCCGGGCATGAAGAGGAAGACGGGCGAGCCGGGGCCCTTCCAGTACTTGGTGCTGAACCAGAAGCGGTTTGAAAAGGTGCCCTTGGACAGGTCGTAGTGGTCGATCGGCTGGTCAAAGACGCCGTCGATGATGTCGGCATTCGGATCCGGATGATCGTACGCCTGGATGCCGGGCGGCTTGGGGAACGAGGTAATCTTCTTGCCGGCCACGGCGGACAGGCCACCGAAGAGGCAGAGAGCCGAAGCCCACAGTATCGAAACCTTCATTGTGTTTGTGTGTGTGTGTTCGTTTGGTATCAATGAAAGTTAAAAAAAAATATAACAAAACGAAAGGCGACGCTACAGAATTAGAAGGCCTTTTCTCGTTCAAACAAGCAAAAAAAAAAAAAACCACCAAAAACGAGAATGAGAAGATCGTCAAAGACAGTGAATGATGAAGCCACCAACCAAAACAAAATCAAACGGACGAGATCGAGGGTTGGCCAAGATTATATGCACAAAGACGTGGCCGAGCGTATTCGGCGTTTCGTCAACAGACACCCATACAAGGCTTCACCAAAAAAGGCACAAAGCTCGCACAGCTCGCTCAGCTCGCACATCTCGCACATCTCGCACATCTCGCACTTGGAGAAATTGGCGGAAGGCGTTTTCGAGCATGGGCTGGGGGGCCTGGTCTCCAGCAAACACGCTAGTAAGCCGGAACGGAGGATAAACATTGACAATCGTGCAGATGTACGCCGTCCGTAGGACTAATTACTGGATCCATTCATGGGTTGCTTTTCACCATCGTTTGCTTCGCCTCCCACAGCCCAGCAAAGATTCCTTCAGAGTGACCATGCATGGGGAGCATCCACCACCACAGGGCCAGCCAGAGCCAGTCAAAACACTACAATGAATAATGTAGGCTTGCAGAGAGCGAGCAGGGGTACCCAGCTCCATAGGAGCAGACAAAAATTAAAGGAACGAAAAAAACCACTTTAAGCTCATAAGACTATTCCTCGACGTTGTCTCCCCCTTCTCTGTCGTCCACAGGGCGGACCCCTTACCGCCCGCAGTTTGTTTTGTTTGCAAGGGGGGGGGGGGGGGCGGGGGCAGGGACAGCGCACCCCTAAAAACGAAAAAGAAAAAGAAATGATGGGAAAGGGGGCGGGCACGGGTGAAGGTGGCGTGGGCTAAAGCCCTGCCAACGACCCGCCCGTGCAGGAAGGCGAGCCAGTGAAAAGCATCGCAGAAGCAGAGAAGAGTGAGTTTGGTCTGTGGAAAGCATAAACGAGAAAATGAGAAAAGTTGAGACCAAAACGGGTGAATAGAAAAAAAAAAAAAACCAAAAACCAAAAAAAACCATACTGGAACGACACAGGTGACGCTCATGACGCCCTCACAGCCAAGTCGGATGTCGGTTTTGGTTGACAAAAAGAAGGGGCGAGCTATCTGGCCGCCATGGCTGATACGTAGTCTGTCGACGTCGTTCACGATCTTAATTCGACGCGAGTTCTCATCGCCTTCGTCGGTTGGGCCACACCTCATCTAGTGACATTCAACACTCATGTCGCGCCGTATTCCATATTTGCACGTATGGCAACCAGAGGAGGGCGGTGGGCGGAGGGCGGAGTCTGACTAGCTGGCCATTGTCGCGATCCTTTCGTAACCGCCGTATTTTTTTTTAAGAAAAAAGCCCAAAGAAACGTTGCTTGAAGGCTCGCCATCTGGGGCGTTGTGTTTCATGATAGCCGGTCCTCATTAAATTGGCAGGCTGGGTACGGCAAACATCCCCTGTGTCGTAAACGACAGGCGCGAACAAAGAGAGGGAAAATGCTATTCTCAACGGAAATAGATGGACTCTCCTGTCTAGGATATCCCCGCGCTGGTTAAGGCTAACTGTGGTGCCTGCCTGCGCCCTCGTGCGTTTGTTTTCATAGCGCCGACGACTTTTCAGGTCCTGTCGCGCAAGTTACTGGAACGGGAACTTGAGAATTCGGATAAGCGCGCTGAGGAGCGCATTCTGGTGACTCGCGTGTCTGGCACAAAATTTTGTTAACTGGCGGTGTCTTCAAGTACCATCCTCGCAGAGCCTCTGCGTTTTGGCTCCGAGCTGCTGCAAGTGTGTCGTCGTGACAGGCCGCTTCCTTGTCGCACGTCGTTTTCCTGAAAGGATTAGCGTCCCCACATCAGGTCCCCACGTCAGGCGGCGCGCGAGAAAAGAAAATGAGGGACTCTGAGGATCCGCAGGCAGAACGTGAGGCGCAGGTGCTAGAGACTGTCGAAAAAAGGAAATAGTGTGCATCCGTCTGCGTCGTATCCGTCGTATGTGCTGCGTTTCCCGTACACGGTGGGAATGCGAAATTGAGCTGCCAAGCAAAAAGCAGTGTGTAGGCGTTTCCTTGTCTCTTCTCCCGACTTTTCTTTCTCAACGTCCACACGTGTCCTAGGCCCATGTAGTTAATGCTATATTAGGAGAGGCTGAAGCAGGCTTATAGTAGCAAATTCGTCTAGAGTTTCTAGTGGAGCACCATCGCTTTTGTTACCTGAGATGGCCCGTCCCGAAGATGCTGTTCTTTGCACGAGAATCAGCCATCAAACATCTGCCGGGTTTTGCAAGTGGTAGGAACGCTGCTTGTCGGTTCTAAGACGCCCTGATCTTGTGAACAGACGGACGGAAGAGTGTGGCTGGAGAGTGGTGTTGAAGGCCTTCCCCTACAACATACTCCGTAAATTAAGCTTCTCTCGCTCGGACACATTCGGCTGACCTGTTGACTGCAACCCGAAACCCGGTCGTTGGTTCTGTGCCAATCATAGTGCCTCCCACGGATCCTAGCTGCATCTGGTTAGCTTTTTACGTTGAGCAAGGCGGCTTTTCTGTGCCCAACAAGGCTCCGCACGGGGGGAACGAACCATGGAACTTCTCCGGAGAGTCAGCCCAGCCCATTTGTGTCTTGCTGCGTGCCAAACCTTTGGATTTCAACTTGCAGGTGGCTGAGCAGCACGCTGGTCGTCTGGAGTTGCAGATGCCCGTTGTTCTATTTTTGACACCATCCACAGACGTAAAATCAAAGGAAACACAACGGCAAAAGGATCGACAGCCCCAGAGCCTCTTCAACTTGGTTTCACCTTGGCTTCAACTTGGCGATGTGCTTGGCCTCTTTGATTTCTGGGCATCGAGGATTTTGGACAAGGGGAAGAGTCTGCGGTTGTTGTTAGCGTTTCTGGGCAAACGTAGGCAAAAGCTTGATTCCTATTTCTTTTGCACCCAAAAGTCTGGGGCTCGACAATCAAGCTTTCTTGGTCTTGGAAAGGCTCACAGCTTTTCCGTTCGAATTAAAAAATCAGATAAATAAATCCCATATTACATGGTAAAATAGCAAGTAATAAGTAAACTCGGACTCCCCAACCATCATATCAAACCAAGAGCAAACAAAATATCTATCACCGCTTTTCAAGACTGGAAACCTCCAGTTTGATATTCAGCTCCAAAATAAGACGCGCCCCAAACGGCTGGGCCGTCCAGTTCCGCCTGCGAGAAACGCTCGATGCCCACGGCTTGGCTGGCATCCTGCCATCGCTTGCCCTCAAGGGTGCTGACGTATGGCTCGACATCGGCCAAGGGCGGATAAAACAGATCAAATTGGAAGTCTGTCGCCACATCACTCGGCAGGCAGTCTTCCGGCGAGAAATTCGAGGAGCTGGCTTGTGTCTGGGACAGAGGACCCTGAGCATACATTTGAGCCGGATGCTGCTCTTGTGCATGCTGCGCAAACTGGTCCCATTGTTCCTCTGGGATAGCTTGCATCGCGCCGCTGCCATTGTTGTTCTCATCAACACCGTTGTCGATGTCGTCCCCGGCAAATTGCGCGGCATTCTCGCCTCCATACAAAATGCCTTGCAAACTGTTACCCGGCACCGCAGTTGCCACCGTTGTAGCACCTTCTCCGCCGTCCACTGCGGTATTTTCGTCGATGGCATTCTCTTGTTGCTGCTGCTGTTGCTGCTGATGCCCTTGTCGTGGTCCTTCCCCTCCGTCTTGACCGATGGCATCTTGTGTATTGCTATAGGACGAAGAGCCATCGACCGCTGTACGTCTCAGCTGCGAGCTGGAAGTTTTTGCTGACTCCACTAAGCGTGGCTCTGGTGCAATATGTTTGTTGGCGTTGTCTCTGTCACGTTTGTTGCCATCAGCCGGAAGTTCCACCCCCTCAGAGCCTGCTTCTTCGGCTGCAGAGATCTTCCCAATGTTCATCACTTTCGGTCCGTGGACCTTCCACTCATCAAGGCCGCCATCATTGCCACCTTGTCGGACACTCTTGTGCCTGCCCGTCTCTCCGCCGTGTTTCTCTACATGCACCCAATATTCCTTTTTAACACCCTCGTAGTATTCATCCATCTCGTGGAAATACTTGACATAGGTAGTTGCCATTTGAAGCCACGTGCCCATACTTTTCAGGGCCTCAAAAGCAGCCGCTGTCGGCCCGTGTGTGGAGACCCGCCGGTCGTCGTTGTTGGACAACACAGGTCCGCGTCTTCCATTGCGTTCAGCATCGAACTGGGTCACCATGTGGTGATTTTTGTCCATTCGTGGGAAATGCCACGCGTATATGCCCACGAATGCTGCCGTCCACACAGCAAAAACTACCAGTGCTGACATTGGCATTTGCTTTCGGGTCTGGCAGATTTCAATCAGCTCGATAATATTGTAGGCAGCCTCGAACATCGTGTCTGCACTCTGTTCCCAGAACATTCGAGGCGCACTTCCTTCGGGAAACGTTGGCTCGTCGAGTGGCCCCATTGGGCGCATACACCGGATCGGGATAAACGGGGTGTACTCGCGGTGCAGCATAATCTGACAGACGGCAAAAAGCATATGAAGCGATACGTACTCGGTCGACGCGTTGTGGTTTTCGTGCTTGTGGTAGTTGGCAGTGGAAAAGGTGAACGTGGACGGAAGGTGCGCATAAAAGCTCTCGAGGTTCCCACGCAGTCGACGGAATTTAGATTCTTCCCATGGCGGTTGCTCTTCTGTGTGTCTGCCTCCTGCAAAACTGTACTCGGAGATCTCGCCCCATATATCGACAAGAAGATTGAAGCGGGCCAGCAAGCTATCGTTGACATCCGATGCGACTTCCCCCGAATCCGGAGGTCCAGCTACATGAATCCCGATCTCAGGGCGCGGCCGCAGGTACCCAGTGAAGGTCTCAAAGGACAAATCAAACGCAATTTCGGAGCAAGGAAGCTGTATCTTGACGTTTTCAGAGCGGATCATGGCCGAACGGTTCTTACCGCAGGCCAACATACGATCCAAAACAAAGCAGCTGAACATAGTACGTCGCCGCACCTCGCTGGTAGCAATCTCTTCGAGGGCCTTTGCGCCTCGCTTGTCGTTAACATTTTGAGAAACGGTGCCGGTTCCTTCTCTGTATAGATCCGGTAAATCAGTTCCTGGGCGTGGAGCAGCTTCAAGTCTGGCATCGGCATTAGTCCTGCTGCCGGCCTCTGTTTCTGCTGCCGTCGTTGGAAAGGTAGTGGATGCGGACGCAGCCAAACGACGGCGAAGGTGAGGAGGCTTGTCATCACCGATCCCCAGTTCCAAGCCCTCGGCCATGCGGATGGCAAAGCCCACGTACATCCAGGCACCCATACTGTCGGACCTGGTGTCGTCCGAGTCGTCCCTTCTGCTAGGTCGTATCCATTCATATAAACCCAGCATCAAAAACGCCTGGACACGTTCAACAGTGGCCATTCTTACGCACGCGGAGAGAGGGCCCAAAGCTCCTGACAGAACACTGGCAAAGTATTCTGAGGCTGCCCATGGGTCGCTTTTAGCCGTACTCGAAGGGTTGGACCGGTTGCCGCTGTGATTCCCATGGGGAAAGGTGATTCGCCTGACAAGATCAGTATGAAAACGAGCCGTCAGGGTGAGAACACCAAGCAAAACCAGATTTGTGCCGTCTGAGCGACGAGTCTGACTGGCCCTCATTTTGTCGCCCATTTTCTCTTTCAGTGTGGCCAGGTGCAGGAACGAAAGCTCGGTGGCGAAATGAAGGCGATAGATATCAAAAATTTCCGTCCACATGGTCTCCGTAAAATAGTGCTCAGAGAGCACTTCATTTGCGTAATAGGCGCCGGACTTTTGCTCGTCAAGGCTGACAGAGTCTCCAAGTTTCCGCAATCGCTTGCGTTCTGAGGTCCGCTCAATCTGTCCCGGATCATCTCGCTTCATAACACGGGGAAATTTTGTGGCGGTGGTAACAACAAATTGAAGATCTGCGTCATTCGCTGCCGGTTGTTGACTGTTGGGGGCGATATAACGACAGTCTCTCCGGGACTTGACGCAAGTTTCGCAAGCGGACTTGCCCTCCCCGTCATTCACACATTTGATTTTTGACCTGCGGCAACGCATACAAGCGATGCTGGATCGCATAGGTGCTCGTTTTCCAAGGACGACTTTCTTACACTCCCCAGCGGCAGGGCTATCGAGGCTTTGTGGAGACGAAGGTGGACGTTCGTGTCCTGCCAGCGACCCTACAGTGTGTTTGTGCTCTCCAGCCTCCCCCATTCCACTTCCGCTCGAATTTGAATGTTGAGCCATAGAAATGTTGTGCTCGACCCCGCTGGTTTGTTGGGAGGGGAGGTTTTGGCTGTAGGTGTTATAAAATTGCTGTTGATGATCCTGTCGGTGATCTTGCTGGTTCGAGATAGGTAGCTGGTGTGGTAATGGCAACGATGGTAATGAGGGTAACGGGGGTAAAGCAAATGGTGAGGATACTGAAGAAATGGAAGGTAGTGAGGGAAGTGAAGGCAGCTGGTGTTGATGCTGTCCTTGTTGCCGTTGTCCTTGTCGCTGTTGAGGTTGTCGATGATAGGGATGATGCGGCTGGAGCTGCTGATACGGTTCATGCCGGTAGTGATGCTGATGTTGCATCTGTCGCTGTTGTTGGAGTGGAGATACAAGGGAATTGTGGCGATACGGTGGCTCACGTCCCTGAGGTGATATGGAATGTGGTTCCGGAAAAGGTGACGTGGCGCTGGAGAAGGCCTTGAACGTTGACGGTGATTGACTTGCCGTGCTTCTCGTCCCAAACCCACCACTCGGGCTACGACCCGCAGGAGACGGAGCAAAGGTCGGTGGTGAAACAAACGCCGGAGGTGAAGCAGGGTGTCCTTGGGCGCTTGAATGTTCGTGTGAAGAAAGTATGGACTGGATGCTAAAGTGTGACGAGGTCGGCGTTGACTGTGAGGAGGACTCCATCTTTGCGAGCTGTGTGGGCGACAGACCCTTCCTTATATGGATATAGTTTGTGTCCACCCACTTTCTTTCACATAGCAGATTAAGACAGCTTATTTGCCGTTGCTACTCTTCCCTTGCTCTAACAACTCTCTGCATGCCCAGCCGCACTAGGTGTGGTGTACGTGCAGGCACATGCAGATGGCACAGAGACGAGGTAGGCGGGATACAACGGCTTCTATGAGCAGTCGCAAAGCACGTTCCCGTTAGCAGTGCGTCCAATTTAGGAAATTTCCCGTATACAGTCATCGGTTGTGCAGCAAACAAAGTGGGATTGTATACGTACATGCCTGTTTGTAGCCGTAGCCGAGGATGCTCCAGCAATAACGGTCTAGGCCGCCAAAATCTGTCGGTCCTGTTTCCAGAAAATATGGCAATGTTCACTGTTCTAGACTCTGGCCAAACAACGTTAGCAAGATACGCCATATGAAGCTTGCCATGAGGGTGTGAATGAGTAGCCGCAGCGGATGCTCATCCACGAATAATGAATATAGTTTCAGACTGAAAGCTGGTAAAGATGGTGATAACTCAGGGCTGTTAGAGGGCGAAATGGGCTCAAGTACAGAGAATAGCAACGCACGAGACAATGACACCATCTCTCCAGCCGTGATATACAATGAGTTACATCCTCGACGGAAATTGTGTTATCATTTCAGGTTCCGCAGCGTGCCCACTCACTGCAAACAACCTACCTGGTCTGGACTACACAGGCCAGTTCGCCAAGTAGTAACTCCGTCTCATGTGGGACACGATGCATGTGGAAGCGCCTATCTCTTGCTTTGACAAGTACGGGGACAGGGCAAAACAAAGTTGAATGCAGGTATAAACAAAGAGCACGGCAAAAGAGAGATTGGTGTAGACATGAGTTGACCGGCACAAGAAGGAGAAGGGCTGGGAATAGAGAAATTCACGCCACGGGGAGGTGTGTGTCCATTGATGAGAGGCTGGGAATGGAGAAGCCGGGAAACATAATGCTCGACAAAGTACAACATAGAAATGACAGACATAAATGTGGAAGGGCCAAAGAGACGCACCGTTCACCGCGGGCTGGCAGCCAAGAGCGTGCGGCTCCGATGCCACGCCGTTTTGCCTACAGCTTTGGGATATCGGAAAGTTGCCACTGACAAGGTTCGAGTAGCGCTGCGCGGGAAGCGAACCGAGCCGCCACAGTAGTGTGTAGAGAGTATTGCCAACTAGTGGAGTGGTTGGTGCAAAATCAAGTAGATGAGTGTTAGCGTCAAGTGAAGTAGACTTCAGGCAATGGCACTCCGAGACTGGTTCCAGGTACTGGTTGCGGATTGCTATGGTTCTCGCAATGTCGCAACGGGAGTAACAATTGTCAAATTTGAAAGCGTTGCAGAGCAGATAGGGACGGACGGTTCTGTCAGTGTTGCCGACGTGTTCTGTCGATGGGGATCTCGAATCTATCTGGGGCTGAGAGAGGCCGTTGAGCAACGAAGGCGGAGGTCAGCGTTCACTGATCGCCGGCACTGCTGTTTTTGGTGTAGGTGTACAGTGTATCATATCATGGACTAGGTATGCTCTGAGCATCTCACGCGTTTGCCAGGTCCGATGGTCCAAGATGGCGGTGGAGAAGATGCGTTGGCAAAAAGAGACGAGCAAAGCGGCGGTGGTGACATTCTGAAGGGAGGCGAGTCCGGGGTCGACCAAACCAGTCAGCGTATGAAAGAGTGAAAATTTCGCGGAGGGCGTTCGCGGAGAGAAGAGATACCGAAAGAGTTGCTGGAAACGAGGAGCAAATCTATCCGGCGAATGACAGCTGCCCAACATTCATGCAGCCATCCAGACGACGTCTCATTTTGGCCATCAGCTCTGGTCCTCTCGAGGCCCGAATCCTCAAGGGTGTCTGATGGGGGCGGAAGGACATAAAGAGGAGAACGCATGCACGGGGAGGGGTTGGGACAGATTGGTGGGGCTGCGTGGGTGGCAGTCTGGGCGCATGCTCTGCTTGCATATTTGAGTGAGCAAGGAAAAATGACAGGCAGGGGAGGGCTTTGAATGCAACATCAAGAGGCGAGCCTGGCTGCCCGCGACGCGTAACGACAAGAGAGTTGGCGAGAGAGAAAAACAAGCTTTTTCAAACATCTTTGGAGACAATTGAAGCGGAAGATGCGGAAATGGTGGGAAGCTGAATTTTCTTACGAGTTCTCGTCATGTGTGTCCGATTACACCTTCCTTTTTGAATTGTCCAAGGCACCACAGCGCATATTTTCTCATGATGGAAAGTACGACCAGGTAAAATAAATAAATACAATCTCAATACTACTCCCTATAGAAGGAACGAATGATACAAACCCATTTTTGAATGTCAATGGAAAAAATACGCTCAGGCAAAAAAAGGAAGCTACGACCCGGGGAAGTGGCAGGAGCGACCTACTGCAACAACACAAACCGCGACTTAGTATCTCCCATTTAGATGGTTATTATCGAATTAAAAGGAAATAAAGCTTTCATTTACGAGAGTAACAAGCGACAAATGCGCATGCGATTTATACAATTGAAAAATTGTCTACCTGTACATTCCAGGCCCCTTCCCCTCCAGTGCCTTCGTCTTATGTCTTATCTGGCTCCTGTTATTGCCGTGGTACTGGCTCCTTCCCAATCACAGATCCTTCCCTATGTGAACCTTTGGTTCGGGAGCTGTGCGGGAAGGCACGAGAGTGCAACCAGTTCATGTAGAAAATATGCGACGCTTTTCAAGACGGCAAGCTGGGTCCTCGAACCACAGATGGTCTCCGTTCCTTAAGATTTCCACGGGCCATTCCAATACTGCTTGGAGTTCTATCATAATTTTCAGTTGACAATTGTATCCAATTCATGGACATCTACCTCATCGACACTCAACCAATTACGTGAGACATTGTCTGGCATATGACTTGCAGGCAGTATAGATTGAGCCATTACCGTCGTCGTCGTTCGGACGGTTACGGTGGAGGAATTAACTCAAGGGTGAATCACATGTTGCTGACAATGGATCAGTACTCCTCCTCCTACGCAGCCGTCCCGACAGACAACGTCTCTTGTCAGTGCGAACTTATTCCGGGGCCGCTCTTCGCACCTATCTTTTGTCGTTGCATCTCAATGACAAGACTCTCGAACACGGAGCGCTTGAGTATTGACTTCGAGTGATCGCACCTCGGCAAAGATATTCTATCCACTTCCTCACTGCACGCAACACGATGTGTACCGATGCGACATATCTTCTAGCTTTTACATAAACATGACAGTGGACATAGCACGGCGCAAACTGACCAAAAAAAGACTGTCTGGGATACAGGAAATCCTTCATCCCTGCAGTCCACTCGATTGAGTCGAACTCGCTTATTCGAAATGTAACGGTGTATCATTAGAAATATGGACATTATCCCGGCCAAAAGTCCATTTCTTCAAGGAACACGCCGAACGGATGTGCGTCTAGGCCATCACAGCTCAGGAAACGGTTTCCTTTCTTTGGTCTAAAGAAATGCTGTGACCGGGTGCGTGCATACTTGTGGTATTGATATTTCTTCATTCAGGCAAGATTTCCGCGTGTCACACACACAATTTGATTGCTTTTGCAGCTGAAATTGTTTTCTTGCCATGGCCCCGATGCATTGTGTTGTTCTCGCAATCAACCAAACTCGCTCGTCATGCATTTCACCAATAAGCCATTGCCTCGTGTCAAAGGTACGCCACGAAGGGGGAGGCAACAGTCGGATGCAAACGGATATCTGCAGCTATCTGCATACAGCAAGGCGTTCTCGTTTTGGGTCACCGTTTTCTTTTCAATTTTTTTGTCTCCTTTGTTGCGGGCATTTTGCTGCTCTGCCTTCGGGTCCGAGCTTTTGTACTCCGAGGTAGCCGCTTTACAATAGAAAGAATACGAGATGCCGTGTACTTGGTATTTGAACCGTACCTTTTATATTGTATTCCAATTATCTGAATTTATACTTCATTACTTAAAATACCTTAAGTATCATGGCCAGGGACTACTAGCGGTGACCAGTGTTGTTCTACAGACGTTGTCCTCGAATGATTATTACTTTTTTGACGCAGCACCTGCGTCCCGGGTTTCCAGTCTCTTTCATCCTGCCAACGGTGCGGGCCTTTTATTTTCTTCTCTAACAACGGCAACTGGTCGAAGCTTTTGCATTAAACTCGTTCATTTTTTGGTAGACGCAGGGGCAGTTACCTTGGACGGCATGAGAAAAGACGCAGAACATATGACGTAAACGTGGAGTCACGATAATCCTAGTCTCAGAACCCTATGGTAACAATACCAGCCGTCTTCAACAACATACTCTTTTTGGTAAATATAAACCAGTGCTTCGTGGCCTCCAAATACTGTGGCATCGACTCGAAGAGAACAAGTTTCCATTAAACGACAACATGCACTGCTACATGTAGAGAGTCAATATTTTGGTGATAAGTCGTCTTGATTTGAAGCGAGACGCGAATGTTAGACCGACAAGGTTGACGGCTCCTCATCGAGTCACATAATGACCAGTTGCAAAGATTGCTGTCGACAGTGAGTTGCATATTTTAGGCAGCGTGTCACGTATTTCCGACTTGGATATTTACGCAAAATTCTCCACTTATGTGTCGATCATGAAGCACCACCAATACAGCTTGGAAAGAACAAGGCTCCGGAGACGGTGCTGCAATTGCGAGACTTGACGGTTTGTGCCACGTGAGTGCAAATCATCTCATATCGAGGGGTCTGCGGTAATGATGTCGAAGATTATTAATAGTACATACTGGGGAAATCCTATAAAATAAAGGGCTTTCTAGAAAACAGGAACCACGTCGTGACATGCGGCGTGTGCTACTCACCTCGTTGCCTCCAACAATTCCACGTCGATTAGCCGGTCGAAAGGCCGGTTCATTGCACAATTACACAAGATTTGTGAAGCGTTGCGATACCGCTGGCTGCCTCTGCTTGGCAACTTGCTTGTGGCGTCAGAATCACTACCGAGAGGCTGTGCAAATGCTGCGTTTTGGGACGGCCGCTGGTGCTGGGCAAGCCCGGTGTAAAATAGCAGTGCACAGCTTTTAAGTGTCATAATTCAAAGTGTCATGTTGAAATTCTAAGAGACGAACCAGAACAAAGGTCAGAAAGAAGCTGACATCATCTTGGCAGCCAGTCCACTAATGTCGCTGTTAGCTTTCCTGCGTCCTATAGCAGCCAGTGACAGCTACCGCTCCAGCCCACCGTCTCCTCTGTTTCGGAAGGCGCTTGTGAGGCCTCTTTCCCGGCCGCATCCACTATCACCAAGTCGCCGTCGTTCCTGCCATTATGATAAATGTGCCAAAACCCCCAAACTTGGAAATACCCCTCTCTGATTACTCCTCTCCTAATGTGCTTTCTTTGCCGCGCCAAACAGCATCCACCTCTAAGCGCCGACCTCACGCGCGCTCACATCCAATTCGTTCTTTCCTCCCCGGTTCCTCGAGTGTTTAATTTTGGCGCAACTGGACGTCATAACCCAGTTGCAAGGCCTTCTGATCTGTGGCAGGAACTGAATTTGTCACCCAGCACCTTCCATCTTTCCTTTCCCCTTCGTTGTCTGATCGTCTGCTTTTCGTAAAATTTTAAATCTTGCCAGTTTTCCCCGACTCCCTTTCATACCGACTCTCGTCTCTGTCCCATCACCATTCCTCGAACAGATCTGCCCGCCGTCACACTGTCACACTATCACGCTCGTATCGAACCAAAACCCCCTGTGCCACTCCCCTCCACGACTCGCCTGCCCCTCTTTTGGGGATCGCCTGTCTTCCCGTCGCCAAGAACGCCTCCTCTGTCCGTCCGCCAACGCTGTCACGATTGCAACGACAAAATAAACAAGAACTAGACATCTACAACATAAAGGGTGGCATTTCAGACAAAGCGTGCAACGAGACAAAGACGCACGCCCAACCTAAAAACGGGCAAAGTATCTGAACAGACGCTGCAGTCTTTGCAACAACCGTCCAGCCAAGAATCTTTCGATTCCTCTTTACTTCTTTCCATTATTTTTTGTTTTCTATTTTTGTTTGACCGGAGTTGTGCTGCTGGAAGGGCCAGTCCTCCTTGCTTACGCGGCACTGGCAAACACAATGGCGTCCAGCCTCAATGTAAGTGATTTGTTTTTGTACTCCTCAGTTTAACATTTCTTTCGCTGGTCGAGTGTCGGTGTCGCGCAATGGAATAATGAATGTGGGCTGACAACGTTTTCTTTTACAATTCTGCGCAGGATCCAAAGCTGCTGTACGCCATTACCGGCGTCTCGGCATACCACATAGCCAATGGCGCAGAGAGCTCTCTTACACCGGCAGGTCCGCAGACGCTGTCGCTCCTGATGGTCCCAACGGCGTCTCCATTCGCCGACATGTCGATTGACGGCAACCATCCGGATAGCGGCGGTCAAGGGCAGGAAGAGGATTTCTATTTACATCTGCACCTGCCACCTGAGCTCGACCTCCCTCTTCCGGCGACCACTCAGATCTACCACCAGCCGCCGAGCAGCTACTTGATCCCGCGCTGGGATCTCGGCCGCAACAGTGGTGTCTTCACGCGCATTGAGTTCCCGGCGGTGGGCAGCCGCAAAGGTCTGCAGGAGGATGTCGACACATTTGAAACCATCTTGGCCCAGTGTACCGCATTCCTCGAGCGCGCACCACCACCGAAGATTTCGTCCCGCAAAGACAAGCCTTCAAAGGCACCCGGGTCGTCGTCTGCGGCAGCTGTTGCAAGAGAATCTGCCGCTGGTGCTTCAGGCTCATCTTCTGGCCGGTATCAGTCAGGGAGTGGCGAGAAACAAGGGTTTGGCGAAAAGCAGCGCGCTTCGGCTTCTCGGTCGTCGCGGTCGGCCATTTCCGAGGACTTGCCAGCCTACAACCCGGCAGCGTTCAAGCCCGGCGAAGCATATGCGGCAGGCAGCCATAGCTCACAGGCCGGGGGCCAGCTTGTTCTCATCGACGAGGAAGACGGCAGCGTCATCGGCGAACTGGGTGACCATTACCAAGTCATTGAAGACAAGTCCCTGATGCCAGGCTCCAAAGGTATGCTTCACGTCGTCGATTGCACTTTGTTCCTCTTCTTCACGATAATCTAACAAAGGTAGAACCCGTCGAAATTACGCTTCCCACGGAAGCCGTCCCCAGCATCTCCGTCGCGCCCGCATCGCACGAATATGTCGAGACTTTGCATCCCGCCTACCAAAAGTCCTCTCTCGTGGCCAATGCCGCTGCTGCTTCGCGTCTCATTGTCACAACATCTGAGCTGGTGTCCAAGGCGTTGCAAAACCAGGCCGACAAGTTCGCCGAGAAGGCCGTTCCCTCGAACAAGCCCATAACGTTCCAGCCCTCGACACATGAACACATTCGCCGTATCAATACGTTCTCTGCGGGCGCAGCAGGTCTTTCTGCCAAGGCAGTCGGCCAGGTCGGCAAAGTGGCGCAGAACCTGGGAGCCAAGCTGGCCGGCCACAAGGCTCACGACAGCATCAGCAGCACGGGAAGCAGTACGGCGTACAGTGGCAAGTCCCGCCGCCAGCCTCCGACTGGAATGGGTCCCGATGGGCAGCCCATCAACGAATTCCGCCCTGGCCTGCTCAACAAGAGTCTGATGGCCTTTTCGACGGTCGCCGACGGTATTGAACAGGCCGGCCGTCACTTGCTAGACACGTCCTCGAATGCCGCCACAACCGTAGTCTCCTCCAAGTGGGGAAGCGAGGCGGGCGAGGTTACGCGCAATCTGACTGGCGGCATCAAAAATGTCGGCCTCGTCTATATTGACGTCACTGGTGTGTCGCGTCGTGCGCTTATCAAGAGCGTGGCCAAGGGCATGGTCATCGGTCACGTCCCGGGTGGCGGCAACCTAGTGGTAGGTGGTGGTGACGGCGGCGGACCTGTGATTTCGCCGACCGGCTCGCCGCCTCCACTGCCGCCCAATCGCCCGACGTCCAGCACCCCCGATCCTCGGGGCGGTAATGATGGCCGCAACGGCGGCGAGTCTACTAGTGGCCACGACAGTAGCAGCAGCAGCACCAACCCCAGTGCCCCAGTAAGCCGCGTGCGGTCAACCCACGACTTTGCCGACAACAACCCATACCGGGGACGTTGAGTGTGACGCAATTTCCCAAACGTTTCGGGGTGGAATTCTGCTCGATTTGCGAACTGGTTTGAAAATACGGAAAGGAATTTGTGTCAGGTTTTACTTGTGGTTTTGTTCCGCTCATATGTTAATATGCCGTATGTATTTCGTACAATGCAGCAGCTATTTTTGTTCAAATGAAAAAAACAACAGTGTCACGTTTAATGAGAGTAAAGAAGAGCTGAGGTTTCGTTTGTATTAAACAATGGCCTGCGCTTTCGTAAAGTAGCACCTTTTACCAGCAGAACGCTTCTCCACAGCGGTAGGGGCCCCATATTCGCTATAGCGCCTTTGTGTGTTAAAACGCGTCTCTACCCCTCGCACATACCTCGAACGCGCCTGCCTGATAAGATACCAAATATCTGCTCGACGTGTGCGACTTCCTTCTCATATGCGACTCCATCTGTACCTTCCCAAACTAATGACAGCACTCAGTACTCTCCGATTATCAACATACAGATCCATCATCCAACACAACAACCAACTGCGAGGCCGCCAATGCTTCGTGTCTGTCCCTCACTGACCCCGTGAATCCACGTCCCGTATCCACGACCGGTCGCATACTGCGGATACCAAGGACATTCATTGCACCCCCCACATCTTCGTCTCTGTGTCCATGTGCCGCTTTGAGCTGCTTGGTTGTTTGATCTTGCTGTCCCATGACCTCAAGGACAAGCCCCAGTACGCCGGCCTCTCCTTGGTAGCCCTCTGCTCCTCCCCGCCTCGTGCTAACTCAACCTTACTGTCCAGTCCATGCTCCACGAAATCCTCCTCTCCCTCTCTGGCCACAGCTCGCCGCTGCTCCGGCCTGACGGCCCACCCCGTCATGGCAATACCGGCGCGCAGGATAGCAGTGCTCCCAGCCTTGGGACGGCATCCAGCCCGGAGCCGGCCCTCTCGCCGTCCGAACGCGCACTGCTCTCCGACCTTGCCCGCCTGAGCGACCTCCACATCCGCCTGCGCGCGCACGCCACACACATTGCCGCCGTACACCCGTCCGCGGTATGTCGCGCTGTGGCTGCCGCCGTTGTTTCGGTCCATCTAGCTGCGTTTCAGCGCCATGTGCTCGCCGTCGAGGCAACTGTGCTCAAGCGTGATCCGATCCTCGTCGGTGCCTACGATATCGTACCACTGACGGCCGTTGTGGGCGCTTTTGCCGATTGGCCGCGGCGATTCGAGTGGTTGTGGGCCATTGTACAGTATATCTTGCCCGAAAGCAGTGCTAGTCGAACCACGAAAGCAACTGCCAAATCACCTGCAAAGATCTCGCCGGACACACCATCGGGTTCCCAGCTTATCAACCGCCTCCGCGCAGAACTCCAGACCGGCTACGAAGATGTTGAACGCACGGCACGCAGCCTCGTGCGCGTGGCCGAGACAACCTGGCTGAAGCAGGTCTCGGCGTGGATTTTGTACGGCCGGTTGCCCAGCTTCGGCGGCGGCGACTTCTTCGTGCAGCAGGAAGCGTCCACGGCCGACATGACAGGCGAATACGTCTGCATCAGCCAGCACCTGCCGGCCTTTGTCACACCTGCCACCGCCGCCTCCATGCTTTTTATCGGACGCTCGCTAGTGCACCTGCGCGCTAAGACGGACAGCAGGAGCAGCAACGGGCCCAAGGCCAGCCACTGGCTCAGCGACGGTGTCGTGGGCAGCGGTGCCATGACCACGACCAGTACCGGCAACTACCACTTATCGACCCAGCTGCAGGAGCTATCCAAACTTACGTATCCGCTGGATGGCGCCTCGTTTGCTCGCACCATAGCACACATCCGCGCCGTACTCTCCCGCACGGCGTTGCGCAAGCTGCTGCCCCCGGCCAAGGTGGTTGACATGCTGCAGCTGCTGCGCGACTTTTACCTCCTCGGCCGTGGCGAGTTTGCCATGGCACTAGTCGAGCAGGCGGACGAGACGATGCGCAGCCGCTGGCAGAGGTCCGACGGTGCAGGCGCTGCGCCGCCCACAACGGCCAGCAGCGTACGCGGTATGACTGCTGTGATTGTCAAAGACGGCGAAGTGGCGGCCGTGCTGGCACGGACGTGGGCGATGCTAGGCGCCATGCATGGCCGCAACGCCAATGCCGACCAGGGTGAGGAGGAGGATGAGGGTATGGAGCTGGCGCGGGAAACTTTGCGGCTTGTCTTGCAAAAATCAACCACATCCACGTCCACCACTCCAGCAGCACGGACACCATCGGCAGGCGCCACGGTGGTGGCCGGTAGCCTCGGAAATGGACGGCAACGGCACACCACCCTTGCTTCAATCGCTTCAACGCCTTTCCAGAACCTCTTGTTTTCGGTTCCCGCGTCTCTTGTGCTACAGATTCCCTACCCGCTGGACCTGGTTCTCAGTGCTGCCGACCTTCAGTCGTATTCGGCGATTCACGCCTACCTACTATCCATCCGCCGCGCACATATCCGCCTGACAGGGTTATGGAAACTGTCATCACTACGACGGCACCACCCGCCACCGCCAACTCCTCCGTACGGTGGCCGTGGTCGACACAGCCTCGAGCAGGTCCAAATGCTACGTGAGAGATACACCACTCGTGCCAACGCGCTGCGGAGCGTTTGGGCAACTACTAGCGCGGCCATCTTCTTTTTGGCAGAAATCGAGAACTACTTGCAGATGGATGTCGTCGTGGAGCTATGGGACGGGTTCCAGAGGTGGCTGACCATTGGAAACGACGAGCCGATGAGAGGGGTCGGGGTCAGCAGCAGCGTCTCCCAGAAAAGCAAACCCGCCGAGCGGAAGGAAGATAGCGATGCCGACGTAGAAGGTGGCAACGAAGATGACGCAGACGAAGACGAGGACATTTGGCTAGCCGAAGGACTAGCCGCGGAAGACGACACAGCCCTCCGCATGGACGACCCTGTGGCCGCATCCCACGATCCCCAGAGCCTCGCGACTGCGCACCGCCGCTACCTGCGACGCCTCGTGCGCCGGTTGCTGCTCGACCGTGCGCACTGGACGGAGCCGCTGTACGCGCTGCTTGTGTCCATCGATCAAATGGCCGCACTTGTGCACCGTTTACATAGTCTATGGCTGGCACTCGATCTCGAGTCCGACGCGGGTGTTGTCGACGCCTTTGTAGACCTTGACCGCGAGCAGCACGACGTCTTGGATGCGCTGGCGGCGGCCGAGCGGGGTGTGCGGCAGGGTGTGCTGACAGTCGTGGGCGTGCTACGGGACTTGGAAGGACAGGAGGATGGCCGTGGCGAAGAGGAGGAGGAGGAGGATGAGGAGGACGACGACGGAGACTTTGGTGGCTGGGCCGACGGTGGTCTCGCCGAGAACGGCCTGCGGGCGGCCGGGGCGTACGTGCCGCGCCGGGTTGGACGGCTGGATCGGCTGTTAATGAAGCTGGACTTTGGCAGTTGGGGTGGCTAAAATGGTTTATGATAACGAAACTGGCTCTGTCGCATTTGCAATGAATACGAAAGATTTTGAGCAAAAATTTGCACAACATGACTTGCATGGTTATGGTTAATTTTCTTGGGGTTTCGATAATTTCCTTCGCAGCTATGGAGAGCAAATGTTTTTGGAAAGTATGAAAATTTGATCATACTTTAACTACACGTGAATGTGTGTGTGCGAATATACACATATTGAAGCAGATGCATATACCTTATACCGAACGCCAATTTTGGGTTCGAAAATCAAAGTTCTAATGCATTCAACGCAGGTCATAACTTTCCATGAAACGGATATTGAGTAATATGAAACGGGACTCGGATTCTCATGATGGCTCACCCACACCCGGGCTGTTTAGGTTATTTACACGTTTTAACGCATCGATGTAGTTCAACGTTAACCTCTGCCGTGCGCAAAGAAACAAGAAAACCAGAAACAACGGCAAATCTCATAGGCACCAGGGGTTTTGCCTCCGGTAAAGCTCAAGACAACGCCGCCAGTGTTTGATCTTGCTTAGGTGTTCTTCTTATGCCTGGCTCGTTTTACACTTTTGCCTGTTGAGCAATTCTTATTACCTTATTTATTTGCATGGCATGCCTGCATTTTGCAATCCACCGTTTTCTTTTGCGCGTGTCCTTACACAGCATTGTGTTGGATACGTCGTCCAACCAAACGTGCGGGTCTGATTCTCTGTGTTTCTCCCACATACGCAACGGTCGTCTGCAGTGGTGACGGGCAAATGAATGCATTTGTGTTCTTGGACTGTATTATTTGTTTGTTTATTTAATATTATTATTGTATTTTTTTTATTATTAAAAAAACCCTTCTTCCGTGGATTCTATCGTTGTCTCTTTACTTTATTTGTATAACAATAACCTTCCGTATGGTATTATACATCCTCGTGCCTCATACACATCTTGTACGGCGACATCTTTGACCACTGCTATCGTGTACGCTGTGCAGATGTTCATCGACTCATGATTATTTCTGTTGCATTGGTCGCGTCATCCATCTGCAGCTTCCTTTTGTAATACACCAGGAACCTTGCCCAAAGAGGTCTTGGGGGCCAAGGCCAGAACTAATGCAGACTTAGCAGGACAGTGCGAGCCTCCAAACGCGCTAGCGACATGCCCCCAATGGGTGCTCTTCACAACAACACCTGATGCCGATAGCGCTCTTCATATAGTGGCCTCTGGCCGTTCGTATGTTATTAGAGGCAGCAATCCCGCGCATCCAGCCTAAAGTCGCCTATCGTTCCTTTCACGTACTGTAATTATAACGGTGTGTTTGGCTCCTTTTCAGAGGCCGAAAGCCCCACTTTTATTGTCGCGTTTTCCTTTTATTGGGGCGTTCTTGGGCCTGTGGCCTTGAGTCCGTCCTGTGATTCGTCCAACCGCTCCCTTAATCTGGAATCGCCCCGCTTTAACCCGGCTAGCACTGTGCCAGAAATGCATGCACTGTTTGTGATTGGGCCTCCTACGCCTCTATAGCGTGTTGTTTTGTAAGGCTTTGCTGCCTTGATGCCTGGCCTTTCCCAAAAATTCTTTCTGGTCATGTTTTTGCACGGATGTGATCTCTCCACTCCAGCTCGCTGTTCTGCCCTTATCACAGTGCGTTCGCCACCTCTAGCAGCGCTGAAGTTTTCTTTTGTAATCTTAGCACTCCCTCTTCTGTTCTTGCCACACTCCCTGGGTGTTTGGGTCTTTTTGGTGCATTGGCAGATTGGCTGGGCTCCTGGGCTGTTGCTCTTTCCAGCTCCTTTGCCCTTGCTTGACGCGCCGCTTCGTGGGTCTTGCCTGCCTTGTGCGTGTGCCCGCTGGCCCCCTTCCCTGTTCGTCCCCTTCCTGCCCTTGTCTGTTCCCATTTCTCTCGTCCGCTCCTGCCCTCCCTTCCCTCACCCTTCCCTCCACTACGACCGCCCTCCCTCCTTCCTGACTTGCCATTTTTCTTCAATCCACTCCCTCCCACTTCTCGTCATCTATCCACACGCCCGCCGCCCGTTTGGTGCAAGACGCAACAAGGGGTCCCAGGGCTCGAACGTCGGCCGAAAAAATACATTCTCTGCATAGGTCGAGAAACATCAAATGCGTGCTCCGCATCCACACGCATTTTGAGCCTCGTGTCGATTCTTTGTCGACTCGCGCGCTGGCCGTCTGTTGGGGCTCGTGAGCTGACCGGAGAGTTGGGTCGACTCTCGCCTCACGTCCTCAGAAACCCATCTCCTCCATTGTGTTTAGCATCCACCGCGTCATTTCGTGTCGGCCTGCATCTTTGGTTCGCTACGGCTGTCACAGCCATTCCTACGGCGAGTGACTCTTCGCATTGTTCGCGCCCACCAGATTCTGTCCGACGCATCTCGACTCCGATTCATTCTGTTCGAAAACCGCTCGTATCTGGGAGTCCCACGAACACGGCCGCACGTCTCGCCCACCATGTCTAACGGACTGTCCTTTGGCGGCGTCAATGGCATGCGGCGCGGTTTTCCGCAGCAGCAAAATGCTACGGCCAACAAACCGCCGACGTCCCTTTCGCACGGTGGACCTTATCAGGCGTTCCACCAACAGCAGCAAGCTTCGTCGCCGTATGCCCACCACATCTTTACCGGCTCGGCACCACCGCCACCAGTGCAGCTCTCCGGTCTTCAAAATACCGGAGCCCGTCCGTCGCCACCGCAGGTCACTGCTCCGGTGCCTCGGAATCGCCAGATGCAGCAACCACACCAGGTTAACTACTTGGCGCAGGCGCTGAACCAGCAGACGATGGGACACCAGGTCCAGCAGAACGACGGTTCTCTCATGGCCCAGCAGCAACGGACGCAGCAGCACCCACAACATGCGCAGCACCAACAGATGCCACAGCACCAGCAGCACCATCAACAATTGCAGCAGTCGCAGCAGCCTCAGCATCAACAGCATGCGCAACACGCACAGCAGCACGTCCAGCATCAACAGCATCAACAACATCCACAACATACCCAGCATGCTCAGCATCTGCAACACGCGCAGCACCAGCAACACGCGCAGCATGCTGCTCAGCACAATCAGCACGGGCAACACAACCAGCACGTGCAGCATAATCAGCATCAGCAGCATCAACAACACCATCAGCATGCAGCGCATTCGCAGCTGCCGCAACATTCGCAGCCCCCGTCCTCAAACTCGTTGACCCCTCAAGCGCTATCTCAGTCGCCTATCCCCCCGGCACAACACATTCAGCAGGCGCAAAAGGTGCAGCACAATGTCCAGCACCAGGTCCAGCAGCAACACCAACAACACCAGCAGCACCAACAGCATCAGCAACAACAGCAAGCCCAACACCAGCAGCAACAGCAGATGCAGCAGACGCAACAGGTTCATAAAGCCCAAAAAGCGCAGCACGCTCAGCAGCAGGCGCAAGCGCAAGCGCAAGCGCAGGCGCAAGCGCAAGCGCAAGCGCAGGCGCAGGCGCAGGCACACGCACAGGCACAGGCTCAAGCCCAGGCGCAAGCACAAGCACAAGCCCAGGCTCAAGCTCAAGCTCAGGCACAGGCGCAAGCTCAGGCGCAAGCTCAGGCGCAGGCTCAGGCACAGGCTCAACAGGCCCAGCAGGCCGCCCAGCAGCTGCAGGTGCAGAAGACGGTCCAGGCCCACCAGAAAGCGCCACATGCGTCTCCGACGCCTCCACCACCGAAACCCGATGCTACAGCACCTCCTGCACAGGAGGAACAAAATGAGGAGGAAATGGAGGTGGACAGTTCCGCAAACGAAGCGGCGGGAGCGGACGGTCAGGCCGATAAAAACGCGGATGGCAATGTCCCGTTCGTGCCGCGCCAACCAATGGGCGCCCTTATGTCTGCTCCGCCCGAAGGTGGCAGTTTCCCCTCACTGGAGGCTGTGCATAAGTTTGTGCTGGGATATTGCACATCGGTGGGCTACGCTGTGGTAATTGGGCGATCGAAGAAGACCGTGCCGGGGTTGAAGAAGGTCCTCTTCGTGTGTGACCGGGCAGGCAAGCCTCCACGGCGTGTCAGCCCGGAGCAGCGGAAGCGGAAGACGTCATCACGGAAGTGCGACTGTCAGTTCGGATTTTTCGCTATCGAGCAGCGGACGCAATGGACGGTACGATACCGGCCGGATACGAGTCACTTGAAACACAACCACGGTCCCAGCGAGAGCCCTGTACTCCATCCGGCTGCCCGGAAACTGGACAGCAACATGGTGGCAGCCGTGAAGGCCCTGAAGGACGACGGTGCGTTACCTGCTGCGACCCCCACTACCACTACCAAGCCCAGAGCCAAGCCCAAGTCCAAAACCACCCCGTTGAAGAAGGGAGCAGCAAGTGCCAGTGCAGGAGCGGGAGTTGGAGCAGCGGCGGAAGGAGCGGGAGACTCAGAAGAAAAAATGACAGAAGGTGCCAGTGGTTCTAACGCTTCGGTTACAGGCGTCGGAGTGAGCCAGACACTTGAGATTCTGCAGACGGAGAACCCCCATGTGCCACTGCTGCCGCGAGACATCTACAATGCCCGTGCTGCGATCACGCGGAACCCAAACAAGGTGGCATCGGCGATCGCGGAAAATCGACCGGCCATTTATAGCAAGCCGCCGCCGACCGCCGATGAGCGCATTAAGACCGACCTACGGCGCGAGCTGGCGCAGGCCAAAGACGAACTCGCAAAGTACAAGGAAGACACGCAAAAGGAGATTGACGAGCTCAAGCGGAAACTGGAAGAAAAGGACCAGGTCATCCAGCGGTTTGAGATGTTTATTGACATCTGCAACCAGCGTGTCATCTTGCAGCGGGAACGGCTGTCCGACAACAACGATGGTGCGGGTGGGCCGAACCTTGCCGCATAGCAATGACAGAGCGGCAGGTGCCGACCAAACCCTACATCATCTCTTCCGCCCCTTCTTTTCCATCTCGTTCTTTTCTTTTCTAACCTTGTACATTTCGTGGTTTATGTATGCACACGCACTCTGCCGTGCTCACGTCCACTCACTTCCACACTCACTTGTCTATATTTCACTTGTGTGACTTTGGGTTTTGGGAGTCTTCTTGGTTTTTGTTCTTTTTGGGCTCTGGCATTGCACGGTCGGTACGGTGCGTAGAACGGTGCTTTTTTGATCTTCCATCTTTTTAGTGCTTCTTGTCAGAGGGATGATGGAAAACGTGTCATGGAATAGGTCTTGCACGGATGACCACCAGGTTAACATCGCTTCATCAGAGCCGAATAGCAACAGGGAGCATTGTCGGGCTTATTTCTTCCTAGGTTTTCTAGGTTTGGCGATTTATTCTTATTAACGTGCTTTGTATTTCATGTTTAGGCAGACATTTTGTTTATGGAATCGTTGCGTTATTTTGTTGTATTTGCGTTTTGCATTTTGCGTTTTGCGCTTTTCGTTTTTCATCACTCCTTGAAATACTATTGTTCTCTGCCAATTGACCGCGTATGTTATTAATGAATCTTCAGTCAATTTACGACAAAATTATATTATGTGTGACAGGCACTTGCTGTACTTCGTAGGGCAAACGGAAACAAACCAAAGCAAACCTAACCCTTGCATATGGAAAGCTGGTCCCTGCTCTTGTGTGTCCAAATGATTGATCATATTTCTCTGCACGGGACTCGTTCATCGTCTGTTCTCAAGACCGGCAAGGAAATACGACATAATAAATATATGATATATGTTAATCCTGAGCGAGCTTCATGTCGATATTGGACTTGCATATCTAGCCGTACCCTTTGGAATGTGGGATATGGTGTTCTGAAGTCACTTGGTTCTGTGACGAGAGCATGCTCGGCCGCTTCCCCCATTCGATTAAGCTTTGATGTTCTGCGTTCTGCAAACCCCTCCATTCCGTCGGCATGCCCTGTGCAAACACATCTCAGACCGTCTGCCGTTCCCAAACCATCGGGACGCCAGAATATGCAGCTCTGAACTGCCGGCTCTTGACCATGTGGGTGTGTTTGGTGGCACTGTCTTTGAGCTTGCTTTCAACGGTCGTTTTGACGCTATTTTGCAGGATTACGTTTTTCACACCCCTCTTCACTTGTCCTATTCGTAAATCCACGTCGAGAAACACACCAACCGGCAGACCAGCGGGTCACGCCGCTGGGGCAAATGGAGGACGCTAAACAAAGCTGGTGCTAGCGTGTGCTGGCTTGGGCACAAAAGGGGATGTGAGTGTAGAAACAAACAAACGGCCGGGTGTTGGATGGTGGGATCTGGACGTGTTGTTGAACATCTGCACAGAATTCTGGAAGACGACCGCATGGAAGCAGCTGACAATATATGCGCATTCTGGCTACGGGTGTACTCCGTGCGTCGTCCTTGATTGTGTACCACTCTGTTTGGAAGGTGCCATGTGCGTGTCGCATGAATGCCCTGCCTCGCCTGCCTATTCTTTCCGTCCAAAGCAAGGCAGGCGCGACACCAATCACAGACGCGTGCCCCACACCTCTTTCCCTCTCACTGGTTCTTCTGCACGGCGTTGTGGGACGCCCCTCCCGTTTTGGAGAGCACCACTCTTATTTCCTTATTATTTTTGCTGGCCCCTGACATGGACGTGACCAGGGGAGGGGTGCCCCATGGTAATTTCGAGTACCCATTTGGTGCTCTATTTCCACTATTACGCTGCGTAAGATACTGCGTGCCGGGATGCACCTGCTATTTGCTGGTTCTAGCGTCGCGTTCCTTCCGTTTGGACGGAGAAAGCTGCGTGGCTTCCTTTTGCGTGTCTCCTATTTTGGCCACAGCCAGGGGACCTGCTCGAAACTGGAAAATCCTCATCGCGAGACTCGAAGCGAACCGCATTTCTCTTCTGTTCTCTCCATAACCACATACAATAGGCAAGTCAACGGTTTACGGCGTTGCTTGCTTTTTTTTCTTTCTCTTTTTTTTCTCTCTCTCTCCATTCTTTTACCTAAAACGAGCCCAGTACACTCGCATTACAACGCACACGCATACCTCACGATAGATACCCGTGATCTTTAGACGCGTTTTCTTTCTTCATTTTCGACTTTTCCGACTGGCTCTTTGCGTTTTGCGTCTGTCCTTCGGTTCTCGACTCTTTCTTCTCGTGCCTTCTCTTCTCCGTTTTCTCTTTAACTACTATTTGTTTTAATCGAAGGCAAGCTCTTCTTGCTGTCCTGCTCGACATCCTTCAGATACCCACGAATCCGACGACCCCCTTTCCGAGTCCGTCCGAGTATGCGCATTTCGCCGATGAAGACATAGAAGAACGGCTCCGAGCTATAGAATATCGACCGAGAACGGCACACCCCTCATCTCTCTCTACGTTCCCCAACAAGCCGGCACTATGGATGTGGTCGTCCCATCGCCGGTGTTGGCTAACGGCATCAGCTCTGCAGCGGGCGGACCGACGTCACCGTTGACGCCTGGGGGTTCAGCCGTGGGCGGTGGTGTTTCGCCATCGTCCTACGTTGACCCGGCCCGTGTTGTTGACCATATTGCCGCTGTCCTCGAAGCCGCACTTGGCGCCACCCGCGAAGAGCTCGAAGCTCCTGGCAGCCTCCTCTCAAAGTCCCGCTACGCCGACACCGTGCAGCGCTGCTCCCGGTTTGCCCATGAGCCCCAAGTTGTTTCCCTCTACATCCAGAAAGACCTGCTCCCCACGTCCGCAATAACACCGGTGGCTGCGACCCCATCAAGATTAGGCAACGCAGACGAGAATGACAACTCACCGAAACCGAGCGCCCCGTCCCATGTCTTTTCCCTGGCGGCCGACCTGTCGGCCATTTCCATGACCGTCGCCTTCCTCGTACTCCTCAAGCGGCCGCAACCGCTCGACCCCAATGTCCCAATCACGTCCCAAGTCCAGATGCTCAACTTGCCCGGACCGGCATACCTGACCGCTACGGCCGGTGAGCAGGGCCTGTCCACGTCTCCCTTTGAGATCCTGCAGATGTATCTGCATAACGGTCTGGCTCCTTATTTCGACGCGAGCACAAAGCCGGCCGTGAACGCCGCATCTGCTAATGGCACCAGCAGCACCAGCCGCGTGCGTGCCGATCTTGAGGCCAAGACGGGCGTTCCTGTCACCAAGAAGCGTTGGACCGAGCTCGAGCTTAGTTTGGCCCACCTGCAGCAGAATGTCGAGATTCCGGAGGTCGTCCTTCCCTTCCCACCCATCGTGCAGACGGCTCTGGACGACGCTGCTGCGCGAGGTGTGCGGCCCTTCTTCGACCAGCTACCTCAAGGCGTCATCCAGGATACCGCGATGCTCAACAGCCTCCAGGCCACAGTCAACACGTGGATCAAGTCCATCCAGGTGATTACGAAGATGACACAGGATCCTACGACAGGGACGGCAAACCAGGAAATTAACTACTGGCTGTCGATGGAGTCTGCTCTGGAGCGCATCGAGACGCAACTTCGTGGTGATGGCGTCTCCCTGACGCTTGACATCCTTAAGCATGCGAAGCGGTTCCAGGCCACCGTCAGTTTCGTGGCCGACACGGGCCTGAAGGAGGCCATGGAGCGCGTGCAAAAGTACAACCAGCTGATGCGCGACTTTCCCCTGGACGAACTTCTTTCGGCGACTACCCTGGCCAAGGTGGAGGATTCGATTGTGCAAATTTTTGGCCACCTCAACAAGAAGCTGCGTATTTGCCCCTACCCAATCCGCCGCGCTCTCGCGCTTGTGGAGTCCATCTCCGGTGACCTCGACGACGCCATGCACCGCCTGCTTCCTGGCACCGAGCTCGTCGACCTCGATTACAACGAGTTCAACCGCGTCATGAGCGCCACAAACGGCATCTTCCGCGCCTGGGACGACATTGTCAAGGAATTCACAAATGTGGCTCGTGAGGTCACCCGCCGCCGCAACGACAAGTTTATCCCGATCAAAATCAACCCGCGTCACGCCCAGCTGCAAGCACGCCTCAAGTACATCCAGAACTTCCGCGAGAATCACGAGCAGTTGCAGCGCACAATTGTGACCGTCCTCGGCACTAAGGAGTCTAACGCCGACGGCGCTGATACTTCTGCTGCTTCTAACGGCAGTGCCGTGGTAGCTGCGAATGGCTTCGGCGGCCCGTCTGGCTTCGAGGAGACTAGCGATGTCGATGCTGTAGAGGAAGTCCGGCAAGCCTGGGAGGCGCTGCGGAACGTCGATCTGCTGGATGTCACCCCTGAGGGCACCACCAAGTGGGTCCGGGCCGAAAATACCTACAACGAGCGGACCGCCCGCGTCGAGAACTCCATCATTGCCCGCCTGCGTGATCGCCTGGCGACGGCCAAGAACGCGAATGAGATGTTCCGCGTCTTCTCCAAGTTCAACGCGCTATTCGTGCGGCCTAAGATTCGGGGTGCCATTGCCGAGTACCAGACGCAGCTTATCGACAACGTCAAGCAAGCCATTGCCGCCCTCCATGAGCGTTTCAAGCAGCAGTACGGCCACTCCGAGGCCCACGCCATGGCTACCCTCCATGATCTGCCTCCTGTGTCCGGTGCTATCATCTGGGCCCGCCAGATCGAGCGGCAGCTGGACAATTACATGAAGAAGGTTGAGGATGTCCTGGGCGCTGACTGGGCCTTGCACGCTGAGGGCCAGAAGTTGCAGAACGAGAGCATCCAGTTCCGCAAGAAGCTGAAGACGGCCCCCATCTTTGAGGCCTGGGCACGAGATACAATGCGCCGCGAAGTGTCTATTGCCGGCCGCCTTTTCAGCATCAAGCGCGTTCGCTCGGCTGGCAACACCCTGGAGCTTGCCGTCAACTTCGATCCTCAGGTTATTGCCCTTTTCAAAGAGACGCGCAATCTCATCTGGCTCAACTGCTCCGTGCCCCATGCAGTCAACAGCGTTGCGAAGGACGCCAAGCGTGTTTACCCCTACGCTGTCAGTCTCATGGAGAGCGTTCGCACCTTTGCTCAGACCCTGCGCACGATCAACGAAATGCCCGAGGTATCCATATTGCTCAACGGCCACCGCAACGATGTTTATGCCTTGATTGCCAAAGGCGTTCCTCTCCGCTGGGAGTCCTTTGTCAACAGCTACGAGGTCCACCTGCGCGGTCTACCATCACATATGTCTAACGGCAGCATTGGTGGCGGTGCTGGCGGTGCGATGGATCGTCTCAAGGGTGGCGAGAGCCGTCACGTTTTGTTTGTGCGTGAGATTGCGGCAGCAGTATCACTGCTGCAGACCAAGACCGCTACCTTGGCTACCTACCGCGCTACGATTCAGAAATCCATGCGTGAGCTGGCTACCTGCCCCTACGAGGCTGCAGCTTTCGAGTCGCGCTTGCGTTCCATCCAAGAGGCTGTTGATCAGCTAAACCTGCAGCAGTATGCTAACCTTGCGTATTGGGTCGAGGGCATGAACCGGCAGATCAAGGCAACGCTCCTGACTCGCTTGCAGCGTGCCATCCAGGCTTGGATCGAAGCATTTGAGGATGACGTCTCGGCCGATGGCAATAAGCAAACTAAGTCTTCCTTCGGTACGATTGGTTTAAGTAACGCGTCTGCCAACACAGCGTCTACTCGCCGGAAGCAGATTGCCGCCAACGACGCTTCCGCCGCCGCGGCGACCCCAGACGATACTCCTTCGATGAAGCAGCTTGTGCACGAAATTACAATGCGTAATCAGCTCATTTACCTGGACCCGCCATTGGAGTTTGCCCGTGCCAGCTGGTATCTGCGCTTGCAAGACTGGCTCGGTGTTGTTTGCAACCTGCGCAAGATCAAGGCCACCAGCTATGAGATGCGTCTGGGCACGACTATGGTGGAAGACACCCGCTTTAACGACCTGCCAGCTGACTGCACGCCTATGCTCCTACGCGTTCAGACATCGATCGAGACCAAGCTCCAGGCCATTGGCGGTTACGTTGACGAATGGCTTCGTTTCCAGTCTCTTTGGGATCTTCAATCCGAGAAAGTCTACGACCTGCTCGGTGACCGCCTGGCTCGCTGGCTCCAGCTTTTGCAGGAGATTCGCAAGACGCGCCAGACGTTTGACACCACCGAGGTCAGCCGCTCGTTTGGTCATATCACCATCGACTACGACCAGGTCCAAACCAAGGTCAATGCCAAGTATGACCAGTGGCAGCACGACATCCTGCTCAAGTTCGCTGGTCGCCTCGGTAACCGCATGCGAGAGGTCTATGCCGAGATCGAGAAGGCTCGTACCGATTTGGAGACCCTGAGCCTTGAGGTCAACTCGACTGCACATGCTGTCCAATTTATTACCATCGTGCAGTCGTGCAAGCGCCACGTGAAGCTCTGGGCTCCAGAGATTGAGACCTTCCGCCAGGGCGAGTCGACTTTGGTGCGCCAGCGCTACCAGTTCCCCAACGACTGGCTCCACGCCCAACAGGTTGACCACGAGTGGAACTCCCTTAATGAGCTGCTGAGCCGCAAAGCCAAGATCGTCCAGGATCAGACGGATGCTCTCCGCGCCAAAATTATTGCTGAGGATAAGATCGTGGTCGACAAGATTGCCGAGATTGCCGTGCAGTGGAACGAAGAGAAACCCGTTTCTGGCACCATTGCGCCCGATATTGCGACGGCCACTCTTGCTACCTTTGAAAGCCGCATTACCGCTTTCCAGGAGGAAGCGGCCATGGTGGCCAAGGCCAAAGAGGCACTTGACCTGCCACCAACTGCCGAGACATCTCTTGCAGGCATTCTTGAGGAGGTTCACGACTTCAAGTCTGTCTGGGCCTCGCTCTCCCTCATCTGGAAAAACCTCAACGAGCAGCGCGAGATGCTGTGGAACAGTGTCCAGCCTCGCAAGGTTCGCACTGCTATGGATAACCTCATCAAGATGACCCGTGACATGCCCAGCCGGATGCGCCAGTACGCCGCCTTTGAGCACATCCAGAACATTCTCAAGACGTACGTGCGCGTCAATCCTCTCCTGAGCGACCTGAAGTCCGAGGCTGTTCGCGACCGCCACTGGACCAAGATCTACAAACAAATCAAGCCGGGCAAGCGCTACTCTCCTGTGTCGATGACCCTGGGCGACGTGTGGGATCTCAATCTTGTGGCAACGGAAGCCATCATCAAGGACATTATCGCCCAAGCTCAAGGCGAGATGGCTCTTGAGGAATTCCTGAAGCAGGTGCGCGAGACGTGGACCAGCTACAACTTGGAGCTGGTCAACTACCAGAACAAGTGCCGCCTGATCCGTGGCTGGGACGACCTCTTCGCCAAGTGCAGCGAGAACCTCAACTCTCTGCAGGCTATGAAGCACTCTCCGTACTACAAGGAGTTTGAGGAAGAGGCCTCGTCATGGGAGGACAAGCTGAACCGTGTCCATGTTTTGTTCGATGTCTGGATCGATGTCCAGCGCCAGTGGGTGTACCTCGAGGGTGTTTTCACGGGCAACGCTGACATCAAGCACCTGCTGCCCATTGAGTCATCCCGTTTCCAGAACATCAACAGTGAGTTCTCTGCCGTCATGAAAAAGGTCTATAAACAGCCCTACGTTCTTGATGTCCTCAACATCCCCAATGTTCAAAAGTCGCTGGAGCGTCTCGCCGAGCTGCTCAACAAGATCCAGAAGGCCCTTGGCGAGTATCTTGAGAAGGAGCGTGTTTCATTCCCTCGCTTCTACTTTGTTGGTGACGAGGACCTCCTGGAGATGATCGGTAACAGCAACGACACTATGCGCATTGCCAAACACTTCAAGAAAATGTTTGCTGGTCTGTCAGGCCTCACCATGGAGGATGAAACAGTCATCACGGGCTTCACCTCCAAGGAGGGCGAGATCGTCCGTCTCAAGCGCGACATTTCTCTCATCAAAACGCCGCGCATTAACGACTGGCTTGCTTTGCTCGAGGGCGGCATGAAGGCCACGCTCGCAGAGCTGCTGGCCGAGGCAGTTGCCGTTTATACTCCGATATTCACGGCCGAGAATGGCATTGATAAAGCGGCGCTTGCCGAGTTCATGGAGACATTCCCCAGCCAGATCGTGGTGCTGGCCACCCAGGTTGTCTGGACCACGGTTGTCGACAAGGCCCTTTCTGAGGGTGGCAGTGGCCTCAAGGATCTCTTTGAGCGCGAGGTCGAGGTCCTACGCCTCCTCGCTTCCACTGTTCTGGGCGACCTACACGTCCTGATGCGCAAGAAGTGCGAACAGCTCATCACAGAATGTGTCCACCAGCGCGACATCATTGAGAAGCTCATGAAGCTCAATGCCAACTCCCCCACTCACTACATGTGGCTGCTTCAGATGCGTTACGTTTATGCCGCTGAAGGCGATGCCCAGCAGCGCCTCAGCATCAGGATGGCCAACGCTTCTCTACAGTATGGCTTCGAGTACCTCGGTGTGCCCGACCGCCTTGTCCGCACGCCCTTGACGGACCGCTGTTTCCTGACTCTCACGCAGGCCCTGTGCCAGCGCCTCGGTGGCTCTCCTTACGGTCCTGCTGGTACGGGCAAGACGGAATCTGTCAAGGCTCTTGGTGTCGAGCTGGGTCGCTTCACTCTTGTTTTCTGCTGTGACGACACATTCGATTTCCAGGCCATGGGCCGTATCTTCCTGGGTATTTGCCAGGTTGGTGCATGGGGTTGTTTCGACGAGTTCAACCGTTTGGAGGAGCGCATTCTGTCAGCCGTGTCGCAGCAGATCCAGAACATCCAGCTGGGCCTGAAGCAAGGTGCCGAGGACGACAAGGCACAGATTGAGCTTGTGGGCCGCCAGCTGCACGTTAATGCCAGCACGGGTATCTTCATAACCATGAACCCCGGGTATGCTGGCCGATCCAACTTGCCGGACAACCTCAAGAAGCTTTTCCGCAGCGTCGCTATGTCCAAGCCAGACAAGGAGCTTATTGCCGAAGTCATGCTGTACTCGCAAGGCTTCAACCAAGCTAAGGTCCTCTCCAAGCAGACTGTACCGTTCTTCGACCAGTGTGCGGCGAAGCTGTCCAAGCAAGCCCATTACGATTTTGGCCTGCGCGCGCTCAAGAGTGTCCTTGTTAGCTCAGGTGGCCTGAAGCGGGCACGTCTCACCGAGGGAGGCGACGGCGTCCTGTCGGTAGAGGACAGCGGCGAGGTCGTTGAGCCTGAGATCATCGTCCAGAGCATCCGCGAGACGATTGCGCCAAAGCTCATCAAGTCCGACGTTGAGATCTTGGCTGGCATTGAGACTGCCTGCTTCCCAGGTGTGCGCTACGTCCCGGCCAACCTCGAGGCGCTCGAGGCCGCCATTCGCCGCCTCGCCGACGAGCGCCAGCTTGTGGTCAACGATACTTGGTTGACCAAGGTGCTGCAGCTCTACCAAATCCAAGGCATCCATCATGGTGTCATGATGGTGGGTAGCTCCGGATCTGGTAAGTCGGCCGCATGGCGACTGCTCCTCGACGCTATGCAGCAGGTCGAGAAGGTCGAGGGCGTTTCGCATGTCATCGACTCCAAGGTCATGTCCAAGGAAGCCCTGTATGGCAACCTGGACTCGACGACCCGCGAGTGGACCGACGGTCTGTTCACCAGTATCCTGCGCAAGATTGTTGATAACCTGCGTGGTGAGGACTCCAAGCGCCACTGGATTGTGTTCGATGGTGACGTCGACCCCGAGTGGGTTGAGAACTTGAACAGTGTCCTAGACGATAACAAACTGTTGACCCTGCCTAACGGTGAGCGTCTCAACCTTCCGCCCAACGTTCGCATCATGTTCGAAGTTGAAAACCTGAAGTACGCCACTCTGGCCACCGTTTCGCGTTGTGGCATGGTTTGGTTCAGCGAAGACACTGTTACGCCGAGCATGATGGTATCGAACTATCTTGGAACGCTTGCCACGGTTGCATTTGAAGACTTCGACGAGGATGCTGTTGCCACGGGCCAGAGCGCCGCCAAGGCTCTGGCCGTCCAGACCCATGCCGCTGAGCTGCTCAAGACTTACCTGACCGGCGACGACTTCATTCTCCAGGCCCTTCGTCTTGCCGATACCCAGACCTACCGGCACATCATGGAGTTCACAATCGCCCGCGTCCTTACTACTCTCTTCTCGTTGCTAAACAAGGCCGTTCGCAATGTCATCGAGTACAATTCTCAGCACTCCGACTTCCCGCTTGAGGCCGAGCAAGTTGAGGCCTATATTTCCAAGAAGCTTCTCCTTGCGCTCGTGTGGGCACTCACGGGTGATTGCCCGCTGGACGACCGCAAGGCGTTTGGCGACAGCATCGTCGGCCTTGCTAGCTTCGGTTCGCCCCCGCTTGACAGTGGTTCCGGCGGTTCCTCGCTGATCGACTTCGATGTATCCCTCCCGCGTGCAGAGTGGACCGCCTGGCAGAACCAGGTGCCGACGATCGAGGTCAACACGCACTCCGTTACCCAGACGGATGTCGTCATTCCCACCCTCGACACTGTGCGCCACGAGGATGTTCTGTACTCGTGGCTCGCCGAGCATAAGCCGCTGCTCCTTTGCGGTCCTCCTGGTTCTGGTAAGACGATGACGCTTTTCAGCGCCCTGCGCAAGCTGCCCAACATGGAAGTTGTGGGTCTCAACTTCTCGAGCGCGACGACACCCGACCTTCTTATCAAGAGCTTCGAGCAGTACTGCGAGTACAAGAAGACTCTCAACGGAGTCATGTTGTCGCCTACCCAGATCGGCCGCTGGCTCGTTGTCTTCTGCGACGAGATCAACCTGCCCGCTCCCGACAAGTATGGCACTCAGCGCGCTATCTCGTTCCTGCGCCAGCTGGTGGAGCACAACGGTTTTTGGCGCACGTCGGACAAGGCGTGGGTTACGCTTGACCGCATCCAGTTCGTCGGTGCCTGTAACCCGCCCACCGACGCCGGCCGTACGCCTCTGGGTCCTCGCTTCCTTCGTCACGCGCCTCTCATCATGGTCGATTACCCCGGCGAGCAGTCGCTGCACCAGATTTATGGTACTTTCAATGCCGCTGTTCTCAAGATCATCCCCTCACTACGTGGCTATGCAGAGCCACTGACCCAGGCCATGGTCAAATTCTACCTGGAGTCGCAACGCCGCTTTACGCCGCAGATCCAGCCGCACTACGTCTACAGTCCCCGTGAGTTGACACGGTGGGTGCGTGGTGTGTACGAGGCTATTCGACCCCTGGAGTCGCTTCCTGTTGAGGGCCTCATTCGTATCTGGGCACATGAGGCTCTTCGTCTGTTCCAAGACCGTCTTGTGGCCGAAGAGGAGCGTCGCTGGACCGATGACGCGGTGCGTCGCATTGCTACGGAGCTCTTCCCCAACATTGACGAAGAAAAGGCTCTTGGCGGACCAATCCTGTTTTCCAACTGGCTGTCCAAGAACTATGTCCCCGTTGACCGTGAGCAGCTGCGCGATTTCGTCAAAGCGCGCCTCCGGACATTCTGCGAGGAAGAAGTGGACGTACCGCTGATCCTGTTTAACGACGTGTTGGAGCACGTTCTGCGCATTGATCGTGTGTTCCGTCAGCCTCAGGGTCACTTGATCCTCATCGGCGTCAGTGGCAGTGGTAAGACGACGCTCTCCCGTTTCGTTGCGTGGATGAACGGCCTCAAGGTGTTCCAAATCAAGGTTCATGGCAAGTACTCGTCCGAGGACTTTGACGAGGACTTACGTGAGGTCCTACGCCGCTCCGGTTGCAAGGGCGAGAAGATTTGCTTCATCATGGACGAAGCCAACGTGCTCGACTCTGGTTTCCTCGAGCGCATGAACACGCTGCTAGCCAACGCTGAGGTACCTGGTCTCTTTGAGGGCGACGACTTGGCAGCGCTCATGACGGCCTGCAAGGAAGGTGCTCAGCGCCAGGGTCTGCATCTGGACTCGCAAGAAGAGCTGTACAAGTGGTTCACGAGTCAAATTGTCAAGAACCTGCATGTCGTCTTTACAATGAATCCGCCCGAGGACGGCCTGTCGTCCAAGGCAGCCACGAGTCCTGCCCTCTTCAACCGTTGCGTGCTCAACTGGTTTGGTGACTGGTCTGACCAGGCTCTGTACCAGGTGGGTCACGAACTCACGCAATCTGTCGATCTTGACCGGCCCAACTTTGTGGCACCCGACACCATCCCAGTCGCATACCGTGGCCTCACCCTGCCGGCCTCGCACCGCTCGGCTGTTATCAATGCCATGGTATACATCCACTATTCGCTACAGCGCTTCAATGCCAGGCTTCTGAAACAACAAGGCAAGGTCACGTTCCTGACCCCCCGCCACTTCCTGGACTTTGTGGCGCAGTACGTCAAGCTCTATAACGAAAAGCGCGAGGACCTCGAGGAGCAGCAACGGCACTTGAATGTTGGTCTTGAGAAGCTACGTGACACTGTCGACAAGGTGCGCGATCTGCGGGTCAGCCTCGCGGACAAGAAGGCCCAGCTCGAGAAGAAGGATGCCGAGGCCAATGAGAAGCTGCAGCGCATGGTCGCGGACCAGCGCGAAGCCGAACAGCGCAAGAGCACGTCGCTTGAGATCCAGGCGGCTCTCGAGATTCAAGAAGCCGAAGTGGCCTCCCGTAAGAAGATTGTGCTTGAAGACTTGGCCCGCGCCGAGCCCGCTGTCGAGGCAGCCAAGGCGAGCGTCAGCAACATCAAGCGGCAGCAACTGACGGAAGTACGTTCCATGACCTCCCCGCCCCAGGGAGTGCGTCTGACATTGGATTCTGTCTGCACTTTGCTTGGCCACAAGGTCGTAGGTGACTGGAAAGCCATTCAGGGTGTCGTGCGTCGCGACGACTTCATCGCCAGCATCATTAACTTCAACAACGAGAAGATGATGACCCGTTCGCTGCGTCTCAAGATGCGCAATGAATTCCTGTCAAACCCGGAGTTCACGTTTGAGAAGGTCAACCGCGCCAGCAAGGCCTGTGGTCCTCTTGTGCAGTGGGTCGAGGCACAAGTCAACTACGCCGAGATCCTGGATCGTGTTGGGCCCCTGCGCGATGAAGTGACACAGCTCGAGGACCAGGCCCTGCAGACCAAGGCACAGGCTAAGGCCGTCGAGAACACAATTGAGACGCTCGAGACCAGCATTGCCACCTACAAGACCGAGTACGCCGCCCTTATCAGCGAAACACAAGCGATCAAGGCCGAGATGACGCGTGTCCAGTTCAAGGTGGACCGCAGCGTGCGGCTGCTGGACAGCCTGTCATCGGAGCGTGTGCGCTGGGAGGAGGGCAGCCGGTCGTTCGAGACTCAGATTGGCACACTTGTGGGCGACGTTCTGGTCGCCGCAGCATTCCTTGCCTACAGCGGTCTGTACGACCAGACGTTCCGAAAGTCGATGATGGATGACTGGCTGCACCAGCTACAGTTGTCGGGCATCAACACCAAGCAGCACAACCCCGTCACGGAATATCTTTCGACGGCGGACGAGCGCCTTGGCTGGCAAGAAAACATGCTGCCTGTGGACGACCTGTGTACGGAGAATGCCATCATCCTGAAGCGCTTCAACCGCTACCCGCTCATAATCGACCCATCGGGCCGCGTGACTGAATTCCTCCAGCGCGAGTGCAAGGACCGCCGCCTCACTGTTACGAGCTTCCTCGACGACTCGTTTGCCAAGCAACTCGAGAGCTCGCTGCGTTTCGGTAACCCGATTCTGATCCAGGACGCCGAGCACCTCGACCCGCTTCTCAACCACGTGCTCAACAAGGAGTACCAGAAGACGGGCGGCCGTGTGCTTATCCAGTTGGGCAAGCAGCAAATTGATTTCTCTCCAGCATTTAAGCTGTACCTGTCTACACGCGATCCCTCGGCAACGTTTGCTCCCGACATTTGCAGCCGCACCACTTTTGTCAACTTTACGGTGACTCAAGGCAGTTTGCAGACACAGTCGCTCAATGACGTTCTTAAGTCGGAGCGGCCGGATGTGGACGAGCGCCGTTCAAACCTGATCAAGCTTCAGGGCGAGTTCAAGGTGCACCTGCGGCAGCTGGAGAAGCGTCTGCTGCAGGCACTCAATGAGTCGCGCGGCAACATTCTGGACGATGACAACGTGATCGAGACATTGGAGACGCTCAAAACGGAGGCCGCAGAGATTTCCGCCAAGATGAGCAACACGGAGGGTGTGATGGCTGAGGTCGAGCAGATTACGCTGCAATACGCGATTATTGCGCGGGCATGTAGTGCGGTGTTTGCTGTGCTCGAGCAGCTGCACTATCTCAACCATTTCTACCAGTTCTCGCTACAATACTTCCTGGACATCTTCCACTCGGTGCTGCACAACAACCCACATCTGACGGGTGAGACCGACTACAATGTGCGCCGCGACACTATTGTGCGGGACCTATTTGCCACGACTTTCAAGCGTACGGCGCTTGGCGTGTTGCAAAAAGACCGCATTACGTTGGCCATGCTCCTCGTGCAGGCGGCCCCGTACAAGATGGACAAGGGCCTGATCGATGTGCTGCTCGACGAGCGCGTGCAGGGCCGTGACGCTTCCGCAACTGACAACAACAACGGCCGCGAAGGGTCAATGGCAATCGCACGCCGTCTGCCGGCACTCAAGGACAAAATTGACAACGTGTCGGAGGTGGAGTGGTCGCGTTTCCTGAGCGAGGAGCTCGCCGAGACGGTTGTGCCTCCGTCCATCCTGCAAGGCGGCGTGGGCAACAACGACGAGAAGCCGCCAACGACGGCAGCCGAAGCCGAGGCAGCCAAGAACAGTGCGGCGTACAACAATGCGCTGCTCTCGCTGCTGATGGTCAAACTCTTCCGTCTGGACCGGTTCGTGCCGGCGGCCGAGAAGTTTGTGACGCTTGTGTTCGGTGGCGATCTCTTTGACATTGTTGAGGACCTCGAGGGCACAGTGACGCAGGTGTCGGCGACGCGTCCGATTGCGCTGGTATCGAGCCCCGGTTTCGATGCATCGTACAAGGTCGACAACCTGGTGGAGCGCATGAACGTGCGGTGCACGAACATTGCCATGGGCTCGGCCGAGGGCCTTGCGAGCGCAGACAAGGCAGTCAGCAACGCGGCACAAATGGGCTCGTGGGTGCTAGTCAAGAACGTCCACCTGGCGCCAACGTGGCTGCAGTCGCTGGAGAAGCGCATGGAGTCGCTCAATCCGCATGCGGACTTCCGTCTTTTCCTGTCGATGGAGTCGAGCCCCAAGATCCCGGTCAATTTGCTGCGGGCTTCGCGTGTATTGATGTACGAGCAGCCGGCGGGTGTGCGGGCCAACATGAAGGACTCGATGTCGTCGTTGGCGACACGGTCCAGCCGCCCACCCGTGGAGCGCACGCGGCTGTACCTCCTGCTGTCGTTCCTGCATGCTGTTGTGCAAGAGCGTCTACGCTATGCGCCCAACCTGGGCTGGAAGGGCTTCTGGGAGTTCAATGACAGTGATGTACGTTCCCCTTTCTTGACCCGTTTACCCTTTGTACGTTTTATGAGTTCCTGTTTACTAACGGTTTCGCAGTACGAATGCTCAGCGTTCGTGGTCGACACGTGGCTGGAGACGGTGGCAGGCAACCGGTCCAACATTGCACCTCAGAACATTCCCTGGGACATGATCCGGTACCTGGTGCGGGAGACGTACGGCGGCAAGGTTGACGACGAAGGCGACTTCCAGCGGCTGCAGCAACTGGTGGACGGCATTCTGACACCTGCTGCCTACGACATTGGCCACAAGCTGGTGGAGGAGGACGCCGAGTCCAAGTCGTCTGGCCTTGTGGTGCCGGCAGGCACGTCGCTGCCGGACTGCATGGCATGGATCCAGAAGCTGCCGGAGCGCGAGCCACCGACGTACCTGGGCCTGCCGGCGAATGCAGAGAAGCTGCTACTGGTTGGCCTTGGCGAGAGCCTGGTACGGGACCTCAAGAAGGTGACGGACCTGCTGGACGAGGGCGAGCAGTTGATGGCAGAGGCGTGAGAGGGATTGTCAGCTTCACATGGTGCTGACGACCGTGTGTGTTGATCTATTTTGAGATTGTGTGGCTGTACCAAACAAGAGTACGAGCACACCGGGAAAAGGACAATCGTTTGTTCCTACTTTTCGTTTCTGTGCTACGTATGTCCTTCTTTTTCTTTTCTTCCTTCTGTCACATCATCACCGATACCCTGGAGGCCTGTTTTTCTGATCAAGTTGTTACATTGTCAAGATTGGTGTAGATTGGTGTTTTCATATGTTTTGCTCTGATATCGCGAGTCGCGCATTGCTTTAGCTATTGACGTTTTTAGTTTGTATTCAATCAAAACTTTTCAGCCCATCGAAAGAGCCCATTGACAACTTCTCACATAATGTTGCAGGCGTTGACTGTGTCGTTAATATAAACACACAACGGACGTCGCTCAGCTGCATTGGGGCAGATATTAATACCAGCAAATGACCTCGTAAGATTGAGAGCAAGAAGCACCGGGAAGGACCACCCCGCTGTAAAGTAATGTTGGTAGCCGCCTCTGTAGGACGGAATCGACAGGACGCAATACTTTTGCCAGCGGCTTGGAGGGCACTTGACACGGTACTATTGCCTGTCCGTTCGTCGAGGGACTCTATGTTTTGGATATATTGCAGCGCCTTATCCCGCTGTCCTTTGCACATCATCTCCGCATTTTCTTCCTGAGCGACTGTCGGTCCAGGTTGTGTGATAATCGTTCCTTTATTGTCACTTGCGAGGGGACGAAATTTAAGGGACAAAATAAAGGAAGTAGCATCGGAGGGCAAGCTGTTGCTGTTGTTGTTGCTTTGTCCTCAATGGCCACCGTCAGCAATGTTTGTTTCAAATCGGCCGAGCCAGGGTGAGGCTGGGGCTAACAGACGGCACACCCGCTGGTTGGGCTGGTTTGCCGCTGGCCGTTTTTGTTTCATGTTTCGAGTGTGAGAGCCCATGTTCTTGACTACAAACGTATTTCTCAGTGAAACATTTTGGACGATCTTTGCACGTGCATTTTTTGTGGTGCCACATTTCTGCGGTGCGTCTTGCGCACATGTTTCTTTTTCTTCTTCTTCTTCTTCTTCTTTTTTTTGTTTCTTTTGATTCTCCTGTCGTCTCGTCCCGCCTGTGCGTGCTTCGTAGTCGGGCGTTTTGCTCGTCTCTGTTCCTTTTAACCGCCTTGTCCGTCTCGACGAGGTTTCGCCCTTCTTTTTCCTATTCCACAACAGGAGAGGAAAGATGTTGTGCTGTGATTCAGTCACGAGAATCGCCCCGTGATGGTTGCTCGAGGTCTTCATGATAACGAATCTCCCTCTTTCCGAGACATTGGCAGTTCTTGCAGATTTCTTGTTTTCGTCAGTTATTCCCTAGCTTGTGACTTTCCCCCTTGCTTCTCCCTCACGGCGTGTTCCTCACCGGTTTTTCGAGTCTCGGTATTTCCTATTTTGCCATCCATCGCTCTCTGGCGATCGCTGATCGACAATCATCATCGGGAATATTTGATCATCTTTTGACCTTGCCTTGGTCATGGATACGACCCTGCGTTGGTCTCACTCGTCATGGGAAGCCATTTCTCCTTTCTGCTTGTCGTTTTTTATGGTTGTTTTCTGGTTTGAAACGGGGACGTTTATTGATGAGACCGTTATCCAGTCCTCCCAGAGCTGTTGTTATGGGGCTATTCAGGAGCTGACTTGGAAGAGTCCAGATGGACCCTCGGGCGCCAATCTTTGACCTGAAACATTTGGTTGGGCCTATCACAGGTGTCAACCGGCCTCTGGGGGGAATTTTGATACATGGGCTGAGTTGGCGACAGCAGATAGCGCAAGCCCCTTTGCCCTCGGGTACCCAACACGCTAAAGCGGGGCCCAACCTTCCGCTGCGGCTAGGCCCTGGCCTGGCCACATCCCGCCGGAGCTCTCTGCTTTGGGAAGGCGCCAACAGCGCACTGCTGGCCAGCCATCTGTGCCCGGCACATTCCAGCTGTTAACTACACCACCTCACGCTGGCATTGTCCGGTTCACTACGTCTATGCGAATAGAGGGTCCTCCCGGAACCTCATATCGACAACCGAAAACCCGCATTCTCTCACTGTTTAAGGTCGTTGTCCTGTTGTCCTTTTCTCAGTGTTTTCTGATCCCTCCCTCCCTCTGTTACTCGTCTTGCACGACAGTGACACGCAGCAGCACCCACCTCGTTCACTGGTTGGCGAATTGCATTTTCTCACCCCCCCCCCCCCCCCCCCCTTCCCCTGACAAAGTGGCTCATCTCGGCCATCAAGGGACCCCTGGCGCGGAGCATTTTACTGTGTACGGAGTAGACCTGGTGTAAGTTGGGACAACACACTTAACCAATAAACAGAAAAGAAGCAGAACAAAATAAGCTTGCTTTGAGATGTACTCTGGCCAGGAGCCTGCCGCCACCAGGCCGACTTCATCCCTTTTCTTATCGTGCACAGCGGAGGTTGTTTCCAAACCCACCCAAGTGGGCACGGCAGCGATGCAAGGCGACGAGGAGGACAAACAGCCTGTTGGCGGTGGAGAAGGAGGCCAGAACAGATCGTCACGGGCCCCGTCCAAGCAGCTTTCGTACTTGTCTCCCTCTCTTCAGACGGACACTGGTATTTATATATATAGCAGTGGCTGGGGCTTCGCTGCCGGAAGAGGCTCTGCCTACGGTGTTGCTGTGCTGCCTGTATCGTGGTGCCAGCCTCTGTTGATACCGCCTTTGCTTTCACCCCCATTCTCTTCTTCTTCTTCTTCTTCTTCACGCTCATCACCTTTTCGTTCTCAGATTCGTGCTGCTCTGGCAGTAGCTCTTTCCATTTTTACCATCGTTGTGCTCTTTCCCTTTTTGCACCATCACTGCTCCTTGCTCCTTCCCCTTTGTATCTCCTCCCCTCCCCAACCTTCTTCGCCCTCGACGCCTTCCTCTTCCGGTGCTGGTATCGCCGTCTCTCGCCTGACGACATCAATAACTTCATATCTCGCTTTTGTCGTCACCTTAACCCGCCCGCTCTTCGGCCTCTTCGGCCTTCCTACCATCGCCATGGTCCACCTCTCCGGCGCCGGCAGCCTTGCCACCCGCGCCCTCGTCTTTATGTCCACGCATCCCTTTGCGTCCCGCGCCGCCGACAAGGCCCAGTACGCAGCCAATACGGCGTCGGCTGTCAACACGCTGCAGCACCAGTGGTACGACGATGCTGACGGACTCTGGAACTCGACGGGCTGGTGGAACAGCGCAAACCTGCTGACGACGCTGGCCGACTTTGCCCTGGACGGCGCGGCATCGGATTCGGAAAAGGCCGAGCTGGAAGGCGTGTTTGCCAACACGTTTACCAATGCGCAGAAGGTCGGACAGACGGCCGTCAAGGTCGTGAATGCCGCCGGCCTCGTGACGTCGACCTACACCAAGACGGCCTCCGGGCCGACGTTTGTCATTGGGGACCGTGGCGAGCCCGTCAAACTCGCCGCGCGCGACGGCTTTGCCGGCTTCATCAACGACTTTTACGACGACGAGGGCTGGTGGGCGCTGGCGTGGATCCGCGCGTTTGACGTCACCGGAACGGCCGCGTACCTCGCCATGGCCGAGTCCATCTTTGCCGACATGAAGACGGGCGCGCAGCCGGCCTCGTGTGGCGGCGGCATCTGGTGGAGCAAGGACCGCTCGTACAAGAACGCCATTGCCAACGAGCTGTACCTGGCCGTCGCCGCCTCGCTCGCCAACCGTGCCACGTCTGCCGCGGACCGCGCGTCGTACCTGGCCACCGCCGTTGCCCAGTGGGTGTGGTTCAAGGGCAGCGGCATGATCAACAGCCAGGGCACCATCAACGACGGGCTGACCATCCAGCCAGATGGCAGCTGCGTCAACAACGGCCAGACGGCCTGGTCCTACAACCAGGGCGTCGTGCTGGGCGGGCTGGTCGAGCTGTTCCGCGCCAACGGCGACCCGACGCTGATCCCGGCGGCGGCCGCCATTGCCAACGCGGCCATCAATGCTCTGTCCGAGGGAGGCATTCTGCACGAGTCCTGCGAAGCCAATGGCGGGTCGTGTGGCGGCGATGGGCCCACGTTCAAGGGCGTCTTCTTGCGCAACCTCCACTACCTCCAGCAGGAGCGCACCCTGGACAAAAGCACCGCGCGCGCCCTCAAAGCCTATGTGCTGCAAAATGCCGACTCCATCTGGGCCACAGACCGCGTCGCCGGTTCCAACCAGCTCGGCCTGGTCTGGTCTGGCCCGCCCACCGCCGGCGGCTCTCCGACGGCTGCCACGCATGGTGCTGCCATGGACTGTCTTGTGGCTGCTGTGGCGGCTGCGTGAGTCTTGGCTCTCCCCGGCGCCGGCCAATGGCTTGTTCAGCTGCCTCTTATGCTTCCATTCTCTTATCCTCTTCCGTTTCCTTCTGTCATGGGCAACAAAATTACTGGCGTTTATTGGTGGGGGACTCTACATGATACCAGCAGATTCTGCATTTTTAGATTGCATATTTTAGTCACCAAGACTCGTACACATAGGATAGAATACCACAGCATGGAAATGCAGTGTTGTGTAACGAATTTACGTTCTTGGAGTATTCATTCAGTTCAAAGTCCAGTTTTGCCTGTCTGCCAAGCCAGTCACGTGACCACGCGATAAATAGCAGCCGCCCACCACAAGTAACAAGTAACCCCCCTTTTCTGCCGATATCAAACATGCATAATTCGGCTGCCTAACCACTCCAAAGTAAATAAATGAGGTGCATGCCGGTGAGGGTCTGAGGTGCTGCTTCTCCTCTTCCCTCCTGAATGCCACGTTCTCCCGGGTGCAAGACTGAGTATTACAGCTGCCTCACACCCCCGCCAAAAATGGACGCCAACGACGAAGACGACGATGTGCGGCTGCAGCGCATTGCCGGCGACCTGCTCAGTGACTTTGACGGGAGCCTCGAGTCCTTTCTCTTCAAGCCAGCGCCGGCTGTGACTGCATATGGGTCCACAAAGACCAAAGGCTTACGGGTCCGCGCCCGCGTCCGGTCTCGCGAGACCGCCCGCATGGCCAACCTGCTGGAGCATTTCCAAGAGTTGCCCCAGCTGCTCGACGTCCATCTGGCCCGCTGGCTGCCCATGCTGGCCGATGCCTTTCTGCAGTCCGTCGAGCGCAACAGCCAGTGCTCGGCCAAAGCGAATGCCACAGCAGCCGCCGCCACAGCCGCCGCATTCGCTGAAGCAGCCACCGCCTCCCATGGCGGGGCAGGAGCGTCGCCCTCCACCTCGTCCCTTGTCATGCCTCTCCAGGCTGCCGTGGCCCGTCTGTTGTACACCGTCTGCAAGGTGCGCAGTGAAAAAGTCGTTGTCGGCTTCCTGCCTGTCGAGACGCGGCACTTGGAGCCGCTGCTGGGTGCATTGGAAGCGCAGGCGGCCGACATCAGCGGACAACCTCACAGCAACGGTCGAAGTAGCACCAGCAACAGCGGAAACGACGGCCGTGACGGCAACGAACACGGCAGCTGGACGTGGCAAGAACGGTATCTCGTGCTGCTGTGGCTGTCCCAGCTGCTTCTGGCGCCGTTTGACCTGTCCACCATCTCGACCGGCCGTCGCGGACAAGTGGCCGACGAAGAGGACGAGGAGGAGGGCGAAGAGGCCGGCAGCGGCTCCAAACACAGCCGTCTGCCTGCGGTTGATGGTTTCACGTGGCCCGGCGTCGACGCAACCTCCACACCCATCACCATCCCTTCCATCACCTTGCGCGTCTTGCCCCTTGCTGTCCGCTATCTCGCCGTCCCCGGCAAAGAACGCGATGCGGCCCGCGCGCTGCTTGTCCGCATCGCCATGCGACGCGACATGCAGGAACTAGGCATCCGACAGGCCCTCGTCCGCTGGGCGCTGGGATCGCTCGACGGACGTGCACCCGCCATCCACCAACCGTACTACTACATCGGCACGTTGTCCTTCTTGGCCGGTATTTTGTCGGCCGCCGCAGGCGCTTCGGATATGGACGATGCGCTGGCGTCCATTTTTGCTGCTGTAAACGCTGTGGCTGACGAGGACGGGCCCGAGGCGGCGAATGCCGTCTTTGCCGCCATCCGCTCGTCGGCTCTCGCTCGCAAGATGATGATCAAGGCCTCGCGCGCCGTGGCTGTGCGCTACATCCAGCTGCTCGACCAGCTCGGCGCGCGTGGCCCCGACACCAACCCGGGCCTTGTCGAGGCCGCCGACGGCGCCATCGAGACCACCATCGGCTACCTTCTCGGTCGCCTCGCCGACAACGACACGCCCGTGCGCTTTGCCGCGAGCAAGGCCCTCAGCATCATCACCCTGCGCCTCCGCCCGGACATGGCCGCCCAGGTCAGCGACGCTGTCCTCGAGGCGCTCGAGCGCAATGTCGTCGCACAGAATGGAAAGCTGGACCTGACCGCTGTTGATCCGCTCGAGTGGCACGGGCTCATGCTGACTCTCGCCCACCTCGTCTATCGCCGTTCGCCGCCGCTCGATGCCCTGCCCGCCATTGTCCGCGCCCTCCAGCGCGGCCTCGCGTTTGAGCGCCGCAGCGTGTCTGGCGGTGCCACCGGCACCAATGTGCGTGACGCCGCCTGCTTCGGCATCTGGGCCCTGGCTCGCCGCTACACCACGGCGGAGCTGCTCCCCCTCAATGTGCTGCAGACACTGGCCACCGATCTCGTCGTCGCTGGCTCTCTGGACCCGGCCGGCAACATCCGCCGCGGCAGCTCCGCCGCGCTGCAGGAGCTGATTGGCCGCCACCCAGATACCATCTGCGAGGGCATTCCCCTCGTGCAGGCCGTCGACTACCACGCCGTGGCCCTGCGATCGCGCGCCGTCACCGACGTGGCCCAGCGCGCGACGGCCCTGGCGCGCAGCATGTACGGCGTCGCGCTCCGCGACGCTTTGCTGGGCTGGCGCGGCTTTGCCGATGCAGGCGACGCGGGCGCCCGTCGCACGGCTGCACAGTCGTTTGGCCAGGTCACCCTCTTAATGGCGATGGCGGAAGAGGGCCGGGGCCCAGGCACGTCGCCGCTCGATTACTTTGCAGCGTCCGTGCGCACGCTTGTTGGCCGTGTCGAGTCTCTCCAAGCGCGCCAGGTCGAAGAGCGCCATGGCTTCTTGTTGGCGCTGGCGGCCGTCTTGGATATTTTCCCGTCCTTGGTCGAGGCGGCTCGTGAGACTGAGGGCGAGTCCAGCAAGTTGACAGAACTGTGCCTTTCCGTGCTCGACCAGTTGCACCAAGTCTTGCACAAGTGCAAGGCCCTCAGCGCCGCCCGCCGGCCTGATCTCTTAGCCGAGGCGGCCAGCCGTCTCATTGTGTCGTCGTTTCCGATTGTTCAAGCCGCGGTCGTATTGCGCGGCGGGTTTGACTGGACACAAGGAAGTCGCAGCCTCGCCCTGCTCTCTGGCCCTGCTCTCCTCGCTGAGGCCAATTTGTTGCCCGCAACACTCTTCCACAAGACAGTAGTGGCTCTGGACTCTGCGTTTGCGTCGGGCCCAAGAACAGACTCGGACTCTGCTTCCAGTACCACACCCCACACTGCTCTTCAGGCCTTTGTCAATCTTGCCGCCGCTTGCCTCTCAGGTCCAAATGCTTGGCTCGGTCGCCAGGAAACCGACGTCATTGCTGCCGCGTCGGACGCCGCCCTCATTTTACTCGTGGCCCTAGGTCCTTCGCCTGTCGCCCCTGCTGTCCCTTCCACGTCCACACCTTCCGAGTCTCCTGTCCCGCCGACCCGTGACTCACTCGTTTCCTTTTGGTCGAGCGTCGTGTGCCGTCCCAAAGCCGCTGCTGCCGTATCCTTCAAAGCCCGCGCCAGCGGCTCAGGCACCACAGGCACTGGATACGTATTTGCCCTGACCAAGGCATTTTCTCTGCACGAGATTTCGCGCACAACGGCAACACTAGAGGGTAGTGCGACGGGTGATGACGATCCGATCAGCCGTGCTCTTTTGGGCCGATGGGCCGCCGACCGGTCCATTGACACGCGCATAGCACTGCTGCAGGCTCTGGCCCAGTGTCCTGCCGTCTTGATGCAGCGGGCAACGACTGCGCCTTCCGTATCGTCGGCGTCAGTCACGCCGGCGGCTCCAGGTAGTCGTTTCCGGTTGATTCTTGCTGCCGGTCTCGATGACTATACCACCGACGCCCGTGGCGACGTTGGCTCCCACGTGCGTATGCATGCCCTGCGTGCCACACAGGTCCTCTGGTCACAAGAGGCTGTTCTTGGGGAGGGTGCCACCCCCAAGCCCGCCGGCGCCAGTATTCTCTTTTTTCGCGTCCTACGCCTGGCCGCAGAGAAGCTCGACCGCGTGCGCGTAGCCGCCCAGGCCACACTCGCCCAGGCAGTCGGCGGCGAGCGCAGTACCTACCTGCAGTCTCTGCCGTTCTCCTCGCAGGCGTACTTCCGCTGTCTTCTTGGTCTCTGGGAGGACGTTGCGGACGATGAAGGTGGAAGCAACATTCTTTCCTCCTCCACCACCTCCATAGCTGCAGCTGCCGCGAAATCGGCAGACGGCGCGTCGCCGTCTCTCGCGTCAGCAGCGACAAAGTGGATGGCAGCACTCATGCGGGGCTACGTCACCTCCGCAGACACGGGCAACGAAGAACTGGTCGTTGCCAGCCGCGCAGCCATGGTGGACTACATTGTGAATTCCGGTGGCGGACATCAGCAACGCCAATCTCGGCAGCAGTGCCTGTGGCAAGCCTTGTTACGCAACTTGCCCGGCAGCAGCGCTGCCGCAACTACCGCTGCTGGTAAGGTCATCACGCCGCCGGATCGGATTGTCGTCCCAACCCTGGAGATTATCGCCTTCCTGTTCAACGCCGGCGTCTTTTTACCACCAGCATCCACGGGGTCGAACCCGACCACTACGCCTTGTCACGCCGACCTACTCGACCTCTCCCGCCAAGTCAACGAGGCCGTCGAAAAGGCCGGCAGTGTGCGCAAGGTGGAGGCGTGCGTCAAGGTCTATGGCGCAGTGGCGGCGGCATCAGACAGAGCTGGCAGCTCTGTGACAGTTGAAAATAAAGCCGCCGGCACTGTTGCTCGTGCAAAGTTGGCCGAACTCCTGCAGCACCCGTGGCCGCGTGTCCGTAATGCAGTGGTGGATGAGCTTTGGGGATTAGGGCTGGGCCAGGGGCTGGGCGTAAGCTTAGATACGGCGGCCGGGGCGGGCGCTGGTCCAGATCCCGGTCCGGCTGCCTTTGACATTTTGAAGGGTGTGGATTGGGTAGCAGCGGATACAGCAGCCTTGCAGGCACTGGCTGGCGAGTTGGATTTTGTGTGATCATAGCGTAGGGCGTCTGCCGCTCTGAACAGCGACCAGCCCTGCCAGTATTGGGCCAATAAGTCAATGAAAAACAATTAAGTCGATAAGCATCCTCGGGCATTTTAAACGTCTTGCCTGAGCATATGTTGATCTCGCCGCATTGCCAACGACTGCACGGTTGGCTGGCCCGCGTACGTTGTTCCGGGAAGATGCAGACTTTCAAACGTCCAAGAGCCAGGTCTGACGCGACTGCAGGCTGTGCGAGACAGGCGCCATGTGCACAAAGAGGGGGAAACAACGATGCACAGGGACAAGACTTCTGTGATCTTCAAAGAGTGATTTGTAGAACCTTTTTTTATTCTTCTTCCATTGGAGTACACCGCTACTCGTAGTGGCAGCAGATGCAAGCTGCCTTGGTTTCTCTGCTTGCCAGAAAGGGGGCCTGGGCCGCCAGGATCTCAAGACCGTGAGCTTTGTTGCCGGCCTCGTTTTGCTGTTGAAGAACCACAAAGACGTCGGGAAACCTGTGCCGTGATGTCTGTTGGTGATGGACCTCTGTGGAACCATCTCAATGACGTATCAAGGATGCGCTTAATATCTATGCTTCACGTTCTTGTGGCTCTCAACATTTTGCAAGAGTCAACAAAATGTCGGCGCAACGCGAGGTCAGACCTGCGACCAACCTTTGCTCAGACCCTTTGTGGTTACTGTCTTTTTCAGTCGCTAGACGACTTGCAGCGCATAACCTCCCAAGGAGACGTGACTGCGATCGCGTGAATAGACGCTGGGGGGGGCATTGTCAAGTCAACAGCTCCCGTATTTGAAGTACCTTTCATGTCACCAGCTGCCTCTCAGGACATAACAACGTAGTCTCTGTCGCAAACCATCCTAAGACATGTTTCCGTGGTTGGCCGTGCGGCATTGTGCCTGGAGGACTTATGCCCGTGCGCAGTCGGGCTGCTTCCGCGATGTAGATGAACACGGGAAGCGAGAAGACCAAGGTGAGCTGTGCGCCGGAAGCAGTTTTGTTCAATCACCAAGTTTCGCCGTCGCTCATCTCCCACACGGCAACTTGCATGTCGGACCTCTGTCTAAGTAATTTGTGGACACCGCGATGCGAGATGCATGTCTCATCACAATACTCCGTACTCCGTACTCCGTATTTCGTTTATGGCCCCATTTGTCGACTCAAATGCCACCTTAGCGTTTTTTGACAAAGAAAATCATTGGCAAGCTACACGTAGCCTGGTCTAGATGCCTGTTGCGTGAGCTGTAATCTTCTGTTTTGACGAAACAGACAAAAGCTCCTCTTGGGCAGTGGGCAGTGGATATCTCTTTCGTTGTGGCAGATTGAATATGTGTGTCATTCACTCCATTCGGCACCACAGCCAGGGTTCCATAGAAATCAAGACCACCATGAGCCCCCCACGAGGCGGAAAGGAAGCCGAGAGGACGCGTGGAAGATTTGTATTTTGTTCTTCAAACTTCCGTTCGCAAAACAGGCCAAACGGCGTACATAGAAGAGGCAGGCCTGTCGCTTTGGTTGCGGTCTGGTGGCAACCCCTGTCGAAACAGGATGGTTCGCTACACCCTCTTTTTTGGTCGGCGTTGGACTGTTTTTCTGGAAACCAGAGAACTTGCGCGCTGACGCCCGATTACTGTTTTCGTCTTCCGGCCGGCAAGGGTTCTTTAGTTTCTTCGCCGTTCTTTCAGGTTCTCGAAGGCCGGTTTTGACACCACTTCTTGTGTGCTTTTCAATCCTCTACCGAAGCAGTGCAGCTTGCAGACCAGTGCATGGGGGAACAGTCGGAGGCTGGTGGGGTTGCTGAGGGGGGGATTCAAATGACAAGTGCAAACACAGCCTCCGTCGTGTACAAATGCGCCCTGTTGTATGTCCTATGCTGCTTGCGGACTGTGCGAGTATGTCGCTGTCCAACCAATTCTAAAAGATACAACGTGGTCTCCAAGTACGTACACTATACGACATACCTCGTTTGTAACGTCGATGATGCGAGATCCGTGGGCAGAAGCGAGAGTTTCTTACACTGCAGAAACGAACGAGAATACCACATCGGCCCGCCGCGAGGGACAGCAGCATCTCATCATCACCATGTCGAGACGGCGCGTGCGCTCATGCTGTAGAACAAGAGGCAGAGGGGAGAGCTTGCATGTAGCTTGGCGATGCTGATGATGCAGCTGTTTGCCGATATCTCTGTCCTCGTCCTACCTGGCTTGATCAACGGAATCCTGGGCAGTGCATTGGACAGTAAGAGGGACCGCCTGCAGGAATAGGTGACATCGCTGAAGGAGTCGACGCGCGCCCCAGGTCTCGTGTTGTCGAGGAGGATGTACGATGTAGTGGCGGTTGGCAGACTGGGAAATGCCACACGTCTCCGTCAAATTTAGGAGTAATTACGACGTACGTAAGCTTATTCATGTCGAGGGAAAGAGGGAGTCTTTGCCAGTTGCGTTGTTTTCCTCACTCCGTCGTTCTTTCCTTGGCTACACTCACAAGTAAAGCCGTCGTTTGTAGTTCTTGCCTCCATTATTTTCCGCCCGTGGACGTGTCCTTCCTTGTTTGCCCTTCAGTGTTGCTTCTACTCTCGATCTGAACCACGACAAGAACAGGAACCACTTCGTTTGTATGTCAGTTTCCGCACGATACGATGGCTTGTACGTGTACCACCAGGCGCTCTGCCGACGTGTACCCGACCCTGTCGTATTATTCTCTGATCCTGCGTGTCCATGGTCGTACTGGGCACGCAGCAGTACAGCACCCCCAAAGAAAGCGCGGCTCGTCCGGTCTTGCCTTTTTGCTCTGTCTCCGCCTCGTCGTGGAAGGTTCCTTCCTTTCCGTCACCAACCAGTTCATCTCGGCGAAATTATGCCTTCGTCTGCAATTGGTCGAAATGCATCTGAGAGCTCTTGGTTCTTTCCATGTTTGGCTCTTCCGCTGCCTCCCTGTAACAGTCCTGCCCTCACGCGAAGCCAACCTCCACGTCGCTCCTTCCCTTTTGCGGTCTTTTACATCGTCTAGCTTCGTGGTCTTGCCCTAGCACGTCCAGTTGGCTCCAAAATTCCCCAACGGCGAGAAAATCATGAGGTTAAAATAAAACTCGTTTGTCTACGGGCTTCTCCTTATTGGGTAATTCTCCGTTCGCGCAGGCGTGGCTCGTCCGCTCAGTGACATTTTGCCTGCCGTCTGTCTTCTTTTATTTAAAATATTACTTGGCCGTCTGCCAACAGCAACCAACGGCGCCAACCAACAGTCACCGCTGTCTATGAGGTATTGCTACGTACGTATATTTGTAGCGCAGGCGCGAAACAACAGCTTCTGTTGACCCAGCGCAGCTGCCAAATTCAGATATGTCTGTAGTGAGCCCTAGAAGTGCTGAGCAGTACTTTCAATTCTGCCAAGATGAAGCAGAAACCAGTAAGAGAGGATACGAAAGCAATATTGGCCGTTTTCTAGTCGTTCGTCGATCGCAGCGTAACGTCCCGTACTGCAATGTCTGTTGAGCGAGTTTTTACACTCGTTGCACTCGTTTGCACTCGCATGTCCTGCACCGGGTCTTCCGCCGTAGAGTGCGCTAAGCCCAAACACCGCTAACTATTACGCTGCACAGGCGTGGGCAGCAGGGCCCGCTACCCACTAAACCCACTAAACCCACTAAACCCATTGATGGATGCTCGCCAGCGCAGCGCTAAACCCCACATCCCTAGCCTTGAAACTATGGCGCTCTTCGCTGGTTGTACCTCTAGTGTTTTGTCTGCCTCTCGCCCTCAACCTCTCGACTTCCTTTCTTTTTCTCGCTTTGTCTGTTCCCATCGCGCGCACAACCCTTTCCTCCCCGCGTTCTTTTCCTTTTTATATTGTGCATATAGGAAGACACATAACGATTCCAAGGCGGTCGACAGCAACAGCGACAGCAACAGCAACAGCATTTGGAGTCATCGAAGCCAACATGCAATATTCTGCTTTAGAGATTGTGCCCAACCGCCTGTAGAGAATCACGCGACGGACTCGACGGCGCGACGATGATGGTCGAGTAGACAGCCAGAGTCTGCTACGATTGCGACCTGACCAGCGGTTAAATACCTGCTCTCGCCTCGCGGCACTCTCCATCTTCCCCGCGAACAACGCGCGCGCGCGCACTCATCTAGCCCCGGCACACAATCTCTTGTCGCGGATCTGCTCGCTGCTGCGTTGTGGTGATTCGCTCACCACCCGACGTGTGCTTCGAGCTGCTCCGACGGTGCCCCCTAGCGCCAAAATTCCCTTTTCGCCTATCGCTCTAACTACCATTGGTGTCCGCAGCGTTGACGCGGACGCCAATGAAGACCTGGCCATGGATGCTCTCCATGGCCTCATTACCAACGTCCCCGACTGGATTAAACGGCTCGACGACCTGAGCAGCCAGATTGACCAGCGACAGCTCGAACTTGCGCGGTTTGTCGACCCGAGCCCAGGGTCGGGATCGCCAACCACTCCCGATGGAGCGCCCTCCCGAGCCAAATCGGTCCGCAACAAGGGCTCTACCGAGTCGCTGAAGCCGCAGGACGAGGGTGCCGCATTCAACGATGAGCCGGATGCCATCGGCACCGTCGGAAAGGAGGCACAGCAAATGTCCGTCGGTAGACAGGGTCAGGGACAAGGACAACTGGCGGCCTCGCCCACGAGTCCGGGCGCTGGCGAGCGGGCCAGGCTCGCCCTGCTCAAGCAAACGACGCAAGTCGCCGAGGTAGCCCAGGCACAGGCCCGCGCGACGCTGCGCAAACGCGCCAAGCGCAGCGACTCGGTGGCCAGCGCCGACGGGCCCGCGCCCAAGTACCGCACGCGCAGCATGATTATTGTCTACTACGACAGCTACGTGCAGTCGTTTTTTGAAGAGCTGGTCCGATTTGTGTCGGCGCAGCGCAACCTGATGCGTAAGGCGAAGATGGCGGCGAAGGTGGCGCATATCAAGCGCATGGCCGAGCTGGAGATGCCAGACTCGATCGAGCCAGAAGACGGCCCGCCAGTTCTGGACACGACGAGTAGTGACAAGATGGCTGTGGACAACACGGACGCACCGAAGCTGGAGGTGGACACTGGGGCGGTACCAGCGATGAAAACGACGCACGACACCATTCTCGCGGTCGCGGGCCCGTCTGGCGCTGACGACCTGCCCCAGCTCAACTACCGCCGGACACTCACCATGCGTTCCCCCGGTATGCTGGCAACCGGCCGGCCATTGTACCTGCGGGCGTCAGGTCGTGCGAGCCATCTGCCCGGCTTTGGTGGTATGGGTGGCGCCAAAGGCTCCTCGCTCACCGGCGGCCAACAGCCGCCGGACGTGTACGACGAACTGGACCGGGGGCTCGAGTACGCGCAGTCGATGTGCGAGCACGCGGCGCACCAGTTCCTCCGCGACGGCGATTGCAACGAGGAGATTGGCAATATCAAGCGCCGTCTGATCGAGACGAAAGACATTGCGGACCTCGAGATGGAGCGGGTCAAGAAGGAGGAGCCCGAGGCGCTGACAGCGTTGGACGAGCCGCTCAAGTCGCGGAGCTTCCGGCCACAGACGATGCGCCGAGACGGGCCCAGCATTGCAGCGAGCGCCAAGGAGGCGCTTCTCGGAAGCTCTGGCCCTGCGACGATTCCACGTACGGCCACCGGCCCCATTGCTTCGGCCATCGAGGTAGACACAGCTCTCGAGGTTGACGAGGGCATCGACGACATGGATGCCAAAGTGACACCGCCGCTGATGTACAAGTCTTCGCGGATGCGGTAGGAGTGAAACGGAGGCTGACGTTAAACAGAGGCCCTGGGGCAGGAGACGAGCCAAAGACGAGCTCGGACAGGCGAGCATGACGACGTTGGCGATCCCCATCAAAATGAAGCTGAAACCCCCCACAGCACACCTTCATCGCATTCCTATCCAAACGTTTTCAACATATCACGCGGGATTCATTAGCATCTATTTTATATGTATATGTCTTCTATTCGTTTGCATGGTTTCTTTCTTTGCTGTCGTTACGCATCGCGAAGGGGTTTCTATGAATAGTTTCCTTTTCCTTTTTTAGTTATTTTCTTTCGGTTAGCATACACCTCTGATCGAGGTAGGGACAAAATGGAAAAAGTATTAATTTGTTTCTCTGACCTTATTAGAACAGCAGGCATGAAAGAATCACCGCGGCGAAAAGCGAAAAGAGAGGCGATTCGGTGCGAGGAGGCGCCCGTTCCTTCCCGCGTCGATTATTGCAAGGAAACAGAACGTGGCTAATCGATTCGTCCTAGCTAGCTCTCGGGATAATAGGAATTGCGAGTGCTGTCAGCCGCTAACGTCGCTACGCTACAGGGGCCGCCACAACGTACCGAGCTGCCAATACCGCGACGACACTCACACCAACTAACAAGAGCGAAAAAGGAATCTTGAAACTTTCTTTTTTCAACGGCTGCTGATGGCGATGACAGATAGAACGCGACGCGCTCCAGTTTACGAGCGCAGCCTTTTGTATTGCTTTCTTCTGATTCAGACCCTTATTCTTTAGAAAACATACTTTTATGAGCACAGGGGATCTTTTCTCGCTGAACGTCGTTGACAAAGACCGAAAACCATAAAAAAAATTACAAAAAAATCTCCGTTACACGCCACACGTCATACGTCACACGTCTCTGCCGCCTACCATGGCGTTCACGATGCACTCCCACTCGGGCCAGTTCTGCGGCCACGCCGTCGACACGCTCGAACAGGTCGTCCAGCGTGCCATTGCGCTCGGCTTCGAAAGAATCGGCTTATCGGAACACATGCCCCGTGGGCACACGAGGGACCTCTACCCGGAGGAGCGCGGCGACGGCCACGACCTCAAAGGCAAGCTGGCCGGCCTGGCCGCTCGCTACGATGCGTACCTTGTCGAGGCCGCGCGGCTGCGTGATGCCTACAAGGACAACATCCACATTCTGATTGGCTTTGAGGGCGAGTGGATCTACGGCGCCGACGACGACGGCAAGCGCATCAAGGCGCTGGCCGAGCACCCCGATATCGACTACTTTATCGGCTCGGTGCATCACGTGGGCAGCCGGGGGACGCCGATCGATTATGACAAGGCCACTTTCCAAGAGGCCATTGACGTGGCGGTCGCCAAGGCAGCTTCGTCTTCTTCTTCCTCCACCTCCATTTCTGCAAGGTCGTCTGCGACAGACATCGTCGACCCCGAAGTCTACCTGAATGCCGACTACTACGACCAGCAGCTCGAGATGCTACAGACGCTACACCCGCGTATTGTTGGCCACTTTGACCTCGTGCGTCTGCTGAGCGCCGACCCGAGTCGCGACCCGTCCACCGCCGCCTGCCTCGCGACGCTCGTCTGGCCCAAGATCCAGCGCAACCTCGAGTTTGTTGCGAGCTACGGCGGCTGGCTCGAGTGCAACACGGCCGCCCTGCGCAAGGGCCTAGCAGAGCCGTACCCCGGGCGCGCCATTGCCGAGGCGTGGCTGAAGCTCGGCGGCAAGTTCACCATGTCCGACGACAGCCACGGCACGGCGCACGTCGCGACCAACTACAAGCGCGGCCTGGCGTTCCTGCGGAGCCTGGGCGTGACGGAGGTGTGGACGTTTGAGCGGCAATACACCCCATCCCCAGATGGCACAAAATTAAAAGGCGATCTGGTGGAGAAGAGCGTGTCGCTGGACGACTTTGAGAAGAGTCTGAACGTGGACCAGTAGAGACGAGTCGAGCCATATATACCGGATACGACACATTGTTCGGCGGCTGGCGTTCGTTTTGACAAGATTACATTATATAGATAGAGCATTGCATTGAATTGTAGTTCCAAGGGCAATACAGGACAAGAAAAATATAAACTGTGGTGGGTTGAGGTCCTCATGTCCAGGCTATTGTGCGCTGGTATTCAGAATACCTTTGATGAAATGTGGGGGCTAGCCGTGTCGCGATTCTGGTTATCGATTGGCGATTTGGTGGGGGGTTTTCCAGAGCTTCTGGGAGCTCGATCGTTATGCCCCGCAAAGCGTACCACAATACAGCTTCGTCGACCGCAGAACGCCGGCCTTTGAACACAAAGCGACACACCCCAAACAATGGCTGATCCCAAAGCTGCAGCAGAGGCCCTGGTGCCTAAGTTTCAATATGAGCGGACGCTGAACCAAGGTAGGTCGTCCAAAGTCGCCCATTGGAAAGTCACGGCCGACCTCGAGCTGACTTGTTGTTTTCTCATGCTAGACCAGGCCGGCCGCCGCACATCGCTCCTCGGTGCCATTGATGGCCAGCCCGCTCTTCTGGTTCTCGAGCGGGCCCCATTTTCCACGTCGCCCGACTATCTGAGCGCGGTGGCGGGCAACTTGCGGTCGCTGCGGAACCTCGGCGCGAACGACATATACCACTGGTTTATGGCCGCCGAGGGCGCCAGCAGTACTGGCAACACCAACAACAGCGAGCCCGACGCAAGCGACAACCTCAAAATCAACCTCATTTACCCCTGCACGCCGCAGCACGTCCGCAAGTACAGCCGCCAGGGCGTGCGCCTCGTCACCGAGACGGCCGCCATCTACCGCGACCAGGTGCGCCCCTTTGTCCAGGCCCAACGCGACGCCGGTCGTCTCAACTGGGTCTTCAACATCATCGAGGGCCGCAAAGAAGTCGAAGACGTCATCTTCCGCACACCCTACGACCCGCAGACCACCAACGACCAGGGCTTCCTGCTGCTGCCCGACCTCAACTGGGACCGCTCCACCCTCGAAGCGCTGCACCTGCTGGCCGTCGTCGAGCGCCGGGATCTCTGGAGCCTGCGCGACCTGCGTCGCCGGCACATTCCCTGGCTGCGGCAGATGCGCCAGCAGCTGGTGGATGCCACCGTCAGCGTGTATGGCGGCCAGGGCCTCGAAGTCGACCAGCTCAAGCTGTACGTGCACTACCAGCCAACCTACTATCATTTCCACATCCACATTGTGCACGTCCAGCTCGAGTCGGGCGCAACCCAGGCCACAGGGAAGGCCATTGGGCTCGAGGCCCTGATTGAGCAGCTCGAGCACATGGGCGGCCGCGAGGGCCAGACCGACGACGACATTGGAATGGATGCAGTTTCTTTGAGCTACACCCTTGGAGAGGCCAGCGAGCTCTGGGCGGCTGTTTTTGGTCCATTAAAGGAGCAGGAGGCCAAGAAACACGGCAGCACGGCAAAGACTTCGTCATGAGAGCCAAGAGAAAAATATCGCTTTGATATATACTATGCGAATGCTTGATGCTATTACGATCTGCAACAACGACACGAAAGCGAAGAGAAAAGAAACAAAAGCATATACATAAAAGGGGGATATACATGATGTGTACTTTGGAGCTTGGAGACGTTTGCTGATGCAACTCGACACAAGGTGACTCCCATCAGCCGGCTCGGCCTGCAAAAGAGCTCATTCAGTTTCTCCGGTACAGCTTCTCCACGTTGACAATTAGATCGTGCACACCCGGCCCCGACGGGCAGTCCTTCCACTCGCCGTCGTCGCGGATGCAGTATATCTTGCTGTCTAACCGCACCGTGCAGCTCTTCGTTACGCCCGCCGCCGCCGTGTGCTGCACGCTGTCCCGCAGCAGGTTCATCGCATACTGCCCGTCGTCCCGCGTTGCGCACTCGTTAAGCGCTGCGAAATCGACGGCATGCTCCAACGCGCAGCCCTCGATCAGCTCGCGGTCCGGAATCCGGTCATACTCACGCGAGATACATAATGTGAATCCAAGGTAGATCTTCGGGTCAGGATTCAGCTTGTGCGCACAGAGCTCGAGGATGTTACCCATGCCTACACATTGTTAGAAGTAGTTTCATAAATATAAAAAAAAAGAAAACGAGAAAGAAAAAAACAAAAACAAAACAATAAGAAATGCATACACTCAGCAGGACCGTGCTTGCACTCGACGCCACCGTCGGCTGTTGGCCTGTCTGGGTCAGCGATTGCACTCTTCTGATAGGACGGAAGCGTCGACGGATGTCATGGGACTTACTGTCCAACGAAGGAAAGCGTAAAGTTCACTTTGTCAACAACCTGCTGCATCGTAGGAAGCACAAGATCGCGCAGACAGTCCTGCCAGAACACTAGTCAGTATTTCGTACAATCTCACGCATATTGGATTCCTAGTCAATGCAGCGACATACCAGCGCATCCGGGCACTTGCTCATAATATGTGCCTCTAATGGCACTAGACGACCGCTGGTGTGCACCGGCCGCGACGCGTCAGGCTTCGGGTCCAGCTTGCTGATTGGTGTCTTCGCCTGCCACACCAGCTCCTTCGTCGCCAAAGGGCTCCAGGTTGACACCTCGAGCAGGGGTTCTGGCTGTAAGAACATGACCACTGTCAGCCCGATCAAAATCAGCGCGGCCACATAGCCGAAGCGCAGCCGTAGCCGCCGCCGTACGGTCGACGACGCGTAGGGACGCCGCTCCACGGTCGGCTCCACGAGCCCTGCCATCAACCGCTTCTCTTCCATCTCTGAAAAAATGGGCGGGTTTGGTTGTCCGTCACTGTATTAAGGCTGTATGTCCTATATGACGATGACGCAACGCTACTTTGCTGACGGCGTGAGAACTATATCGAAATGGCATTGGTCGGAAAAGAGAATAGACGCTCGAGGCCGAGAAGCATAAGAGCTGCCGTGAATACCAAACCCCAAATGCCAAATCAAGTTCGGTGTTGGAGCAAAGAGGCCTGGCGTGCCAAAAACTTGATCGAGACGCGGACGGTGGTATCTCGGATGAAGTCGACCGCGTGCGTAATCTCTCGCAAATACACGTGCCGTCAAGGCGCAAAAAGCCCTCTTGAAAGGTGCGAGAGTATAGCGCCAAGAAACGCGTAATAGGGTACTATGCAACGGAGAGTTTCTGGTCGTCGTTGTCGGCCGTCTTCGTTTATTCGCTTATTGAGGTTTCTTACACTGCCGAAGCTGGTTCGTTCGTCTGGTAGTTGACGTATTATTCCGACGAGGCACCAAATGCTTATTTTTTCAAGGTTGTCTGTGTACGTCGCATTTCGAGCGTCTCTCGTTTGTGAGGTGGATATGAGATCGACACTAAGGCTGCTGACGGACAACGTCAATCCGAAACGAGCAAATGTAGAAAGACGCGCCTAGAGTGCGGACCTGGCCTGGGCGATGCTGAAAGACGAGGCGAGAAAAAGTGGCGCGATGTCGTTGAGAGAGGGAGAGACATATCAACAAAATTACAAAGTGAAGAAAGGAGAAGAATGAGGCAATAGAGGGGAAACGGACACAAGGGCAGGTCCGGACCTGCATTGCAATGGCGAAATTCAGACGAGGCTTCCATAATCGGTTAGTATCCATCACCTGTTGTGTCCCCTGTTCCCCTGGCGTTTGGCAGCCGTGGCACGTGAACGCTCCCCAATCTGATTAACTACCGTTCCCGGCCCTGGCGAGCTTGCTCCACCAGTTGCCATGGTGTGTTGGTGAGCCGGTGAGGCTGTCTGGCTGGTTTGGTCAGGCGTTCTTGGTGGCCACAGGGTCGTTCTTGCCTCACCCACAATATGTGGCTTTGTTGCCTTCCTCTTTTTCCCCACGGCACACTCAGTGACACAGAAGGTGCAAAGGGGCAAGGACACCAAACACAACCGAACTCATGTTATTTGGTGCACCACCCCGAGGTCGCAAGGAAAGTGCGGCTGGCATTGTTTCCTTTTCTACGTCCCCAAAAGTCGGACTAGCTCGGCGTCGAGTCAAGGCTAGGCACCTCTGTCGCGGGTCCCTAAACTTGTGTTGAGTAGGGGCGCTCGCTGCGTCATTGGCCTGTTGGGCAGGCGCGACCTTTCCTGAACAACGCGGGCAGCCTCGACTCACTGCTTCCCTCCGCTTACTCTCCGTACATATTTCTTCTTGCGTGCTCTTCCCGCCGGTCCTTTTCTTCCTCCCCGATTCTCTCTTCGCATATTCCTTCTTAGACCTATCTAGAACTCCCGCAGTCGATTGCCCACGCCCGCCGGCCAGCCAACCCTGCAAACGACGCCGTCCCGCTGTCGATCATGGCTGGTTATGCCTGCTGGGCCGGCTGAAACCAGGTTTGTCGAACACGAAATAGACCGAATCGAATAATTTAAGCCCCGACAGTGCTTGCCAGTAGACACGGCAACGATCCAATATCGAGCATTCCCAAATATAAGGGCCCGGCCAGCCTACCTCCAGCCGCGACTCTATTTTGCCAGCTTGCCACCTTTCCTCTTACTCTCTTCGCTCCGTTTTAACAGTAACTAGGCTGGCTCCGACTCGTCTGCCTCTTCCCAGAACTCGTATTCGACTTGCCGTCCTTCCTGCCCCAAGATTCGACATAGCCACCAAATGCCTGCTACGTCGACCAGCTCCCCTGCCCCAACATCACAATGACATCCGACATGGCACAGCCCAGCCCGGGCCTCGAGGCTTTCCTTCAGCGGATTCGGGTTGACGAGGAGCTTGTCTACAAACTCTCGTGCGAGTTCAGCTCAACCTTTACCCACTTGGCTGCCGAGTCCATGGACCAGTTCTTGCCAACGCCGATCACGGAGTCAATCTTGCTACCGTTCAGTAGGAACAGGAAGAACCAAGGACGGTGAGATTCCCCGCCTTCCCCAGGAGCCCAGGCAGCGAATGCCGGCTGCTGTTAAAGCTCAACCAAGAAAAAAGGAGGTACAACCATGCTAACTGCCATGTAACGTTGCGGGCACGACAGATATCTTGCCATTGACATGTATGTATATCCATCCTCCTTCCTGCATCACCAGCACTACCTGCCTTTGATTCTTATACCGACCGTGGTTCTTTGTCTAACTCGTGCTATAGAGGTGGAACCAATCTGCGGGTTGGCTTTGTCGAGCTGCTGGGTGGCAGCGAACCATTGACAAATGGAACGGGCAAACTGAACGACCTGTCGGCGGATGCGGCGCAGACAGAAAACCAGCCAACATTACAGCGACAGGCGCAGCCACTGTCATGCCTACGTCGCTTACACGAGCGTAGCTGGCCCATCCAGGAGCACCTCAAGAGCGAGAATGCAGACAGCCTGTTCGCCTGGATTGGCCACTGCATTGCTGATGTCGTGCAGGAGGGTTGCGTGAGCTTCGACCTACCACGAGAGACGACGTTGCCGATGGGCGTTACATTCAGCTTTCCCATGGAGCAGGAATCACTGTCTGAGGCGAAACTCATGGCCATGGGCAAGGGCTTCACGATCTCTTCCCGGTTGGACCTCGGCTCACACCTTGTCGCCGGCTACGACAAGGCGCGGGCCGCTAGTGTCGGCTTTCCCCTGCCGCCCATCACCGTGGCTGCTATTGCCAACGACTCCGTCTCGACCTTGGTATCTTTTGTGTATGAGGTTCCGACACTTGCCAGCCAAAAAGCCGCCATGGGCATCATTTGTGGGACTGGAAGCAATGCAACGCTCTTGTTGAAGCGCAGCAAACTGCATCCGTCGAAACGTCCAAGGATTGCAAATGTTTTGCCAGGCGATGTCCACGCTGCCAATGGCGATGACGATACCAAAATCGCTGTAAACACGGAGTGGAGTATTAACGGCTCCGCAGCACCAATGCGGGCAGTCAAACTAATCAACAAATGGGACGAGGAGCTAAGTGATTCCGTTGAGTTCCCCGGGTTCCAGCCACTCGAATACATGACGGCGGGAAGGTACCTCGGCGAACTGGGCCGTATCATGCTAGTGGATTACCTGACGCGCATTCTTCATGTGGATGAAGAGACTATCCCCAGAAAACTGCTCAAGAAATTCGAACCGCACAATACCACATTCCTCAGTCACTATCAGCCGGGGCGAAAGCGGTCACTATTGGCATTGCTGGAAGCTGAGTTTCCGACAGACGACGTCAAAGCCGGCGGTACGTCAAATGGATTGACAAATGGCCATTGCAACGGCCAACCCAATGGCTCCCAAACCGAGCAGCACAAGGACGCCCGTTCCGTGCCTGAGCCGTTCCAATGGACAGAAGAGATGGCCGTGGCACTGTACCACATTGCTAAAGCCATTGAGACGCGTGCCGCGGCCATCATTGCTGCCGCCATAGTCGGGCTCTTGGACTGTGCCGATGAACTTCCAACCCCGGCCCAACACCCCGCAACTGGCGACGCATCCGCGCTCAACCTGGTGGAGCACAAGTTCGAGCTGGTTGTGGGGTACACGGGCGGCTGCATCACCAACTTTCAAGACTATCTTGCCGATTGCCAAGACTTTCTCGATCGCCTCGTGGCAATGCGATACGGAAATGCAGCGTCATCACCTATCCGGGTTGTCTTGAGCCCATGCCATGACGGTGGCATCAAGGGTGCCGGAATCCTGGTGCCTGCGTCGCTGGCGAGCCAGGGACTCATACAGACCTAAGTTGTGATGAAGTGACGTGGAGTTAAGGGGGTTTTCGTGGTATTTTTTTTTTTTTTGGGTTGGGGGGGTTAGAGAGCGTGAGCATGGAGATCAGTTGGCTCTTCGCGGTGTGTTCTAGCACGGTGGTTTTTTGGCATAGTTTCTTTGGTAACAAGCAACACAGGAAAAAGACAGCATAGGATCCGGTTTGGGTAGACAGCTCGGGTCATGTATTTCACACTGTCCATTTCGACCATTTGTTTCCAAGGTGTGTTTTGCAACGTTGGTTAGACGGCCATAGTCGGAATAGACTTCCGGAGAAGATGACCTGGCAGTACGACGTGAAAGCTTGAGGACATGTAAGTGAACCTTACCACCTCATACATGTTTATTAGGTAACAATTTTGAGCTGGTCGCAAGCATCCGATTTTAATCTTGGCATGAAGAATTGTTTTATGCATACAGGGCCACACGATAGAAGTGCAGTGGAGGTGGCAGCAAAGGTCAAACGGCAAGGGGATGGGGTGGTGTTTCGGGTTGGCCCGACCAAGCATCTGTCATTGACATCACCCCGGTCGGCGCGCCCTTGAACCTCGCTTTCCTCACAGCGAAAGCCCCCTTCCCCCCTTTCCATACAACGTTCGACAATTGCTAAACACTCAGAATCGCTCCAGATATTCACTAGGAACAGACCAAGTTATATCTGGCATGCAATCGGTATCAGATGAACAAGCAGAAACCGCTAAAAAAGGTTGACGACGCGTGGGAGGCAGAAATAGAGACCCCAATCGTCGGTCGGAGAAGACCTACACAAGGCCAAGTCCCGCTCGTTGTCCCACCGGTACAGCCTCTCTCTTTTGGTCGCCCCTACGACTCTATCGTGAAACTGGCCTCGGTCCTGCGACGAGTACGTTGTAAGTAGGCGAGCTATTCGAGTCCTACCCTGAGGGGGATTTGGGGCCCACGGTCCTCTGACAATGTATCGTGAGTCGCCCCAATGACTGAGAAGCAGACAGTAGCTTTTGTGTTTAAATAGTCTGGTTCCCCGTGTATGGTTTTCGTATGGTTTTCGGTTCCGCTTTCTCGGTTTGATTTTCTTCTCTATTTTCGTCCAACCATATCTGTCTGTCGTTTTCGCATTTCATCATCTGCTGTTCTTTTGGTAGCTTACTCCTCTGCGAGGATCCGTTTCTCTTTGTCGTTGATCGGCTTATTTTACTTGGGTTCTTTTTATTTACGAAATAAAAATACCGGCCGCCTCTTCTCGTCTAGACTCTTTGGGCTTTGTCCTCCTGATCCTCGCCTTTTGTCACCTTCAAAATGCGTGCCTCACTTGTTGCTCTCGCCTGTGTCTCAGGCTGCCTAGCTGGTAAGATGTCTTGGGTCTGCTGCTGTTGCTGAACTTCGCTAACACACGTAGCTCCCGCTCCTGCCAAGCGTGCTTCGGACCTCTGCTTCGTCATCGGCAACACCGTCCTGCCTGCTGAGACACAGACGGCGGTCGACGCGCTCGCCGACGTGACTACGTGCTCGAAGACGACGACTACGATTGCCAACGTGCCGGACGTGACATCGGGCAACGTGTCGTTCTCGCAAATCAACTTTGCCAAATCCAAGTCCTCAACGCTGCAGTTTGCGCTCGACGAGTTTGCGACGTCGAGCCCACTCGCAGACAACGACCTCACAACGTTCCAGAACCAGCTCAACACGTACGTGGCGACGGAGGCGGGGATCCGGTCGGTGGCCGGGCCGCTGGCGATCAAGGTGCCCAAGTTCTTCTTGGAGTTCCAGGTGTCACGGATCCAGACGGCGCAAGGCAACCCGCCGACAGATCCGGGTCTGGCAGTGGACCACCTGCTGACCAAGGTGCTGACCAACGCGGCGGGCCAGAGTCAGGATCTGCTCGACCAGGTGACGGCGCTGTCCAAGGTCCTGGCGTAAGTGTGTTGCGGAAGAGAGGAAAAGGGAGATTTAAAGTATAATGTTGATGCGGGTCGGGCGTACAGGCTATACAAAATGCGATACATAATTCAAACGAGAGAAGCTGCCACAAAAGTGAAATGATAAGCCAAATAGATCTATTGTGTTTTGTACACAGTTCGCTTTCAAATGTACATCTTCATCTGAACGTCCTGCGTCCTCTTCCCTCAGTAACCGTCCCGCGCCGGGCCACCGGAGGGTTTGGCGGTTCCGTTGGCGACGCCGAGGTGCTGTGTCATGACTTCGCCCAGCGCGCTAATGTCCGTAATGACAGACACGAGGTCGAAGCCCTGGGCCGCGCGCTGTGCCGCCTGCTCGCCGCTCGTGCAGAAGATGGCGGCCTTCTTGCCGTTGGCCTTGCACGCAGCCAGCACCTTTTGGATGGCGGCCTCGTGCTCGTCGCCGCCCCGCACAACGCCCATCTGTAGGGCCAGGTCAAAGGGGCCAATCAGCAGGGTGTCCAGGCCGGGCACGGCTGCAATGGCCTCGACATTCTCGACGCCCTGGCGCGATTCGATTTGCACGGCGACCATCAGTTTGGCATCGGCGCTGGCGTCGTAGTCGTCGCCCGCTGCAACACCGGGAAATGCGTGAATGGCAAACAGAGGGCCGTAGCCGCGGCTGCCGCCCTTGGTGCCCGGAGCGGCGCCGGCGCGCACGGGATACTTGGAGAAGGCGACAATCTTTTCGGCGTCGGCGGCGGTGTGGCACATGGGGGTCAGGACGCCATGGGCACCCGAGTCGAGGGCGCGCTTGATCATCCACTCTTCAGCCCAGGGAACGCGGATGATGGGGCTGGCGCCTTCGGCGGCAATGGCCGAGGCGAGCTCGTAGTAGTCCTTGTCGGAGATGAGGCCATGCTCGGCGTCGATGAGGACCCAGGAGAAGCGGCCGCTGGGCGATGTGGCGGCAGACCGCAGGATGGTGCGGGCGACGGCCGAGCTCGGGAAGCTGGACATGTCAGTGCGAGACCCAGAGGAACTCGGGGCAGGGCAGGGAGACGAACGTCAGCCAGAAGCCGTAGGCCGTGGTGGCGCCCTCTTTGAGGGCCTTTGTGACGGGGAGTTCGAACGGCATCGTGAGATGTGAGTGGTGAGAAGTGATTGCGGCGATGGAGTCAACGCAAGACCAAGCCGAGTGTCGATGTCAAAGTCGAGAAGGACGAGGAGGGGTAATGCCGTATGAAAGGAATAGGACCCTGGAGACAGCCGGTCGGAGGTATTTAACGCTCGCGATGACACGCATCCACACACAACACGCTTTCCTTCCCCTCGTTCTTGCACCACTGTTCGGGTCGTTGCTGCCCTTAACGCAATTGCTGGTCTTGGGGTCTGGTGGGTTGCGCCTTCCCCACGCTGAACTCGGGGTTTCGCAGGAACGTCTGCCGAGCAGCGTGTCGGCAGCCCGTCGGGCAGGAGCCGAAATAGCGCCAGAAAAGGGTTAGCGCATCGGCTCTTCATTGAGAACCGCCAGGGCAGACCTGCAAAATCCTAACGCCTATGACGATGGGACGGTTTTCACTCTTCATTCCTTTATTGTCTCGCATTTTATAAAGCGATGGACGCTGTGCGGATTTATGGGACTTGGACTTTTTAGCATCTTGCCATACCAAAGGCTGCAAAACGATCACTGTTTCTCATCATTACTTTCTCATATTCTCTGGAGTTGGTGATTCTTATTTTGTCGTTCTTGTCCTACGCCCACTTAACTGCTTGTATCCATTGACAAACGCAAACTACACTCTAGCGGCGGATTCTGGCGCAAAGATGGCCCGAAAACGGAAAACGCGCAACAGTGTCGAGGTGGAGCCGCGGGACACCAAAGAGAGTCCAGCGGAAAAGCAACAGAAATCGGAAGAGGAACAAGGCGCTGGGGATGCAAACGTTGCCAAAGGCAGCGCACCTCCCTTTACGGCACTGCCCCTGCGCCAAGTTCACCGACTGATCGAGCCAGGCCCCATCCTGCTCGTCTCGACCGGCTCCGTCGCCGATGGCTCGCACAATCTCATGACGCTCGGCTTCCACATGATGCTGCAGCACAGCGGGCCTACGCTCATCGGCATCTGTCTCGGGCCCTGGGACGCGTCGTTTGAGGCCCTGCGTGTCCAGAAACAGTGTGTCCTGGCCGTGCCGAGCGTCGAAATGGCGGGCGCCGTCGTGGACATTGGCAATTGCTCGAAAGCGGACGGAGATAGCCAAGGAAACAACAAGTGGGCGACGTTCGGTCTCACGCCGCTCCCTGGCCAGGCTGTTCAGGCGCCCCTTGTCGGGGGGGCGCACATTATGGCCAACGTCGAGTGCGTCGTGCACGATCGCCAGCTTGTTGGGCGGTATTCGCTCTGGATCCTCAAGGCCGTCCGCGCGTGGTGGGACGAGGACATGGTTCAGAGCGCCGGCCGCATGCTGCACCACCGCGGCAACGGCGTGTTTTCTGTATCGGGGGACACAGTTGTCGACCTGCACGAGCGGATGACCAAATGGCCAGAGTTGGCGTGATGGAGACGTCGGTGTCGGCTGCGGCCGACGTTGATGTAAAGACAGTGCATAATACAGTATAGTGACTATATTAGCACTACTTACACTGTGTGTCTGGCAGTGCCCAAGTGACAGTGACAACGCCGCTAGCGCCTTATCGAGATAAGAAAAGTTAGTGCCAGCAGAAAAAAAGTTGGCGATCAGAGGAAGCGCAGGAAAAGCTTCACTACGAAAACATCAGGGCGACCGCCACGGCTGCGTAACTTTACCGCAAATTCACAAAAAATTGCCACAGATCCACGCCGCACATTACCACGTGTATGGCCATTCCTATCTGAACGACACCAACATCCGGCCGTCATGCCGCACTCTGAAAGCGGCGCGCCGCTGGTCAAGCGCCAGAAGCTGAGCACCGCCCCGGCCTCGTCCGCACAGCAACAGTCGTCTGCCATTGCCACGGGCTCCAACATCTTTGCACCGTTCAGGGTGAGTACCTCATAGCACCAGTTCAGCAATAGCTACCTTCTAACACTGCGTTTCAGACCGTCGGTCTCGTCTCGCCCACCGCCGTTCCTTTCACCTCTATCCCCCTCGGCAAGACGACGTTCCAGATCACCACGTCGGCCGGCCGCTGTCTCCAGACTTACGACCTGAAGCGCGGTCTCAACCTCGTTTTCGTCACCCGCCCGCAAACCCCGCGCCACATTACTGCAACGTACGCATGGAAGCACAAGGTGTACGCTGCCTGGGGCGGCAAGCAGGACGGTGACGAGGAGAATGAGGATGACGACGACGACGACGACGACGACGACGACGAAGACAGCAGCAACAATGGCAGCGATGCCGCACCCCCCAACACCTCACAGGGCGTCTGGATCTTCCAGCGTGGTCGCAAGGTCGGCGAGCTGCCCATGCCCCGCGACCTGACGGAGCCCATCCGACAGATCTCCATCTTTGGCGCCTGGATCGTCGGCCTTGCCCGCACCCGCATCGACGTGTGGAAGTCGACCACGCTGGAGCACTACACTACCCTTCAGCCCACCGCCACCACCCCCGGCAGCAACGAACTGACCGGCGGCATGTGCACCATGCCCACGTTCCTCAACAAGCTCTTTGTGGGCCGCGCCGACGGCTGGGTCGAAATCTGGAATGTCAGCTCGGGCAAGCTCGTCTACACCATCCTGCCGCCCCAGACCGCCAGCCCACCGGGCGGTGTCACCTGCCTTGAGCCTACGCCCGCTCTAGGGCTTCTGGCCATTGCCTACGCGGCCGGCCCGCTCGTTATCCACGACGTGCTGCGCGACCAACCGCTGATCCACGTCGAGGCCGGCACCGCCGGCGTCACGGCCGACGGCGAGAACGACGCGCCCGTCACGAGCATCTCGTTCCGCACGGACGGCCGCGGTGCAGGCCAGGACGGCCGTGTGGAAGGTGTCATGGCGACGGCGACGACGGCCAGCGGCGACGTGACCTTCTGGGACCTCAACAAGGGCGGCCGCATCATGGGCGTGCTGCGGAGTGCGCACAACCCGCCGTCGCGGGCGGCGGGCGGCGTGCGCGGCGGCATCAGCAAGATTGAGTTTTTGGCCGGCCAGCCCGTCATCCTCACGAGCGGTCTCGACAACTCGCTGCGCTCCTGGATCTTTGACGAGACGCCGTTCTCGCCCATTCCGCGCATCCTGCACACCCGCAGCGGCCACGCCGCGCCCGTCAACTGCCTCGCGTTCCTGCCGTCCGACTTTGACGGCGCCGACGCGGGCAACAAGTGGCTGCTCAGTGGCGGCCTCGACCGGAGCCTGTGGGGCTGGTCGCTGCGGCGCGACGGCCAGAGCAGCGAGCTGAGCCAGGGCAGCGTGCGCCAAAAGGCCAAGAAACTCGGCATCCTGTCGACGTCGGCACTGCGCCACGGCCCCACGACGACGCTCGAAGACTTGAAGGCGCCGCCCATCACCTGCATCGCCTCGTCGTTGAACCGCGACGGCGGCATTGGTGCCCTGCCTGGCAAGATGCCCATCTGGCTCAAGATTGGCGGCCCGCATGGCAACGGCGGCCACAAGAACAAGGCCGGCCGCGCCGGCGAGGGTCTGCGGCCTGGCGACACCGAGTCGAGCAGCATGACCGGCTGGGAGAGCGTGGTGACGGCGCACCGCGACGACGCCTATGCGCGCACGTGGTTCTGGGGCCGCAAGCGGGCCGGCCGCTGGCAGCTCTGCACGGGCGACAACCGCAACGTGTCGACTGTGGCCATCAGCCCCTGCGGCACGTTTGCGCTGGTCGGCTCAGAGGGCGGGTCCATCGACATGTACAACCTGCAGTCCGGCATCCACCGCCAGCGCTTCCCGTCACGCCTGACGCCCGCACAGGCGCGCCAGCTCAAGGTCCAGCAGCAGTTGCGGCAGGCAGACGGCGTGACACAGCTGCAGGCGACGGCCACCACGGGACATGGCACCTTTGCCGGTTTCCGCAGCCCCGGTGCCGGCCGGCACGCAGGCGCTGTCACAGGCGTCGTCGTCGACAATCTCAACAGCGTCGTGGTCTCGTGCTCGCTCGACGGCACCGTCAAGTTCTGGGACTTTTTGACAGGCCACCTCGTCGACCAGATCAACGAGTGGGGGGGCGTCCCCGTCACCGCCTGCCGCTACCACGCGGCCAACGACTTGCTGGCCTTTGCGTGTGGCGACAACACCATCCGCGTCGTGGATCTCGTCACGCGCAAGACCATTCGTGTGTTCCGCGCCGGCGCTGCGAACCCGCCTTCCAGCATCAACGACCTCTGCTTCTCCAGCGACGGCCGCTGGGTCGTTGCCGTCACGCAGGACGACGCGCGCTTGCGCGTCTGGGACCTGCCGACGAGTCACCTGATTGACTCTGTGCCGCTCGACCGCCCGGGCCGCGCCGTGGCCTTTTCGGGCACCGGCGAGTACCTGGCTGTGGCGCCGGACGGCGCGCTCGGTGTGCACCTGTGGACCAACAAGACGCTCTTCAAGCACGTACCGACGCGGCCCGTTGTGGAGGCGCCGACCGCCTCCACAACACGCAAGGCGCTGACGGACAAAAAGGGACGCAAGAAGGCCAAGGCTGTGGTGGCTGGCCCGACGGTGTCGGGCGAGGGCGGTGCCGGTCAGCTGGAGGGCGCCTTTGTCGACGATGGCCAAGGCGCCGACGGCGAGGACAGCGACGATATTTTGCCCGCCAAGACCCTAGACCAGCTGAGCGCTGACATGACGACGCTGAGCCTGGTGCCCAAGGCCCGCTGGCAGACGCTGCTGCACCTAGACCTGATCAAGCAGCGCAACCGGCCGCGCGAAGCGCCCAAGGTGCCCGAGAAGGCGCCCTTCTTCCTGGGCACCGTCGGCTCGGCCGAAGCAGAAAAGGCCGGCCTGGGTGCCGCCTACGCCAATGGCCAGAACCAGAGCCAGGCCGGAGCGGACGGCACGGACGGGAAAGACGGCAGTGCCGGCGACGCCCGCTCGCGCATTCTGACGCTCGACCTCACGCGCGCCCAGCAGGCCCTGACCCTCAAGCTCCACCAGGGCAAGACGGGCAATTGTACGTATCTACGAAACCTTCCACACCCCCCTGACTTGGGTACCCTGTTGACATTGTCCACTAACACCACCTCCAGTTGCCCCTTTTGTCGATCACTTGAAGAGCCTGCCGCCGGCACAGGCCGATCTGGAGCTGCGCTCCCTGGCCGCCGACGAGGGCGAGCTGGCCCTGTTTGTGCGTGCCATGACCAGCCGCCTGCGCGCCCGTCGCGACTATGAGCTGGTCCAGGCCTGGATGACCGTGTTCTTACGCCTCCACGGCAGCACGGCAGTCGAGGCGGCAGTTGGCGGCGGCGACGAAGATGGCAGCGAAAGCAACCTGGACGACTTTGCCGCAGCCCTTGCCGAGTGGCGCGTGGTCCAGGAGCAGGAGCGCAGCCGGCTGGACGCGTTGGTGGGCTACTGCGGTGGTGTTGTCGGCTTCCTGCGGAATCCACGAAGCTAGGAGAGGCCATGAAGGTGGCCGAAGCGCGCCGTCTGGCAAATCATCTTGCGAGTGATTTATATAGTTGCTGCGTTTTCCGGTGTACATTGGCGGACATAGGATATATATTGTGAATGGCATTTCATCTTCTGATGCATGTTTCCGAGCCATTTTCTTAAATGATGTGCTGTATGTTGTTTCTTCTATGCTCTTGCTGCTCTTATATGTACACGAGGTTGGCCATCCGACGGCTTTGTTATACTGCGGGCTCTACGGCGTACGTCGTGCGCACGACCTTCACTCGTCTCAAACCGGCAGGTGAGCACGTGTGCCTTTACCACTTGCAGGAGGGCGTGTCTACAGCGCCTTGGCCCCCTATGGCCGCCCCAAAAAGCCCCCCGTGCTCCCTCATCGCTCGCATGCAGTCTCGGTGACAGAACGAGGCAAGGCGATCGATCGGCCACAAAGACCCCCCTTGCGACCCGCGCAGGCGGTGTTCCAGTTCGTGGGGAACGCCGGTGCATGCACGTCATGGGCCATGAGGCTCTGACTATATTTCTGTGCACATGTGCGGAAGCCTATAGTCGACAACATCGTCGTCGCTTTGTTGGTGAGTGAGGACACTCCCCTGACGCGAACGAACGAGCGCTAGAGTCCGCTAGAAATGCCTGAAAAGCCCTGAAGAGCCGGAAGGCCTTCTGTAAGCACCCCACTGCTCAGTCGGTCATGCCACTGTCCCTTTGTCGGTGGTTTGGCCCCTCCTGACCTAGCCGACAGGCTCCTGCCGTCGTTTTCACTTTTCACTGGACAGCACCCCGTGCCTCGACTCTGCGCTTCCTATTCGCCACCGGCAGCGCTGCGCCCACTGAAGGAAAGCACCGGGTCTACTTAGCACCGTTTTTTGGCTCGCCGCATTAGCGCCAGCAGGGGCGCTCTTGCCTCTTAAAAGCTGCACCTGTCGTCATGTTGCATGCCAATTCCATGTAGACAATCAATCCGTCGGTGATCTGTGCGAGATCGCTTCAATTACACACGCAAGCCGCCTGTTACGAAGAAAATCAGAGATTATACTTTGTAACGGCGTTTCCCCTCCTCTCTTTCTGTTTCTGTATCTGTATCTGTTTCTTTTCTTTCCTTTTTTTTTGGTGCTCTTTCACTCTTCTCATCGGACGGTCCCGTGAATCACGCGACTCATTAGATGCACTGACACGTTCGCTCTTGCCCATCCATCCTTGTCCCGCGCTCCGGTCCACGGCCGCCGCCAATTCGTCCCTGTGCACCTGCCCGCGTTGGCATATCAGCCTCCTGCTTCTCTGGGCTTCTCTTGCTGTCTATATCGTCTACTCCCGAGCGCCTGCGTTCTTTCCTGTCCAATGTGCCGGTCCGCAGCCTCATGCAAGTACACGACAACGCTTCGCATACGGCCCTGCCGACCAATAACAGACCGACAAGAGACCAATAATACGTTCCTATCCTCTCTCGCCTTCGTCTCCTTTTGGTTCCCTGGGGCTCGCTCCCTGTCGTGTAATCTGCTTTGCTTTGGTAGGTGCCGAGAAACGGTGTGTTGTCATCCTAGTGTGTTCTCGTTTTTAATTCTTATATTTAGATATAGAAATAGCTTCAAGGACTCACAAGACCATGAGCTCCATCTTTTCCGAAGCTTCTACCTAGGTTCACGGTCTCAAAGATCTTGAGCGATCCTTATATGTAGCCCCAGGTCCATGGCCTAGCTTCACGTTACCAAAAAAAGCTCCATTCTTTTTTTTTGCCGCCGAGTGCTCTAGCTTCGCCCCGGGTCACTCTTGCCCTTTCGTTCTCGTGTTGCCTCTGCCCCTCGGCTCCTTTGTTCTTTCCTTCAGCAAGCATTCTCCTCCGGTCCCTCTTGCCCGCTTTTACTTCGAGGCTCTTTTCTAACGTACGGAAGACGAGGCGGTTGTCGAGACTGGTCGTTCCTTCTTCTTCCCCATTCCGACGTGCACCTTCCGCAACATCATCGCTACCCGATTTGGGAACGAAAAACCCCTGACAGTTGCCGACCGCTCTTTCCCTTTTCGCCGACTGTCCCCTGGTACGAGGAACACAGAGCGTCGCCATTGTCTCTAAACTCTCCCCATATTCTTTGTTTCTCATCCAAGACACAGCCCACCCACCTCGCATGCGGGTGGCCCAACGACCCTTACCCACGACTCACGTCAACCAAAGGACTGTATGTCGTCTCCAAACCCGCCAGCCGATCCCCCGGCGGACGCTGCAACAGCCCCCGGTCCCACATCGGAAACAACTTCTTCCGGCGACAGCAATGCCTCCGCAACAGGAGACTCCGGCAGGGGGCTCGGCGATGATTCTCTAGCCGACTTGGACAGTACTCCTGTTCCGCTCTCCTCGATCCCGCCTCTGCAGGTCGAGCCGGGTGCTGCTCACGTACCGCTATCTGCGCCGGCTGTTGCGTCAACTGGTCTGACTCCTGTGTCGGCACAAGGATTAGCAGCTTCAACTTCCGACAACGCAAGTGCTTCCCGACGTGTCGTCTCACCTCTCGTCAACCCGTCCAACGGCAGTGGGGGGCCTCCGCCACGGTCCGCCGCACAACCAACGCGCTCCCGGAGCAGAGTCAAGCGTCGCTTCAGCGGTAGCACCGCCCCGAGCAGCCAAAGCCCGAGCAGCGAGCGCAGCCATGCCCACCACAAGAAAGAAAAGGAAGAGGCCCGCAAGGCCCCTCTCGGTGTCATTGGCGTCTGCGCTCTCGACGCCAAGGCCCGCAGCAAGCCCAGTCGCAACATCTTGAACCGCCTGATTGCCAAAAACGAGTTTGACGTAGTCGTCTTTGGTGACAAGGTCATCCTCGACGAAGAGGTCGAGAACTGGCCTATTTGCGACTACCTCATCTCCTTCTACTCCGACGGCTTTCCGCTCGACAAGGCCATTGCCTACGTAAAGGCCCGCAAGCCCTTCTGTGTCAATGACGTGCCTCTCCAAAAGGTACTCTGGGACCGTCGCGCTTGTCTGCGCCTCCTCGACAAAGTCGGCGTACCCACTCCTCAGCGTCTCGAGGTCACGCGCGATGGTGGCCCGAGCATCCTCACCCCCGATATCGCTCGCCACGTCCGCGAGGTTGGCGGCGTAACCCTCGAGGCCACCGATCCCGCCAAGAACCCCGCGCCCCAGAAGGTCGTTCTGCTCGACAACGACGACGTGCTCAGCGTTGACGGCAAGCTCATCCGCAAACCTTTTGTCGAGAAGCCCATCAGTGGCGAGGACCACAACATTATCATCTACTTCCCTTCGTCGGCCGGCGGCGGCGCCCGAAAGCTCTTCCGCAAGATCGGCAACAAGAGCTCAGAGTACTTTGAGAACCTCAACATCCCGCGCGCCATCACGCAACCGACCGAGAGCTACATCTACGAAAAATTCATGCGCGTCGAGAACGCCGAGGACGTCAAGGCCTACACCGTCGGCCCTACCTACTGCCATGCCGAGACTCGCAAATCGCCCGTCGTCGACGGCATTGTGCGTCGCAACACCCACGGCAAGGAAGTGCGCTACGTGACGACGCTCAACAGCGAAGAAAAGGAAATGGCCAGCAAGATTTCGCTTACGTTTGGCCAATGTGTCTGCGGTTTCGACCTCCTGCGCGCCAGTGGCAAGAGCTACGTGATTGACGTCAACGGATGGAGTTTTGTGAAGGACAACGACGAGTACTACGACCAGTGTGCCAGCATCCTCAAGGACATGTTTGTCAAGGAGAAACTGCGCAAGGCCGCGGCTGCGGCGGCTGTTGCTGCTGCCGCCGCCGCCAACGCTGCTGCGGCCACTGCCGGCACGGCTTCGGCCAACAACACCTCCTCGCCGAGCACGGCCGGTGGTGCTCTCACGCCGCCCATGGGTGCACAGTCCGACGGCGCCGAGGCGATGACCGCAGAGCAAATGGCACTACAGCAACATCTTGTCAAAGACAAGGAAACGGCACAGGCCCATAAGCCGTCCATAATGTCCCCGTCTTCTGACAAGCAAGATCCTCAGGCACAGTCCCCCGATGCCAGTTCCACAGGTCCCACTAGCCCACGACAGTCTATTCCCGTGGGCACTACGCCCCCGCAACTCGAAGGACAAGCTGCCACCGCTGCTCCTGCTGCCGCGGACGCCATCGCTACGTCACTTGACAAGCCGGCCGCGGAGACTGGCCTTGGCCTCGCGGCCGGCAGCCTTCCGTCTACGGCCGCCTCGTCGCTCCCACATACGCCAAACTATGCTGACAACCCGCTGATCTTGGAAGACGACGAACCCGAGAAGCCTCCACCACCTCCGCCAGCCCACTCGTGGAAGCTCAAGGGTGTCGTTTCCGTCATCCGCCATGCTGATCGTACGCCGAAGCAAAAGTACAAGTTTACCTTTCACACGGAGCCGTTCATCGAGCTTCTCCGCGGCCACCAGGAGGAGGTTTTGCTCATCGGCGACGCTGCCCTTGCCAGTGTCGCCAACGCCGTTGATGTTGCTATTCGCGCAGGCATTGAGGACCGCGGAAAGCTCCTCGCACTTCGCAACGTGTTGGTCCGCAAGGGGTCATGGCCGGGGACCAAGGTGCAGATCAAGCCAATGTTCCGCAAGAAGAAGTCACCCGTTGAGGAGACTGTCTTCCCTCCTGTCGAGGAGCAGAGCGTCGCCGAGGACGTAACGCCGACCGGGACGTCGACCCTTCCGACGGTTCCATTTGGCGACATGGCCGATGCGAACTCGCCAGCCGACGATAGCATGACCCCCCGCATGCCACCGCGCCGCCATGACTCGTTGTCCGGTGTAACTATGTCCAAGTTCACCGCCGCCGAGAACAACTTTGTCCTCGACAAGCTGCAGCTCATTGTTAAGTGGGGCGGTGAGCCTACACACTCGGCCCGGTACCAGGCCCAGGAGCTGGGCGACAATATGCGCAACGACTACCAGCTGCTAAACCGCGACATTCTTGAAGAGGTTCACGTTTTCAGCAGCTCCGAGCGCCGCGTCACGACCAGTGCCCAGATTTGGGCATCGGCGTTTCTGGGAGAGAAAAATCTATCAGAGGACTTCATCACCATCCGCAAGGATCTTCTCGACGACTCGAACGCCGCCAAGGACGAGATGGACAAGGTCAAGAAGAAGCTGAAGGGTCTTTTGCGCAAAGACAATGAGCGCCCGCCCCAGTTTGCTTGGCCAGACAACATGCCAGAGCCGTCCGAGGTGCAGACCCGCGTCGTGCAGCTGATGAACTTTCACCGCCGCGTCATGAACTACAACTACGCCAAGCTCAAGGGGTCGTCTGAGAGCACGGGTGGTGGCTCGGGCCGCCTGAGTAACAGTGGCCAGAGCACCGCCGGCAGCCTGTCGGCGTCGCCCAGCTTTGATAAGTCTGGCCCGAGCGGCTCCATGAGCACGGCGGCCTCCAGCTCAACGACGGTAAACCTCGATGCCCCTGCGAACAACGCCACGGGCGGCTCTGGCGGAGCTGCTAATGGCAACGCCGACAATCGCACCAGCTCCTTCTCGCTGTCGAGCTCCATTGCACAGGCAAACGCTGTCAACGGTATCCAGGCGCGCTGGTGCAGTGGTGAAGACGCCGAGCTGTTCCGCGAGCGCTGGGACAAGCTGTTCGCCGAGTTCTGTGACCTCGAAAAGGTTGACCCCAGCAAGATCTCTGAGCTGTACGACACCATGAAATTCGACGCCCTCCACAACCGTGCATTCCTTGAGTGGGTGTTTACACCTCCGAAGCACATGCTCGAGGAGGAGGACTGGGTCGGTACCGGCGCCGCAAGCAGTAGTACGAATAGCGGTTCGAGTGGCAGTGGTGGCCTGACGTCCAACCCCGGCTCACAAGGCCCGAAGAGCAGCCCCGTCATTGATGATCGCAAATCACATGACGAAGGCCGGCCATCGACCGCGAGTAGCGGTACGAGCCGGACGACTGACAAGGATCTGGCCATTGGCAAAGAGGGAAAGTCGGATGGGAGCAATGGGAGTGGGAGTGGAAGTGGCAATGCCTCGGCGATCAACGGTAATAACAGCCAACACAAGCCGAGTGTTAAGCGTATCTTCCGCCGGCGCTCGTGGATGGCTGGTCTCCGCCACACAATCGAGCCGCCACCGGCAGAGCAGTACTTCCACCTATATAAAGGAACCAACAGTCCGACCAAGGCCAAGACCGACGCCCGCTTCGAGCCTCTGCGCGAGCTGTACCAGCTGGCCAAGGTGTTGTTCGACTTCATCTGCCCTCAGGAGTACGGCATTTCCGACAGCGAGAAGCTGGAGATTGGACTTCTGACCTCGTTACCGCTCCTCAAGGAGATTGTACAAGATCTCGAGGAGATGCAGGCCTCAGACGAAGTCAAGTCATTCTTCTACTTTACCAAGGAGTCACATATCTACACGCTCCTCAACACCATCCTCGAGGGCGGCATTGAGACCAAGATCACCCGAGCCAGCATCCCTGAGCTGGACTACTTGTCACAGATCTGCTTCGAACTCTACGAGTCGGAAACAAGCCACCCCAAGGTCGAGTCGACGCCTGAGGGCGCCGATGCGGACGGCGGTTGTAGCAGTGGCGAATGCCACGACAGCGACAGCGCTGTCGAATCGTCCACCTACCAGTACAGCATCCGAATTACCATCAGTCCTGGCTGTCACGTCTACGACCCTCTTGATGTGCAGCTGGACAGCCGGCATACGATCAGCTGTGCCCCGCGCCGCAGCTTAACGTCCCACAACGACTGGAAGACGGTTGTTGAGACTCTGCGCGGGCGATTCCATCAGTAAGTTACACCCCGGGGTTGCCGCACGGTTCCAGTCCCAATCTCAGGTCGAGCCATATCCTAACAGTTTCCCTCTCGCCCCACAGAGTCAAACTGCCCAAGTCCTTCTTGGCCGTCAATCTGTCCGACGCCTTCACATTCCAAGAGAAGCAAACCGGCGACGGCGATGCCCAGGAGAACAAAGACGGTCTCGAGATGAAGCAGGTACATAAGGCAGCCAAGACAGCGGCCGCACCGGAAGCCGAGACACCCACAGCCGAGAACGGCAATGCCTAATCCGTGCCCGACGTAAAAGTGACCATCCGACAAATGTCGCAGCTCATCAGGCCTCTTGAGGTTACATAAAATCTCCGAGCTCAAGACGACAAATCCCAGCTATCCGAGATTTGATAGCGTATGGGCCTGGTCGCTTTTGTTCTTTGGTCGAAACACGGTCACTTTCTGCTCGTACGAATGTGGGTCGTATGGGCTGAGTTGAAAGTTGAGGCACCCCGGTGTCCGGGTGCGAACCTATTGGCTGGAAATGATGATGCCGGGTGGAAAACGGAGGATGTCAGCAAAAAGAAAAGAAGAAAAAAAAAAGAAATAATGAGCGAATGAGAAATGAGAATACCAAATGACAAATGCAAGGCACATGTTTCGCCTTGCTTCGTCGGCCTCGAACTTGCCCGGAAGCTGGACCGGTGGCTGTCAGTGGCTCCCGGTACAATGGGCCATGGGACCCGTACGCATGGAAAAGGAGAGAAAAAGAAAAGACAGAAGAAGAAAGAAACGGCTCAGACCTCGGAATTTAAGGGCAATGATTGCCCTAGGTCGCAGCGCCGGTGGTTTTGGTGGAGTCATTCCAAGACATGCATCTTTTCAGCCCCCAGAGGCATCAATTGTTTCCCTTTGCCCTACCAATGGGCAGCGACTATTGCATCATCCACCAACAACGCCAACCCAGCCGAAAGGAAAAACGACATTTCAGTTTAAAATAACAGCCACGTCGAAGGACAGATAAGTAGAGAGGAGGATGCCAGAAAGGAGAGGGATTTCTTTTTTTCGGTACATTTTGATAAGGGTTCTTGTGTGTTTTGTGTTTGTGTTTTATATTATTAGAATTAAGAACCGACACCGGTTTAGAAGGTCACGTACTAAATGGAGGTCTTTTTGTTATTTAAAGCAAAGATAATGTGTATTTTGGCATGGATCATATTTTGATTCCTCAAAAATAAAAAGTGCAGTGTTTGTTGTGAAATAAACAGTTCATTTTCATTTTCAAGAAAAAGTCCTGCCCTCCCTAAGTATGAACACTCCCAACTAAAAATTAACATGAAATGAAAAGCATAACTGCCAGCCAGGTCGACTAAAATCCTTTGACAAAAAATAGGTGCTTAGTCTCGGCCGAGATTATGAAATCTGACCAGTCGACATCCCTACATGTGAATGTTGGTTTCCAACCTACACCGGCTGTTTCAGGCCACGATCATGTGGTGATGGACGGCACTTAAACCAGTTGAAGCTGCTGAATCTAGACTGTCTTGACTGTATAATGAGGAAAGGGAGGGTATATCTGCAATTCGACCGAACCACAGTCGACTAACATTCAGCTTGCGGGCCTCTTCGAGTTTTGAGTTGCTTTATCTTTTCCTCCCACTGCTTTGGATGAACGCGGCAGGTTTGATAATCCCAGGCACCAGATCCCCAGATAACTGATTGCGGGTGCAAGCCCGCGCCTTATTTAGTGTTGAGGACTTGGCATATGTTGTAAAATCAAAAGAGATAGAGAGAGGGCGAGAGAGAATAAGAAAAAAGTCACAGGTAAAATTTGGCGAATTTGGTAAACACTTGGGGGTGTCATGCAGATTGCAAGACTTTTGCATTTCTTTCTTTTTTTACTTTCGTTTTTGTGCTTTCTTTTTTGTACTTTCTTTTTGTACTTTCTTTTCTTGTGCTTTCTTTTCTTGTACTTTCTTGTTTTGTACTTTCTTTCCTTGTACTTTCTTTTCTCGTACCTTCTTTCCTTATACTTTATTTCTTCATGTTTCCACGGTTTGCGCAGTCAGGTTTAACGCAACTGCGTCGTAAATTTAACAGTTGAGTGATTCGTTTAGAATAGGGTTCACCGTCCCCCTCATTCCCCCAAACCCACGAAAAAGGAGACAAACAAAGAACATGCATAAGACAAAGTTTGCAATTTCTTCAAAGCTATCGTAGTTCAACGTTCAGCGACATCCTATTTTACCCGAACTGTTATATAATGGACTTCCGAGAGGCATTTACATGTTCCAGACACGAGCATGTACATGAGTTAATGGTGTGCATCCATTACGTCCCGGTCAAGAGGAAAGCCGAGGTCTTCATGTAAGACAATGGAACGACCAGAGTGCCGTACGTTTTCCCCTCCTACGTATTGAATCTGTTGCGTATGGATCATTGCGGATTGTATCGTCGGATGCACTCGTCCCCCAAGGTGAACAGATTGTATTACAAAAACTGCCTTTCGTCTCACCTTGGAAGATTATCAGATATCGCCGATCAGGAAGCCTATTGATGTTTCACGGAAGTTCGGATCTTCGTTGGAGATTTCGTTACAATATCGCCAAATGGTTCATATTCTCTCCTTACTGGCGTCTTTTGATTCAGCAAAAGGGGTTCCGGCATAACAGTTAGTCTTATCATGACTGTATCTGCATGTCTCGCAATTCGGGGCTGAGTCCGAAAAGCAAAAGTAAAATGCTCATGAATATTCGGAATACTCCGTCTCGCTTTGCGGAAAGGTCAGGTAAACCCAACTTTAAAGGTTCTTTAATCTTGTCTGCCATAGTTGTTTCTACTCCTGCCGACACACCTTCTCCAGAAATGGAGCGGAACCGCAAGAAGTAAAGTGACTCAAGATAAAAGCAAAACAACGCAAAAGACAGCTACAAAAGGTGACATCTTTTGCGTTAAGGAGAAAATCTTTTCCACGACACTTGCCTTGTAAAAGGCATTCAGGTTTTCCGTTTTCCAGTTTTTTATGTTCCCCGCTGCTGTTCGAGCCCCTTGCAACCTTGTTACTACCATTTAATGGCACACAGCGCCTTGGCAACACATGTAAAGCTCCCAAAGCTACTAGTTTCGTCGCAAAAAGCCGAAATACGCCTGCTACACTGAATGGGGCGGCTCACGACAAGGCTCCTTGCCGTGGAAGGCGACAGTACATTAGTCGGGCTCTGAGGCTTGCAGACGTGAAAAATTACTACAGTTACGCGATCTGAAGAGGTATCGTGAGCAGATTGTTTGTTCTTGTTTTATGAAGAGAAATGTGCACGTCGTAATAGTTTCTTTCCTTTCTCGATTGCTTTCCGCGAAGATCTGTTCGTCTGACCTCGTACTCCATATTCTCTTGCCTTGCCTTTTTCGTTTATTCTGGTCCCTCGAAGCAGACGTTTCGTACCACCATGGAGTGGTTTGCGCGGCACAATTGTCTTTTTCGGCCTTCTTTCCCTCCTGTTGGCCATGCCCACCCTATTTTACTGGTTGATTTCGATCCCGTCGTTACAGTGAACTGGAGCCAGACGGTCCGAACTAAGCAGCCATATGTCCCGTTTCGTTGTTATGTTGCCACCTATTCATTCACCGTGCGTCAACGGAGTACCTTTCTTCCTCCATGTCCGGTTTGGGGGCGCTGCAGCGTTTCATTCGGCAATGTAATACAGACCGTTTTAAACGAAGGGAGGTTCACAGGAGAGACAAAAAGGACGCCTCTGAAAAGTCTGGCGTGTTATGCGGCCCCACTAGACCTGTTTTGGGAGACATGGCGGAGGACATCCTGGCCTGGGGGCGAGACTCCGACCCAAAGAATGTGTAAACCTGGACAGAAGACTGACGCGAGGGAAGGGGCTTTGGATATCGGCATAGAACGTCGTCAGAACGCATGTCGTACTGCGACGACGGATCCCATTACCATAGTGCTCTGTGTTCTTCCTCGCTCGTCTTTTCATGCGCTGGCCGGTGGGACCCGATGAAGGGAACGCATAATTATGTCCATTGGCAACCGCACATATCAGATGCACAAGTACCTCGAGCAATAACGCGGACTCTTGGTCGGCCGATGAAAATATAAGTTCCAAGACAGGATGTCAGGGAAGCCCATTTCAGAATAAAGAAAAGGAAAGGTAGCGAGGAAGTATTTTACGTTGTGCCCGACTCTTAGGCAACGCACGTGTACCTCCCGCTCCTTATTTGGAAATTTTGTCAGATCTTACAGAGGAGAGCTATGGGTACCACATCTTACGACCATGCAGTCTGTGCTAACAAATCCTTGTTGAACCAGACCAAAAAAGGGCGCCAAGGAACGAACGTGATATACGATTTGTCGGTAGGATGGGACAGGGATAAAAATGAAGAAGGGTGACACAGGGAGAGAAAGGGAGAAGCAGAAGAAGCCATACGAAGTGCTCCGTTCCCAGCGTTCGTACGAGCGGCATCCTCGTAAATTCGTGAAGCCTCTGCTTGGAAGGATTCCTTGACAATATGGCTAATGCCGTTTCGAGAGTCAGCTGTTTGGACCATCTTTGACATTCTTGCTCGACTTTCCACACAAGCGTGTTGCCTGTTTGCAACAATTCTAGCACCGCCAGCACGAAAAAGGCTACACGGTTAGCTTGCGTTCTACGGTGACATTTCAATGGGCTCGACTGGCTTAATTAGTGTGTTTGGGTTTTTGCATGTTAATCTCAATGTGTTGTAATTGTTGGAAAGAACGGCAAGAGACAAAAAACCATGGACAGGACGCCCACCGAACAGAAACAAAATCAAATATGGAAGGGTATGAAACCTCGTCAGAGCAGATCTGAACAAGGGTTTAGTTTAGCCAGTCTCCATGGTGTACAGATGCTGCGGCTCGATGCCAACTGACGACGCGTCCCAGTTGGTCTTTATTTGCATATTGCAACGTTCTTTTCTCCTGCTTGCCCGAACGCAAGACACGATGTAACTGCGAAGCTGGCAACCCATGACAGAACGTATTTGGTACGGAATGATAGGCGGATGTCGAAGACCACGAGAGCGACATCTCTGTTGCGATTCGAGGTAAGCATGCGAGCATCTCATCTAGGACCTTGCGTGGTACTCGCCTCCTTTCTATTCTCATTCTGTCTTGCTTACAGACTACTCCGTAAGGGACCGTCCTGGTCCTTGTACTCCACAGGCTCCGCATCGAGTTCCGTCCCCTCCGAATTTTGTTCAAATACGCCATGCAAGGCTGGGGAGTTGGGACTAGCTGGTTGCCATTGTCAACCTTTCCCACA